AGGCTACTGAGATAGTCGTACTGCCACCCTCCAGGCTCAGTCCATTGATGGGAATGACCTGTGTGGTTTCCATCCCACCCCGGGCTTGACTCCTGATTGCTCTGGGTCCAGCCCTTTGTGGTGACTGATCAGCCCTTTTCTTGACAATCTGGAATGGCAGATCCACAGTGGGCCTTTTCCGTGTTCTCACAATAATTGCAGCCTGAGTGAACAGATGAATGAATGTATCTGCGAGTTTGTAAAAAAAAAAAAACCACTCCTGTTAGTATTGACAGAAAATATTTTTCGGACTTAAATGGGATAGTAAGGAATTTTATCTGGGGAGGGAAAAAACCGAGAATTGCATTACGGTCCTTGCAGGAAAAAAGGAATAAGGGCGGATTCGGACTCCCGGTTTGGGAACTATACCACAAAGCGGCCAACTTAGTATGGCTACGAGAGTGGGCCTTATTAAGAGACAAGAGAATTTTACAACTGGAAGGGCACGACCTATTGAGAGGTTGGCATGCTTACCTCTGGGATAAAGGAAAAGGGACAGGGATATGTTTCCACCAACATAAAATTAGAGATACATTAATGAAGACATGGAAAGAAATCAGGCATAAACATTACTTAAAATACCCAAAATGGATATCTACAATGGAGGCACTGATCCATCCAAATACGATAAGTAGGGAGAAAATGGTCACCTATCAAGATATTTTAGATAACAGTGGTAACCTTATATCCAATGAGATATTAAAAGAGCAACGGATCCATATAGATTGGTGGCCTTATTTACAAATTAAATCCCAATATAGTAAAGATAAACAAGAAAAGGGAATAGAGAAGGGGACAAACAGTTTGGATAAGGTATGGCTAGGTAGTGAGAACAAACTATTAGCCAAATTATACTCCTACCTGCTCGAATACGACAGAGAAGGAGAAATGCTAAAAGACCAAATGATCGCTTGGGGGAAAAACATCGAATCTAAGATAAATCTTGATGATTGGGAAGAAATATGGAATAGCAATCTTAAACTGACAAGAGCAACAAGCTATAAGGAGAATCAGTATAAGATGCTATATAGATGGTACTTAGCACCATCTAGAATTGCTAAGATCTACCCAAATGCAAGCCCCAAGTGTTGGAAATGCGGCCACCACCAAGGTACCTTCTACCACATGTGGTGGACATGTCCGGAAGCGAGGAAGTTTTGGAAAAAAATACAAAAATGGATCCAAGAAATATTAAAGGAGGATATTAATTTCTTGCCGGAAATCTATCTCCTGGCAGTGCTAAAACGAACATTTAATAAGGACAAGAAATATTTGATCATTCATATTGTCACAGCTGCTAGACTCTCCTATGCCAGATATTGGAAAGAGAAAAGAGGTCCAACTGAGGAACAGATAGTCAATAAGATACTTGACTGCGCAGAAATGTGCAGATTAACGTATGTGTTAAACGGAAAGGAGGATTCAGAATTTTATATGATCTGGGATCTGTGGTATAGGTGGTTGGAAATTAAATGCAAAAGTTAACACTCATGAGGAATAATGCACTACTATTAGTTAATCCTATATATTATTGTACCTTAACTAAACAGTAATCAATTTTATATATAAGAATTTTTGTACAAACTATAATTAATTAGATAACTGATTAGACACCGCACTTGTAAATATACAATATGACTACACGTTGCCGACCCGTACAGTTTGAATTGTAATATATCTTTAATTCAATAAAATTTCATTAAAAAAAAAAAAAAGAATGTATCTGCGAGTTTGGCAGAAACTGACTGGCTGATACCTTGGCCTTCCCTGGGCCAGCCGGTGGCTGGGGCTGATGGGACATGTGGTCCGACTCTTGAGGAGGACCCATAGTTACGAGAGGCTCTTAGGGAACCATGCAAGGCTGCCGATATTCACCCCTGTCCCCTTCTCTGCTGCTCTCTCTCCCAGGCACCACTGGATGTACAACGCCACCTCCTACCACCACAGCTACGAGGACACCGGCCTCCTGTGCATTCACGCCAGCGCAGATCCCAGACAGGTGAGCTGGTCCTCAGAATGGATCCCTCGCCTGCCAGGCATGTCCTCTTAGCCAATTGGAGATTGGGCTGCATCTACCAGGCCAGCAGGCGAGCGAGGGAGGGAGGGAGCAGCTGTCCCCAGTGCCCCCTTGTCTGGCCTGGCGAGGAAGAGATCTCCTTTCCTGCCCTCACCCCAGAGGCCTCCCCCAAAGCTCTCCACCCTACAGGAAGGGGGAGGCCTTGAACAGAATTGATTCTCACGTCTGCGTCTCCTCTTCGATTGCAGGTCCGTGAAATGGTGGAGATCATTACCCGGGAATTTGTTTTAATGGCTGGAAACCTGGGAGAGGTAAGAGGTCAGGGTGGAGGGTTTATGTTGGGGCTTTGGGGTCGGATGAGAGGCTGGAGCAACCCCATTGCCTCTCCGTCTAGGTTGAGCTGGAGCGGGCCAAGACCCAGTTGCGGTCCATGCTGATGATGAACCTGGAGTCCCGGCCGGTCATTTTTGAGGATGTTGGGAGGCAGGTCTTGGCCACGGGAGGGAGGAAGCTACCACAGGAGCTCTGTGTCCTGATCGGTAAGTGACAGGCTAGGCTTCCTAAGTTGCGGCTCAATGGAGCCTTCCCTCTTGAGGTGAGGAAGTTTGGGGAGGGGGCCTTGGTTTCTGAGTCTGCTGCCGAAGTGAGCCCACTTCCCCTGCTCTGCTGCCCAAAACCCCCTTGTGGAATTTCACCGGCCTCCTCAGCCGGAGTGGCTTCCCCTTGGGCTTTCTCTCGCTCCGTTCCTCTTGTGTCTCTGGGCCCATTCTCCGCTGATTCTGATGGGCCAGGCTGGGTGGCCCGTATTATAGTAGTGGAGCGGCCTTGTGTGGGAGCCGGTGCTACACGGAGCCGCACAAACTGATCCCGGTGGCCTTTGTTTCCCTCCTGCACAGGCAAAGTGAGTGCCAGTGACATCAAACGGGTAGCAACAAAGATGCTGCGGAAGAAGCCGGCGGTTGCCGCCCTAGGGGACTTGCGGGAGCTGCCCAGCTACGAGCACATCCAGGGCGCCCTTTCCAGCAAGGACGGGCGGCTTCCCAGGGTCTACCGGCTGTTCCGTTAACGTGGCGGTTGCCCCACCGAGACATTTGGTCGAGATGAGCCATTGCTTGCCAAGAGGCTTCTCATCTGCCAGGGTGCGCACCCCGGGCATCGGAGGAGGGTGGTTGGCAGAGCCACATGTCTGTTCCAATTCTGTTCATCCTCAAGATAACTTATTTTGCGAGACTCAAAACTAAATGAGAAGATGGAGGCCGGACGGTTGAAGAGAGCTGCTCCTACAAATCAGATTGCTATTTTGGTATTTCAAATTCCTGTCCTTGTTGTCTTGAATTAAGGGGACAATTAAGTCTGAGCCCAAAGCCTGGTGCAGTCCATGGCGAACAATACAGATAAAAAGAGTTAATGAGGGTGCTGCGCTGTGGTATGTTGACCTTTGTTTCCAAAATTAAGTTTAAACTCTGGTAAAGCAGAGTGCCATTGTATTTGGAATTGATAGCAACAAAACTGAATTTCAAGATTGGTAGATTTATTCACAGTCTACATTGCGTCTTTAATTGCGATAGTTTTTCCTGTTATTCTGGACCCAAAATGAAAACTTTTCCCCTATAGGTAGTCCTTGACTGAGGACCACAATTTGAACCAGAATTTCTGTTGTAAGTTGTCAGAAAGTGAGATATCATGTGACAGGAATGGGACAACTTGGCACAACTTGCTGCGGCCAACTCTCTGCAGGACAATTTTAACAATTCTATTTCATTATTTAAAATAAAAATTTTAATTTTTGCCATTCACATTTTATTCTGCCCCTCCTTCTGCATCCTTTCTTTAACGATTCTATCCCATCATTTCTCTGATACCAGGGAGTTGTCTTGCAGCAAGTTGGCCCTGGCAAATGGGCTGTGGTGCGGTAGCCATGGCGAATTGTCGTAGACCCTCATGTGATCGGTTCTGACTTCACAACCATCTTTACAGTGGTAGTAATTCAAGTCACAGCAGTCGTAAGTGTGAATCCAGCTGTTATTTTTGCCAGAAACTGGTAAAAAAAGGTCACAAATCACATTTGTGACTGAGATGCTACAACTGGCTGTACGTGAGAGCCAGTTGCCAAATGCCCAAATTGTGGTAATGTGACTACAGGCCGAGTGAAGGTCATTAGTTCAAATTTAGGTTATAACTGACTTTTTGGAGGCTATCAATAATTTGAGCCATCAAGTCGAGAAGTACTGTTCTGCACGGAGATAGACCCTCCTCTCGTACTCTTGCTGATAAAATCCTCCTTTTTCAATGCAACCAGGAATTTCAATGAAATTCGTTGAGATGAAAGGATTCTGGTCTAATTGCAGAGGCAGGAGAGGACTGAATACAACCTGAAGCATCAGCTAAATAAATACCCAGTTACCTTCCTGTTCCTCTTCCCAGCCTCCTTGTCCTCTCCAGCAGGATGGCCGATGGCTCATCCCATCAAAGGGGAGCAAAGGAGATGCTGGGGTGGAACCTTGGGCACATTTACTATACTTGGCATTTGCTGTGAAGCACAACTTCTGTGGGGATTTTCTTGGTAAGGAATCGAACCCAGATTTCCTTCATGGAGTTGCAGGCTGGAAGAATGCTCTGGGACAGGGGTCTCCAACCGTGGCAACTTTTAAGACTTGTGGACTTCAACTCCCAGAACTCTGGGAACTGAGGTCCACAAGTCTTAAAGTTGCCAAGATTGGAGACCCCTGCTCTGGGATAATCCAGTGCTACAAGCAACTGTATGTGTTAAACGTTCTGAATCTTGTAATTAATGCTTAATATGTCCCATAAAGGGGAACGGGAAAACTTGTATTGCATGTTGAAAATACTGGACTTCCACTGATGAGGATTTAAATTAGCTCCAGGTAGGAATACAGGTATATCAGCAGTGCAGAGATTAAAGAAGCAGGCAACACACTAGGAACACATTTTAAAAGTTCTGGATCATCCTTTTATTTCAAGAAATTCTGAACCCAAACCCAATCCAGGAAAATGATGGAGGGGAAAACATTTCTAACTACTTATCAACCATTGGCATCAACTAAAAATTGGCCTTTGCCATTGAAAATACTGATTTTTGCAGCCACTCAAGGCCCTACACTTGAGTGAAACTGGTTTCCACTTTTTCTTAGTTAATGGATTTTTTTAAAAAAGTAGCTGGTGGAAGCTGGCTTGTCTTGATTGAAGGTAAGAAACCCACTCTATAAACTCCCATGCTGGTGCTTTCTGAGTCTTCCTGTGCCCCTCTGGCATTTCAAGGCCCTTTCTAGGATTCTTAGGAAAAATGTGGGTTTAGGGGACCAATCAGGCAGTGCGTAATTCACTTCCGAGCTGCAGCTGAACAATACAAGGCTTAGAGAATGTGTTCCTTTGTTCCCAAAATGATCCTCACAAGTGCCTTCCAAACCTAAGAAATGTTTATGGCTGGTGTAAATGCCAACACCCTGAAGGATTATTCCAGGACCCTCCTCAAGCAACAGGATACAGGAGCAGGAAGACGCTACACGCTTGGTAAATCTTGATCCAACCCCTTGACTGCCCAGCCTCAAAAGAGCCCTTCGCTTTTGGGACCCTGTTGAATCCCTTCCAGCCAGGTTCAGAGAAGGCCTGGTCCACAAGCCCTTTCACTCGCCTCAGAAGTTCTTGGGTGCGTTTGGTCAGGAAACGGAACAGACAGCGCTGGATTTCTGGTTTTTCAGGGCTTTTTTTTTCTGAAGTTGCCTTGTGATTCGCCTCTTTATGCCAATCAAATAAAGTTCTCGATCAAATAGGCCTGCAGCCAGTGGGATGCTGTAGGTGAATGGGAAAAGCACAAACCAGCTGGTGAAAATGTTAACATACGTACAATATTGTTTTACAATCTCTGCGACCCATTCCAATAGTCTGGCATCCTGATTATTCCTCATTTCATCTTTGCACAGCCTGGAAACACTATCAGTAATTAGATTAAAATGACAAATCCCCCCCCCCCCCAAAAAATAAATAAATTGGATCAGTAACCTTTCCACACAATGTGGACCGCTGTGCAATGGCACAGATGCCAAAATAAAAATGTGTCTTTTAAAAAAGAAATGGATCAAAAGATCTTTCTAGGTTTGGCTACTCCATGAGATTTTGAATGGCGAAGAATAGCTACAAATACGGAGGACTGTATTCTTTTAAGTAGAGGTTAGGATGCAAACCCCAACTGCATAAAATGGTGGATTTTATATCCCTCACTCAGCCCCAGTTTCAGTTGTTAAGGATTAAGGGCAGTTCAGCAGGAGAGTCCAGGTATGGGGTGGCCAATGCCTCTCTGCCTTCTCACGGGTAGGGTGGTCTAGCGCTGACAGATAGTCACAACTCGGGCTGAAGTGTTGCAACGCAGGAACGTTGGGAGGACGAAGCCTTTCCAAAAGGCAGCCCCTGCCGCCCCTCTTAATGACAGTCGTACTCACTTGTCCCTCCCGGGTCTCACTTTGACACGGAACAACCCGTAGACAGGGCGGTGATCGGATGTTCTGATCCCAAAGCAGGCCGAGTACTTCACAGCATGGATTTCATTCCGGTGGCGGCTTCGATAGATGACCCGGTCCTGGAAGAGAGAGAGAGAGAGATGAGCAGAGCACCCCCTGACAAACCTAACTGGAAAGGCTCTCCTGGGCAAATGGATCTGCCTTCGATCTCTGGCGCAGAGGCCTTCCGGAAGGTGTGATGGGGGAGATCCCTACACAGGCAGGAGGACACAGCCTGGGGCACTGCAGAACCTCAAGCTGCCATGGACGTGACTGGGGAAAAAGCTTTGAGGCCTTTTATTCCTTTTAGCTAGCAAAAGCTCTGTGGTTACTTAATCATAGTGGGGTATAAATAGAACACAGAAGAACAATTGGAAGGGGCCTTGGAGGTTTTTATTGTTTTTAAGATTAATTTGCCATGTTTCTTCCCTGCCTCTGGTAACTGAGTTACTATGCAGGCTTCCGGCAGGCAAGGAGGTGGGATCAGGGGACTTTCCAGGAAGCCTCCCTTTCTAGAATGAAGGAGGGAGGGAGGGAGGGAGGGGGATGCATGCAAAAGACGAGGACGATGCTTAAGGAGCACCTGGGAGGTTTGAAGAGGCACAATAAGAGAACGCCTCTAGTGGCTTCAGGAATGGGCCCAGGTTCTTCTCTTGGCGCAATACAGAAGGCAGGACTAGAGTCCCTTTATAGGGGAGATGGGTGGCACAAAAATTGAATGAACAAATGAAGCAAACTCACAAGTTTCTCACTTTCTCACTCAATGCCTTTAACCACTAGACCAAATCCGCACTCGCAGAAGGAAAAGGTAACCCAATATTGCCTTTAGCCCAAAGCCTCTAGGCCAGTGCAGGCAAGCTTTTTGGCCAAAGGCTGCTTGTGATTGTAGCAGCTGAGGGGAGGGGAGGAGGGGGGCTTCCACTCTCACCCTCTCCCTCCGGTGCACACAGCCTTCGGAAGCAGGAAGTTCTCTTCCCTCAAAGCTGATTTGGGGGGGGGGGGGGCGGGCATGGCTGAAGCCTTCTTGTCCATCACACCATCTTTTGGTATCTGACTCAGGCTTGGGGGGGGTGTTTAATAGAGTAGACACATATCAAGGTGACCCTCGCATTCCATCTCCCTCCTCGCCCTACTATACTCTTAGCCAGCTTGCTAGCAGCCGAGTGGTAGGCATGGTGGGCGAAAGAAAGTCTGGCCTGCCTGTGGGAAATGGGGACAGAAGGGTCGGCTTCTGGGTGCCCTTTTCTGCTGGAGGGGTTTCTCTGGGGGGGGGGGGAGGCCTGTTTTCTTGCTGCCCCCAAACCCTTACCGTATATGAAGGCGTCCTCTGCTTGGAGGTTGTGTCATAGGTGTCCTGTCCAACATCAAACTTGTAGGAAGGACGGAAAAAGATGGGGGCCTCTTGGAACCCCTTAAATACAGAACCTGTGCAAAGAGCAGATCAGGCAAGTCAAAGGGCTGAATCCTAAATCCCAGCCTTAAGGACACCCCGAGACGCAGGAGCCCCCCTGCCATTATGTGCCAGGCTGCAGTGAGCTGGCAAACGGAGGAAGTCGGAAGCACAGTCTTGGGCGAAAGGCTTGGTAACACGGATCAAGGTAAAAGCCTCCCAGGCAGACCAAGAGTGAGCCAAGGTGGTGCTGAGTTGGAAGGCCTCTCCCCCCCCACCCTCCCAGGGGACTCCTCTTCTGACAGGCCACCAGTCTCACCTGTCAGGCTGTGGCTAAATCAAATGTGGGTGTAATCAACTGGGTATGGCTCAATAGCCCCCCAACATCTGGAAGTGAGCAAGAGGCGAAGGGGCCTGGCTAAGCCCCTTTCTCGGTCTTAGAAATGAAGGGAGTTCTCAACATATGACAATAGAGACCAGAATCTTGTCGTTAAATGGTGTTGTCATTATGTGAGGAATCATATGACTGCACCCAATTTTATGACTTTTACTAAGGTATTTAAGCAAATCCCAATGGTAATTAAGTGGGGTGTCTCGCCTGAGACCTGCGACTTTTCCGTCCGGCTTCCACCTTCTTTCAATTTATAAGTTGAAGACTGCCTCCCTGTATACAAGCTTAATGCTTGCCAGGAATGGCTCTGCCTCTTAGCTAGCAAAAGATCTGTGGGTACTTAATCATAGTGGGGTACAACAGGGTCTCACTACAAGATAGAGCACAGAATAACAGCTGGACCTTGGAGATCTTATTAGTTGATTAGATTATTATTAGCTTATTAGTGAGGCCACACTTGGAATACTGCGTCTAATTCCGGTAATCACTATTTTTAATAAAAGACTTTAGAAAGAGTGCAGAGAAGAGCAACAAATATTCCAAAACAGTATCCATCTCTCTCTCTCCCCCTCCCTCCCTCCCTCCCTCTCTCTTTCTCTCTTCCCAAAAGAGAGGGAGCAAGCTTGGTCTCCAACGGGTCCTCCTCCTGAAAGAAGCTGCTCTGGACCTCATCACCCTTCATGGAAAAGAGATTCTACCCAGGGCCTCTTCCGGGACAGCTGAGGTGGCTGAGTTAACTCTGTTTGGAGAAGACAGTTCTGCAGGTCATCAGGGCTCGAGAGGTCAAAACCAACCCTCTAAATTGCACTTGGAAACCAAGTGGGAGCTGTGGAGGGCATCAAAGGGGCCACTGCCTTCTTGAGAGGGATGGAGGAAAGGAGGGAAGGGGGGGGTGTCTTTAGAGGCCCCTCACAAGGGTCACTGTGGAGGCAAGAGCTGGGGTGCTGAGACTGCAGGAAGGGGCACAATTGGCGCCCAGATGCAGCTTTGGGGTCTGTAAGTATTCTTGCACAGATCAAGACCTTTGGGGTGGGGGCTCCTGCAAAAACACACTGTCAACCCTGAAGCTGGCCTGACCAAAGCCATTTTGTCCACACTGGAGCTGAGGGTCAGGGAGGGAGGAATTGAGATAGAGGGAATTTTGAAGCCAAAACAAAATACTTTCTCTTGGGAACCAAGGACATTCTCACACCTGGTCGCAAGAAGACGGAGCGATGCCACCTGGTTGTCGGACTGCACGGTGATTGGACCGTGTGACTGATTGTTTTGAGAAAGCTTTTAATAAGGTGAAAACCGCAGGAGTTTTCAGAGCCGGTTTTCACCAGATATGTGCCAATATGATATTTCCAATAAAAGAAATCTTTGAGGAATTCAACTGCCTCAGAGTCTTGCTTGCAATGGATTTATTACTTGGAACCCTGACGTTAAACCGACTCTTGACACACGTGGAAAATAGGAAGGGGCTCCTCACCAGTCTGCATTTCCTTCAACAGCTGGTCATGCTGCAGCAGCACCGACACGTCCAGGGCCTGGCCACGGTTGAGCATCTGTTCTACCACCTCCCGCTCCTCATTCAGGCGGAAGTTGAAGTCTCCGAACCAGAAGACGTGGTCGAAGCGGCTCGTGACGTCTGCTGCAGAACACCCAGCAAAGGAGGGGGAAGAGAGTGGAGGAGAGGAAACTGATCAAAGAGAGAAGCAACCTGGAATTAAGGAGAAACTTCCTAACAGGGAGGATAATGAACCAGTGGAACAGAAGTTGCCTCCAGAAATCATGGGCGCTCCATCACTGGAGGTTTTTAAGAAGGGACTGGACAGCCACTGATCTGAAATAGTAGAGGTTCTCCCACTTGAGCAGAGGGCTGGACTAGAAGACCTCCAAGGTCCCTTCCAGCTCTATTCTATTCTAAAAAGGCTGCAGCAGTTAAGGCGAAGCCTTCCCCAACCACTTGCACAGAATTCCTAGGCTGACCCGAGGCCGACCAAGAGGCTTGAGGGTGAAATTCATTCCATTCAAACCTTCCAAACAAAGCAACTGAAACTAAAACCGCTTCAAGTCTGAACTCTGGATTTCTGTACAGAGAGTCCTCGACTTACGACCACATTTCAGCCCAATATTTCCGCTGCTAAACCAGTTTTTGAGGTTTGCCCAATTTTACAACCATTTTTGCCACGGCTGTTACCTGAATCACTGCAGCTGTTAAGTTAGCAACATGGTTATTGTGTGAATCTGGCTTCGCATTGGGCTTTGCTCGTCAGAAGGGCACAAAAGAGGATCACGTGACCCTGGGACACGGCAACTCTCATAAATACATGCCAGTTGCTAAGCATCTGAATTTTGATCACATGTCCATGAGGATGTTGCAACGGTCATAAGTCAAGGACTGTCTAAATTCTGAATTTCTGCGTGACTTCATCACATTTTTTGAAACACAGTGACTATAATCTGCCACCATTTGCCATCTCAGTGCTAATCTCAGCAACTTTGAAATGCATGGATTTCAATTCCCAGAATCCTTAGCAATGGCCTTGCTGGTTGGGGAATTCTGGGGTTAATATAGAGTTCTTTATTGGCCAAGTATGATTGGACACACAAGGAATTTGTCTTTGGTGCATAAGTTCTCACTGTACATAAAAGATATCACTGATAAATCATGATCATAGTCATCATAAAAATGAATCATAAGATACAACACTTAGTGATAGTCACAGGATAGTAAATAAGCCATCAACATAAATCATACTAGGAAACTAAATAAAGAATAGAATTAGAATTAGAATTAGAATAGAAATAATAGAAATAGAAAAGAATAGAAATAGAATTCTTTATTGGCTAAGTGTGATTGGACACACAAGGAATTTGTCTTTGGTGCATAAGCTCTCATTGTACATAAAAGGTATAAGTGGTAAATCATGATCATAGCCATCATAAAAATATGTTCATCATAAATCATAAGATACAACGCAGTGATAGAACATAAATCGTACTAGGAAATAAAACAATATAAATTGTAAAGATACAAGCAACAAAGTTTTAGTCGTAAGTAGAAAGAGGTAGGTAATAGGAAAGATGAGAATAATAATAATATTAACACAGTCTTACTAAATAGTTTTGACAGTGTTGTGGGAATTAGTTGTTTAGCAGAGCGATGGCATGTGGGAAAAAACTGTCATCACTAAATAAATCACTAAATAAAGCCCACCCATCTCAAAATTGCCCAAATTGCGAAACGTTCCCTCTAAAATCTGATGTTATCGCTGGGACCCGCATTTTGTGCCGAGGCCAAATCAGTGACTTTCCAGAACACAAACTTCCTATTTGAAAGAGAAAGTTACATCCGCATATGAGAAAGACAGAAAGTGAAAGCCGCGTTGTTCAAGTGCCAAGTTACTCACAGGAACTGGATCGATAGGGGTTGGTATCGGGAATGTTTCTGGGCAGCGAAAGAGCCTGGATGGTTTTGTGGTAATCCAGGACCCGCTCAGTGACTTTCCCATCTCCAGCTGAAAGAAAAGAAAAGAAAAGAAGGATGCTTAGGGCAGGGTTTAGTTGGGGTGGTGGGTTTTCAGATTAAGAGAGTTGGAAGGGACCTTGTAGATCATCTAGTCTGACCCCCTGCCCAAGCAGGAGAGCCTACACCATTTCTGACAGATGGCAGTCCAGTCTCTTCTTAAAAACCTCCAAGGATGAAGCTCCCACAACTTCTGAAGGCAACTTCTGTTCCATGGGTTGACTGCTCTCACCATCAGGAAATTCCTCCTTATTTCTAGGTTGAATCTCTCCTTGGTCAGTTTCCATCCATTGTTCCTTATCTGGCCTTCAGGTGCTTTGGAAAATAGCTTGACCCCCTTCCTCCTCTCTGTGGCAGCCCCTCAAATATTGGAAGATGCTATCATGTCTCCCCTAGTCCTTCTCTTCCCTAGACTAGCCAGGCCCAGTTCATCGTCTGTTTGAGCCTCCAGTCCCCTCATCATCTGCTGCTGCTGCGTGACTGTGGACTCCACAAAGGCAGAGAGGATACCCAAATTTAGGCCTTGGGACTATAAAGGGGGAGGAATGTCTGGGGGTTGTCCATTTCTTTGAAGACACAGCTTCCTCACTTTCTGCAGTAACTCTTCATCTTTACCTTACTTGCATTCAACTGGGAACAGAGCATAAAGCAGGTAGTTCAACTGGCATACCTGTTTACAGAGCCTTGGGGGGAAAAAACCTACTCTGACTCCAAGGCAGGCATGAGGGGAACTTGGGGAGATACTCACAGGTAAAGTGGGAAGTGATGAAAAGGAAGGACGTGCCGAAGAACGTGAAGCAAATTCCCAGCGCACCCTTGGTTTTGAACTGAGACACGATGCGCGTTGTCACCGTGGCACATTCCACCTCTGTGGGAAGAGAGAAATGGCACGGCCTGTCAACGAGTGCTCAGACCGGGCAGGGAGAAAGCAAAAAGGTGGCTCTTCTCCTTAACACCTGGGGTGGAAAATGCTGCAATTCAATGACGGGCTTTAGTTCCACCTTCTAAGCCCCTAGTTTTCTCCCCACCAAATAGAAACAAGGCTGTCTGGTGATTCAGCCCCATTTCCATGGCGGAAGCGACTGAAAAAGCCCCTGGGAATTCATCCCCGGCCATCCATGCCTACCTGAGCAAAACCAGATGAGATCCCTTCGCAGGAAGAAGGACAGGTAAAGGACCCCGTGAGCAGCTGCGTAAGACATGACGTACTGAGGGCCCAGCGTTGCCTGCAGGCGAATCTCCCACTCTCGCCTGCAGAAAGGAAGCAAAGCCAATTGGCCACTCGGTACTGGAGCAGCTCTGAGGTCAGCAGGCCCAATCCAAGCTCAGAAAAGACTTCTGGGGCCAGTCAGGCTGATTCAGAGGACACGGGATCTCCTGGAAGCACTCTTCATTCGCACGTCTTCCGGGTGCTTGGGAGGGACCCTCCGTTTGGCTCCCAATTCCTGGCAGGGAACTGCCCGCCTTCACTCTTCTCCCGGATGCCAGCCTCTGGTCACGCCCACTGAAGGTTGCAGACAAATGAAGAGGAAAGGAGAAGACGGGACTAAGATGGCCAACGGACCCCTTGCAGCCTTCTCCCAAAGGAGGCCTTCACCTACGAGACGCCTCGCCCGGCTTTGACAGGAAGGTCTGCCTCATTGCAAAAGGGGAGAGAGGACTTAAGACAGCCTTGACCCGTGGAGTGTAATGATCCTACTTGTAGTGTGATTCTCAGCAGGAAGGGAGGGAGGGAGATGGGAATGGGAAGGAAGGAGGGATACAGGAAGAAAGGAAGGGTACAGGGAGGGAGGGAGGAAGGAAGGAAGGGTCCCTCAGCTACAAAGTTGCTTCTGTTTCCATACCTATCTGGACAGCCTTCTTGGATCCCTATCACATACATGTCCTGGGCATAATCAGGCTCAGACGGCAACAGGAGGTCATCCAGCACTTCAGGGAGTTCCTGCAAGAAAAAAATGACCTTTCCAACTGTAGACGAGCCCTACAGATTGATTGGAGGCTCTTTCTTCCAACTGAGGAACAAGAAATGAGGCAGGTATCAAATCCATTTTTCTGCCTGCAGGATGCAAACACTTTTCTGTTCACCTGGGCTGGAATGCAGAAAATGGACAAATGGGCCATTCTCTGATCTGGTTAGAAAATTACATAATCCACATTATTTGGAAGATTAAGGCGACTCTGCTCCTCCTGCTATCCCGTGCCCTACTTGTGAAATGATGCACAAATACTTGTTTCGGGCACACAAGCATTCTAACAAGGACAACTTCAAGTCCCATCTGTAATGTGGCAAAAACCAAAGAATCACACAAGGAGAGGCTCCCGTTTTCTTTAGTTTTCTCTCCCACAGATCACCTTTAGAAAGCTGGACTGACCCATCTGCTTCTCTCCACTCTTTTATTACATTTCCCGGAAAAAAATATTTGTAAAAGAAAAGCTGAAAGGGAAAAAAAACCCACTCGTGTCTGGGAATGGAGGAGCTGCAAGTGGATTTATGGAGCCTAAAATGGTGGTTAGTCCCGACAGGTTGCGCATACCCTCATTGAACATGCTTCCCAAACTGTCTGCATTAAAATATGAACTTGACATGCAAAACCAGAATCATATTACGACACTGTCCAGAAATACCTGCAGTTCACGGTGTAAAAAAGGGCAAGTGTGCAGTAACGCTTTCCCAGGGAGAGAAGTTTGTGTGAACCCATAGCTGCCAATTCTGTAGGCTGAGCTGAGCCTTTTATTTTTTTCCTGCTGGATTTTCCTATGAAAACTCTGGTGGTTAGAGAAGGACATTGACCCCTCCCTTCCTCACCTTCTGGCCCTGCATGTTCCAGGTGGCTACAAAGATGCCAATGTTGCGATCAGGAAAATACCGGTTCAGCTCTTCTGCTCCCAGGAGGGCACCACTAGCAAGAAGGCTGCCTTCCAAGTAGCTTCTGTAGAAAAGGATATTCTGTTTTGTTGCGTTAAGACAATCTAGAGGGTAGGTTTATAGGCTTGACTTACCTGTGGAAAGTCACCTAAGACTGAGAAGTCAAAGGCGTAAGGAAGGAGGAGGTGAGCCAGGCCTCTCTTAATTCCAAAGTCTCAGGGTAGCCTTGGCAAAGTTCTCCCCTGAAAGAAGCTCAGCTGGCATTGGGGGAGTGGGGGGGGGGGGGAAAGACACAGAGAGAGGTCTTCTTCAGTTCAGTGAGATGCAGCAGTTACAATACTTGGGAGGACAAGGCCAAGTCATGAAGCCCACTAAGTGACTGGGGGCCAATCCTTATCTCCACATTTAACTTCCCTTGACAAGGCCATTGCAAAAAAGGAAAAGAAGAGAATATTCTTTCTTGGCCAAGCATGATTGGACACACGAGGAATTTGTCTCCGGTGCATAAGCTCTCAGTGTACATACAAGCAACAAGTGATATATTCGTAAGATACCAACAGGAGAAGGTCAAAGGAAAGATGAGAAGGATAATAGTAATACAGTCCCACTACGAGGGTAAATATCCTTAGGCATAAGACAGCGCTGTGGGAATTAGCTGCTTGGCAGAGTGATGGCATGGGGGTGAAAACTGTACTGGGCAACCGAGTTTGCAGGGAATAGGGCTGCTCTTAAAAACACCCAAGTGTGAAGTTGTGTTGGCTTCAAAGATCAGGAACAGCCTTCTGACTTGAGCCAGAAAAGTCTAGAAAAGAATTTTGCTAGAAGAACAACTTGGTGCCACACGCAGAGCACGTAGAGCCATCCATTCTCCCTGTTATTAAACACTGTCACCAGGGGTGGTTGGGGCTCTCGGTTGCACTTTTTAAAGCCCTCCCAACCACTGCAAAGTAAGCTGGGTGGCTAGCCAGTATTTCTTTCCCCCCCTTCTCCCTACCCAAAGCCTGGAATGAAAGGTGGGGACACACTGTGATGCAATCAGAATTATTCCACAATGAACAGGTTCTAACACGCACACAGCTCATTTCTGCTAGTTTTCTATCTCAACCAGGGATGGCTGCATGCACCTGAAGGACAACACAGCCATTGAAATATGGTGCCCTCCTGTTATCAAGGAGCCTCTCTAGGACTTTGCCTCAATTTTAGATCAGCAAAAGAGCATCACATGCTACCCTATCCTTCTGTTGGCAGCTCAAAGGCTGAACCTGAGCTAGAGATCTTTCTCTTTATGCCAGGGATCGAAGCAGCTGGGCTGGGAAGGCAGGACAGAGCAGTGTGTGACTCAGTAAGCAGTTAACTTTCTAAAAGAAAATAAGCAAAACCTTATTATCCAAAAGTTATACACACACACACACACACACACACACACACTTTTCCCATTCGGTGTTCAGATTTCCTTAAAGAAGAATTTGTCTTAAAAGAACTGCAAACGTCCATATTGGAGCAGGTGATTAGTGCCCTCGTGGTCTCCCTCCCTCTAGATACACACCTGTTTCGCACATCTGTGACACGGATGGGGGCCAGCAGGCTGAAGGTAGATTTGGTGGAGGCTGCCAAGCAGTGTTCGCAAGCCATCCCACGGCTCTGAAGCTGCGTGTCGCTCCAGCTGCTGCCTGCTCTTGGAAGCCCCCTCCGGGAGCCAAACTTGTACTCTGCGCAATCTGGGTCAATCCGATTAGTTGTCCTCAGAGAAGGAAAGGAGCCTTCAAGTTCCAGAGGAGGTGGAGGCTGGGAGGCCAAGACCTTGGACAACTTCCGGGGCGAAGCTGAAAGGCTGGGTCTGCTTTGGCTGAGGTCGGAACCCTCGGAACCCGGGTTCAAGTTGTGCCGAGGCCGCAGATGGCGATGGTCGCCGCTGGAGGCCACTTCCTGCTTGGTGGGGCTCTCTCCCTGGAAAGACCCATCGGAGGAGCCCCCCTCAGTTGAATCAACCGAATTCCCTTGATTCATTCTGAAAGGCCTCCTCCGCCGGTGCCAGATCAGTTCATCCAGAGACAACGTCCGCTCCAGCCTCGGTTTACGGGGAGGCTTTGGAGTGAATGACTTAAGCCCAGCTGGGCCTTGGGGTCCTTCTAACTGCAGTCTGAGAGGGTCACTGGAAAAGGGGACCTTGATTTCTGGTGGGTCCTCGGAGAGATGATCCCCACTACTGCCTGCCTCTTTCCTTGGGGAGCAGCTGTCCTCTTTTGGCTGCAGGATTTGGGGCCCATTGCTTGAGAGGTGCTCCATTGTCTGCTAGGAGAATCCATTAGATGCACCAACTAGAAGGAAGTCGAAGAACCGCTATTTCTTATGAACCAAGTTTCCATCTCGGAAGAAAAACCTGAAGGGGAATATGAGAAAAAAATGTGTCAGGGAAAAGTGCTACCCAAGCTGGTGTGGCATTTCATTTTGCACTGCCCCTAGAAATGTTAATGATAGAGGTTAGCCAAGCCTTCTGCTTTAACTGCAAAATGTTGAGACCACCCAATGCATCCACTCTCAAAAGATGCACCTAGTATTACTTGGGTCAGTCCTATTTTAAAGATCAGAGGTTTTTGAAACAAATCAGAATTGTAGGAAATTATTATTAGGATAGATTCATCTGGAAGAACACTATTCACCCCATGATTAACTAGATGGTAATGAAAATGCAATCACAATTGCAACCATAAATGTTATCAATACGCAACTGGTTATGGAGCACCAAGGAACTCCCAGAAAGGAGTTCCTAGAAAAGAGCTGACATGATTTCCATCTTCAAAAGAGGGAGGGAAATGGGTCCAGGAAACTACAGAATGGGAATACTTGGGAAAATACTGAAAAAGATAATCAAGCAAAGAATCAGCGAACACCAAAGACAAGCAAAGTTATAACCCGAAGGCTGAAGCCAACATGGGTTTGTAAAACCCAGATCATGTCAGACAAATCTTATTGCATTCTTTGACAAAGTGGCTAAATTAGACCACTGAAATGTGGACATAATTTACTTGGATTTCAGTAGGTATTTGATAAAGTAGACCACAACCTACTACTCGATAAGATAGAAATAGGGTTAGACAATACTATCACCAGATGGATTTGTAAGTGGCTGACCAACCACACTCAATGTGTGGTCCTCAATGGAACTACGTCTACACGGAGGGAAGTATGCAGTGGGGTTCCCCAAGGGTCTTGCTTAGTCCCAGTACTCTTCAATATCTTCATAAATGATTTAGATGAGGGACAGAAGGGGAAAACTCATCAAATTTGCAGAGGACACCAAGAAAGATCTTGACAGACTTGAACATTGGGTCCTATCTAACAAAATGAAATTCAATAGTGAGAAAAGTAAGGTTTTACACTTAGGCAGGTACAATAAAATGTACAGCTATGGAATAGGTAGAAGCTGGTTCAACAGCAGTAACTGTGAGAGGGATCCAAGACAACCATTTCAATATGAGTCAGCCGTGTGCTGCAGTTATCAAAAAAGCCAATTAACAGAGGGATAGAATCAAGATCACATGAAGTCTTAGTACCACTTTATAAGTGGTAAGATCACACTTGAAATGCTGCATCCAGTTTCGGTCGCCATGCTATAAAAAAAGAAGTTGAGACTCTAGAAAGAGTGCAGAGAAGAGCAACAAAGGTGATTAGGAGGCTGGAGGCTAAAACATATGAAGAACGGTTGCAGGAATTGGGTTTGGCTAATCTAGAGAAAAGAACTAGGGGGTGACATGATAGCAATATTCCAGTATCTGAGGGGCTGCCGCAAAGAAGGAGGGGGTCAAATTATTCTCCAAAGCACCAGAGAAACAGGACAAGAAATGATGGATGGAAACTGATCAAGGAGAGAAGCAACCTGGAATTAAGGAGAAACTTCCTAACAGTGAGGACAATTAACCAGTGGAACAGCCTGCCACCAGAAGTTGTGGGTGCTCCATCACTGGAGGTTTTTAAGAAGAGCCTGGACAGTCACTTGTCTGAAATGGCATGGGGGGGGGTTGGACTAGAAGACCTCCAAAGTCCCTTCTAATCCTGTTATTCTGTTAACGCACTGTCTGGATTGACACTTGGATCTCTATGGCAGCTCAACTAGAGGAAAAGGATAAATTGTGTCTCCAAGACACAGGACCCACATCAACAACAACAGATATTTTCCGCATTGTTGCAATTTGTCCTCAGCAATTTCAGGAGGAAGAACCCTAACCCTAACCCTAACCCTAACCCAGCTACATTACAGGTAGTCTTCGATTTACAACAGTTCATTTAGTGACCGTATGAAGTTACAACAAACCCAGATTGTTGGGGGCAAGAGGCTGACTCTGTAAACAGCTTAGAGAGGGCTGTAAAAGCATTGTGAAGCGGTATATAAGTCTAAGGTAGTGTTTCTCAACCTTGGGAGCTTGAAGATGGGTGGACTTCAACTCCCAGAAGGACCTTTGGAGGAAAGGAGGGGCCTGAAGTTGGGGACCCCTTTGCCCTCCCTTCCCAGGCTTTGCTAGCTGAGGAGAGGGCAGGGGGGCTCTTGTCTCCCCCCTCCCCCCATTTTTCTGCCCCCATTGGTGACCCTCTGCTGCTGAAGGGGGCTGAGTCCAGGTCTGCCCCTCCCCCACCCATCTAGGGGTTCCTCTTTCACTTCCTATAATCTCCCCCCTCTCAAACCCCCCCCCCCCCCCCGTCAGTCCTTGGAAGAAGGTGGAAAAGACTCCCAGAGAGAGGACCACAGGCAGTCCCCGACTTACGGCCACAACAGAGCCCCGCGTTCCTGTCGGTAAGCGAGCCCCTTGTTTAAGTGAGCTTGGCCCTGTTTTGTGACCTCTCTGGCTACGGTCGTTAATTGTGAAGTTACTAACAGGGTTGTTAAGTGAATCATTGCGGTTGTTAAAAAAAGAGTAACCGGGTTGGTAAGCGAACCCGGCTTCCCCCTTGACTTGGCTTGTCAGAAGGTCGCAAAAGGGAATGGCGTGACCCCCCCTCCCCCCGGGACGACCGTCCTAAATAGGAGTCAGTTGCCGAGCGCCCGAATCTTGATCATGTGACCACAGGGATGCTGCAGTGGTCGTAAGTCTGAAAAAAGGGCTGTAAGCCACTTTTGTGTTGTCGCCATAGCCAGAGCCCTTAGGCCGGTGCTTCTCAACCTTGGAAGCTTGAAGATGGGTGGACTTCAACTCCCAGAATCCCCCTCTCCTCATGAGGAAGGGCCCCATCATCCACGGCATGCACGGAAAGGATCCTGAGGGGAGGCTTGGGGTTGTTTTCCTTGATTTTTGGGGAGGGAGGGCGGCCGAAACCCGCGTCCCAATCAGTAAAACAGCATTAAACCGACCAAAAGGAAAGCAAAACAAAAAGAAAAGCGAAATGGCGGCACGGAAAAAAAAAAAAAAACCAACCCAAAGCGAAATAACGTAAGAGCCGCCAACAGTGGGGAAGGCCTACCTCGCAGGGTCGTTGTTGAGCAGCCTCTCGCCGCGCCGCGCTCGTCCCGTCGTCGTCGAGGCCGTGGCTCCTCCCACTTCCAACGGCCGCCCTCTCTCGCTCGCGCGCGCGTGCGTTTGCGCACGCTCCCCCTCGCCCCGCCCCTTCGGCGCGTTGCCATGGCGCCCCGCTCCCTCAGAGCGTTGCCATGGCGCCCCGCGGTGGGCGGTTCTTCCCTGACGCCGCTTTGGAACCCGGATGGGCGGGGGAGGAGGGGGGAAGGAGCTGCAGCTGTGAAGCCACAACTGGGTCCTCCCCCCCCGGATCTTTACAGGGAGTCCTCGACTTACGACCACAATGGAGCCCAACTTTACTGTTTACTTAAGTGAGACGGGTACTCACTTAAATGAGTTTTGGCCCATTTTACCACCGTTCTTGCCGCAGGCATTACAGTGAATTGCTGCAGTTGATAAGTCGAGTCACCCGGTCGCTAAATGAACCTGGGTTCCCCCCCATTGACTTTGTCAGGAGGTCGCAAAAGGGGATCACGTGACAACGGAGCAGCGGTCATAAGTGTGAACCAGCTGCCAAGCACCTGAATTTTGATCACATGGGCATGGGGACGCTTATAAAGGTCGCAAGTGTGAAAAATGGCCAGGTCACTTGTTTTCAGTGCGGCTGTAACTTTAAAACAGTCACTAAATGAACTACCTGTGTTCCAGCACCGAGGGCATTTCTTCATCACCCTCACCACACGCAGGGCTTTGCTTATGACTGCCTGTTGCTTTTACGCATCATGAATGACTCCAGCTTCTATGTCTTGCATTTGCAAGGAAGCAGGAGAGGAAGAGCTGAAAGGGACCCTGGAGGTCTTCTAGTCCAGCCCCCTGCTCAAGCAGGAGAACCTCTACTATTTCAGATAACTGTCTGGAAACACCGATGCTTTTGAACTCTGGGATTGGAGGTCTTACGTTTGTGTTTTTATTTTTATAGTTATAATGTACACTGAAGACTGCACTTAATTTCGTTCTACCATGTGCAATGACAATATACTATTAACTATACGGGCCAAAACAGATAGATCAAACTTCCTCCACCCAGAGGCCTCTCTCGAGGCAATGACCAGATGGGAGGAAAAAAAAAACCACATGAAGAAAACCCAGCTCTGGAGAAGCTGGAAGGAAAGAGGACAACCAGCTGCAAAAGGGATGAACTCAGTTAGGGTGGAAATGGGGGCATGCGTGGAAGGCTGAAGGACCAGGTGGGGGACAGACCCTCTCGGAGAAAATCTGGGTGGTCACTCTGAGGCGACGATGACTTGATGGAACTTTTATGTTTTATACAGATTCGCCACGCTGCTTTGGGACCATCCATTCAGCCTCGATTCTCCCAATGGGCGCAGGAATTTGGCAAACTCCACTAAAATCCCCTAAGAAAGGTTTCTCCAAAGCAAAGCGAGGGGAAGGTTGATGGTTTGCAGTGCCAGAAACTTGCAGGCTCTTAGGACGCCTGCTTCAGTGTAAAGTTGGGGACCCCAATAAACCATAGGCCGAGTTAAGTGTGAAAAGTGCTCCAGATGCGCAAAATATTTTTATTTTAAGAATGTACAGTGTCGTTTGTAACATTTAGGACAGAGAGTGGCTCTTCTGGGTGGAGGAAAACTTGGAAGTGGAAAAATGCGCAGTGGTCATCGACACAGAGGCAGAGGTCTAAAGGGACAAAAAACATCTTGAACAAATTCAAGATGACTAGAAGAGAGGCCAGCACGTGGCTGAGACAAGTTCTGCCTTTTTTTTTTACAACTCTTCACCACAAAAATCCTTGGAAATGTGTTTAAGACTCTCCAGAACCCAGATATGTAGAATTAAGCCACAGAGTCGAGCATCAACGTTAAAAAATACGCTCTGCATTTCTTGACTCGAGCATTGGTCTTCTGGACTGGCTTTTACTGCACCAACAATTAGTTGTCGCTGATCAGACTTACGTGGATGTTAGCACAACCTATGACAGCTTTGAAGAGTTCCCGCAACTCCACCTGAGACCTAGTTCATGTCTCTTGTTAGAGAGGCTTGCTAATTTGATTAGTTTTTTTTAAAAAGGGACGGCCAGGTAAATTATGAGCTGGGCCCGTGGGAAAGGGGGAAAGGTCTGAGATGGAAGAAGGAAAACTTCCACAAATTTTAAAAAATAAAATGCTAAGCCCTTTTGAGCTGTTATGGAGTTATTGGAGGGATCAGAGTTTCAGAAAGGAGCCATATTGCACTTTCAGGAGGAATTATCAGAAGGAGAACAATGCAAAATGCTATACAAAGAGCTTCCGCTCTTGACTCTACAATTCGTTTTACAAGGAGCCTAAGACGCAAACTACATATACACTAAAGAAAATCCACTTCCAAGGAAATCTTAAGATTACAAGTCACAGTTTTTTTTTTTTCTTTTTCTTTCCCCCTATTCATTATACATTTCTGTTTATTTGGATCAGCTACGTTTTCCCTCCATGAAGGTTGGGAGCAAGGGAAAGTCGATAGGAAAAGAAAATCCCCACCCATTCTGTTAATGTGCCAGATGAGCAATAAACCCCAAGTAGTGGTTTATATGCATAAAAACAATGCCCCGATCCCTGTAAGGCCACAAACTGTCATGTTAAAAGGTGACACGGGAAAAGTCTTGTCGTAGAAGGAGCAGCTGGATTTTAGCAAAGCCGAGGAGGAAAAAGGGGGGCCTTCGGGCTGAGGCAGCCCCAGCTGCATTCCTGTGGGTTGATTTCTCCAGTCCCTCTTGACGTTCGACCATCTCAGCCAAGCTTTTGGGTAACGAGGAGGGCATGTGGTAATCAACGTCGGCCACGGTCTCCGTGGGGGAGCCACCCAGATGGATTCTCAATTTGAGAAACTGCACTGGCACCCCGTGACATCTTTGGGGACTTCTTGTGCGATGGCCTGGCTGAGAGACCGAATGGATGCTATTTTAAGGTGGGGTATTTTCTCTGCCCGATTCTGCCAAGTCGGGAGCTAGCCGGAGCTGCAGGAGGCTGAAAAGACAAAAGTTTTCAATCAGTCAGGTAACCGCACAGCTGGAGACAAAAAAGAACCCTGCACACACAACTTCTTCTTGTGTTTGAAATCCTCCTCTTGGGTTGTGTTTAAAGCAAAGCAAAAGGTCCTCCCAATTCTGTTCCAAACCGAATTCCAATCCTGAAAGCTCAAAAGAAAACTATCCCTAGCCAATCCACGGTTGAAGCAAAAGCCTTTGGACCCTAAACCCACCCTAGGGATTGAATACAAGCCGGAGCAAATCTTTCCTCATTACACGAAGCGTTACAGGGAGTGGGGTGCATGGAGGTGGTCTAGTTTTGCAGGACTCGCATCGGAGGGGACCTGTTGAGAGGAGGAGGAATGCTGTACCTGTGCAAACTGAGACGGATTGTAGAACTGGACAGCACTGGTTGGGGGATCTCCAGAAGATGCCTAGACAAAGCAAGGAGAGAGGTTTGCGATTACTGTGATTTCAGGAAAAGTCAGACAAGCCTGCCTTCTGTGCTTGGTCAAGCAGGGATTCCACAATACTGCAGCAAGAGTATTACACACAAATGCCAACACAGGAAGGAGAACCCACCTGCCCCCAACTCGCAGGGAAGCTTCCCGTGTTACCGATAGGAGCAGCGGTGCACACAGGCTGTCACAGAACAAAGGCACATGCACGAGCCTGAAAAGGCTCCTTTGGGATAGGGTGGGAGCGGCCCTCGAAACATGCAAGAGGAGCAGCGGAAAGGTTAGCTGTGCCAAGTGCTTGAAGAATGCCCAAACCGTGAGCCTGCCTGGGGGTCCATGTGGAGGTGCATTCCCCCCCCTCACCTTGCTTCCAAGGGAGCCCCAAAGATGGATGTGTACAAAGATTGAAGCGCTTGGTTCCTTCTGACAGAACCTGGGAGGGAGGGTTTCTTAGCCTTGGCCAACCTTAGGACACGCAGACCAATTCTGTCCACGCGTCTTACATTCTCCAAGGCTCAGAGAACCTGTTCCAAGACAGCCAAGGCTCTAGAAAGGGACCTGCTTTGAGGTTTCTGCCAGAGGGCTTCAGATTACAGATTAAGAGAGTTGGAAGGGACCTTGTAGGTCATCTAGTCCAACCCCCCACCCAAGCAGGAGACCCTACACCATTTTCTGACAGATGGCAGTCCAGTCTCTTCTTGAAAGCTTCCAGGGATGAAGCTCCCACAATTTCTGAAGGCAACTTCTGTTCCATGGGTGGATTGCTCTCACTGTCAGGAAATTTCTCCTTATTTCCAGATTGAACAGCTCCTTCTTCAGTTTCCATCCATTGTTCCTTGTCTGGCATTCAGGTGCTTTGGAGAATAGCTTGAGCCCCTTCCTCCTCTCTGGGGCAGCCCCTCAGATATTGGAGCACTGCTCTCCTGTCTCCCCTGGTCCTTCTCTTCACTAGACTAGCCATGCCCGGTTCCTGCAACCGTTCATCGCATGTTTTAGCCTCCAGTCCCCTAATCTTCTTGGTTGCTCTTCTCTGCACTCTTTCTAGAGTCTCAACCTCTTTTTTATACTGTGGTGACCAAAACTGAATGCAGTATTCTAGGTGTGGCCTTACTAGGGCTTTATAGAGTGGTATTAGGACCTCCCTTGATCTTAATTGTATCCCTCTGTTAATGCAATTTAGGATTGCATTGCCTTTTTTGGCTGCCGCTGCACACTCTTGGCTCCTGTTTAGCTGGTTGTCCAGTAGGACTCCAAGATCCCACTCACAGTCACTGCTATTAAACCTGGTTTTCCCCAGTCTATATGTCTACTTTTGGTTTTTCTTGCCTAAGCGTAAGAATGTAGACCCATAACTCTCATAAATCCAGCTGAGCACCAGGCTGTTTTGACTGGCTTCTGGATGCTAGCTGGAACAGCAGTTGTAAAATGTTGATCATGTTCTCACAGCATCAAGGGTGCCCCCCAACAATCAGGAGTACCTCTGCATGTGAGTCTCGGTGAGGGAGAAGAATGTCGCAAAGCATGGAGAAGGCGTGTTTCATGTTCAGCAAAACATTTCTTATCTTTTGGATTTTAAAAGGGAGCAGAAAATTTTCACTGAACAATTTTCCAGCAAAAATGAGGGCTCTGCTCTTGGGTCTTTTATGCTTGTTGAGACATATTGTATGCTACTTTCTGGTGATTTTACTCATTCATGCAACAGAGCAATTGGGATAGAATCATAGGGCTGAAAGGGAGGAGACCTTATAGCATCCCAGACAAATGATTGTCCAGTCTGTTCTTGAAAACCTCCAGCAATGGAGCACCCATAACTCAGGGAGGCAAGCTGTTCCACTGATTAATCATACTCACTGACAAGTAAATTACTTCTATGGTAGGTTGGATCTCTCTTTCATGAGCTTCCACCCATTACTTCTTGCCCTGCCCTCTGGTACGCTGGAGAATGAGTCAATCCCCTCTTCTCTCTGGCATCCCCTCAAGTACTGGAAGACAGCTCTCATATCATATCACATGACATCATATAGTAGCATATATGATATCGAGTGGGTAATCTGTACAGTACAAGTGGCCCCTGAAGTCCTATTGGACTTCCCCAATCTCCCTGCTGACAGAACTGCTGATTCTTGTCAATGTTGATTTAAAAAAAAAAAAGTGCAGTAGGCTTCACACTTCCAAACACTCAATTTCTCTCCAGAAATCCTAGCCCTGTGTCCATTGCATCACCATAGTAGTGATAAAGAATGAATGTAAAATGGACTTAGCTCAGTGGCTAAGATGCTGAGCTTGTCGATCGAAAGGTCGGCAATTCAGCGGTTCGAATCCCTGGTGCCGTGTAACGGGATGAGCTCCCGTGACTTGTCCCAGCTTCTGCCAACCTAGCAGTTCGAAGGCATGTAAAAAATTCAAGTAGAAAAATAGGGACCACCTTTGGTGGGAAGGGAACAGCGTTCTGTGAGCCTTTGGCATTGAGTCATGCCAGCCACATGGCCACAGAGACGTCTTCGGACAGCGCTGGCTCTTTGGCTTTGAAACGGAGATGAGCACCGCCCCCTAGAGTCGGGAATGACTAGCACGTATGTGCGAGGGGAACCTTTACCTTTACCAGAGTTGAAATGAGGGGCGCTTGGTGCTCTCTGAGCTTGGCTGTTTTCCTGCAGATGTTTCATTACCCAAAGAATGTAACATCATCAGTGCTAAGTCTAGAGAGATTCTCAGTTCTCCAGGTCATGGTTGTAGTCCCAAAGGTGCTTTTTTTTGGAGGCAACTGGACTTTCTTGTTGTTGTTTTTTGAAGACATTTCGCTTCTCATCCAAGCAACTTCTTCAGTTCTGACAGGACACAGGTAAACCTCCAAGTGCTTCAAAGACCTTCTAAAAGGATGCAAAGGACCAGCTGTCTGCAAGGAATATAAATCCTTCCCTTCCCCACCATCCAGTCAGAGCTGAAGAAGCTTCTTGGATGAGAAGCGAAACGTCTTCAGAAGAAAAAAAAAGGAAGTCAAGTTGCCTCCTGAAAAAAAGCACCTTTGGGACGATCATCAGTGCGAGAAGGGAGAGGGGTTTGCTCTCAGTTTATGTTTTGGTGGCCTGTCCCTACAGTGTTGGTGGAGGTGGTCTTAGAAGTTCTTTGGTTGGGCTGTTTACTGAGCCACCAAGGCTCTTTTTATGAATGTGATGAAGCTGCAGGGATATCCATTTTGTTGAAAGATGTTGTGTTTGTACTCGTCTAAATAGAGTTCTTACCCACAGCTTCTCTTGTCAGAGGTTGTGTTACTACTTTGGTAGTAGGACATTTGGTTGGTGTGTGGGCGGGGTGGGGTGGTTGGTATCCCTGTGTTTCTAATTTGCCATCCTAGTCGGCACTGATAAGAATATCCAGGAAGGGGAGCATGTAATTGTTTTCACCCTAACTCTTGTGAATGGGATTCTTTTGAGGATTGGTTTTGTGGGTGTTCCCTAATTGGTCCCGTTTTATTAAAGGTGTTGTCTATATGTTCATCGTTTAATGACCCCATAATCCCTTGCAATGGGGTGGAGTCGGGACAACTGAATGGAGCTGAGTGTTTACTGGCCAGATGCCCTTCCTGTCACCAATGCGGAGTGTTTGCAGCTGATATATATTCTCATTGTGCCGAGAGAGAGAAATATCAGCCTCTACCTAGGATCGAACTCACGGCCTCCTGATTGTGAGGTGAGAGCTCCACCTCTAGGCCAAAAGGTGTGTCTATATACCTGGTCCATATTTTGAGTGGTATGCATGGCAGTGCTACTGATTCCAGATGTTGCATTACAACCTCTGCTATCGGTCCTGAAAGTGGGGATCCCACGGGTGTACCTTTGATTTGTTGATATGTTTATCCAGCAAATTCTAAGTATGTGGTTACGCCAAAACATATCCTGATTCAGCACATTTTGCCTTTTCTGTTGTTTTTCAGTTGCTATCCTGTTCCAGGCTGGCTAGACAAAACCCCAACTCTGACCCTTTTTTTGAAGGGGGGAGTCTTGGACTATGAACCCTGCATTATGGAAAAGCAATCATGTTTCCCCAGCCAAGGAGAGCTGGCTCAAAAAAGAGCCAGGTACTCCATTTCCCTGCTTTTGGGGGGGCGGAAGGCTTCATCATTATGGTGACATGTTAGTTGGATGGAAATGCAAGTTGGAGATGGCAGAACTGGGACAAGATATGATGGGGGGAAGGAGGGAAAAGGAGCAGGAAAAGAGAGGAGGAGGAGGGCCAGCCAAGGTACCTGATTTAAATGCTGGCTGACTTCACGGGATAATGAACTCATTGAACTAGAGCGCGAAAGCTACAAAAAACAGCAAAGACACACAACACACAAAAAAAGGAATCAAAGTCACCATGCCAGCCGCTGCCTGCAGCTCTCAGCTAAACTTTTGTTCATATCAAAGGGGGAGGGGAAGGGTCCCAGGGCCAAAGATTAAATTATACATATCGCTAAATGCAAGTTAGCTTTGCTTTTTTTTTTTTTTTTTAAAGGCACTTTCTGGGTTATGGACATCTCGGATGCAACTCAAAGCCTTGGGTTGGATTTTAAGAGCCTAGCATTTTCATGGCACTTCACGCAAGTCAAACTCATGCACAAATAATGTTCAACGGAGGAATGAAGGTTCCGCAGAATGGCAGGCCTCTTCAGAAGAGGCGACTGGCTACACCTTCAGTTCCCAGATACAGATTGCCAGGCTAAACCTTACTCTACGTTTACCTCCTTCCGGTTCCACTCTTCCTGCTTCCAATGGCCTTTAGCTCCTGAGCTTGTTACATGTTATTTTCTGTTGCAAAGGTGGGCCTAAAAGCACCTGGCAGGTGCCTCAAAGGCTCAGAATAGCTAACCTGGCAAGGGGCGCCTACCTCTCCAGACTGGGCGTCCCCTGGATTCAACACAGGAAGCTCAGGCCCAGGTGGAAATGCAGCAGAATTTAAGTACTGAAAGACAAAAGGAAGGAAGGAAGGACGCCATCAACCGTGGAAATGTAGCAATGACCCAAGAGAATCCAATTGAAATTATCCATGGCTAAGCATTGGCACGGGCATTTTATCAAATCCAAAAGTAATGTTATTGTTAAAGTTCTCCATTATGAGTAGAGGTCAGAGAAGAATTAATGCAACAATTTACGCCAGGTAGGCCTTGATTTATGACTATGGTTCAAAATTATGACGCCTCGGAAAAAGCCATATGCCAGCTGCCCTTGCATTTACACCTGTCATACCAGCCACATTGCCCTGTGATTGCAATTCAGGCATTTGGCACCTGGCTCGTATTTACAACGGGTTGCAGTGCCTTGTGTTGACATGATTGTGATGTGCGACTCTCCCAGCCAGTTTCTGACAAAAACATCAACTGGGGAAGCTGGATTCGTTTAATAACGGTGGTGAAAATGGTCGCAAAATCAGGTTCACTCACTTGACGACTCACTTTAGGACAGCCATGACTTACAACAGAAATTCTGCTCCCCTGTGGTCGTAAGACGAGGACTACTGTATATGTTTCTTCTTGTTCACATATCTTTCACCCATTTTGCTGTTCTCTCTTCTCCTCACCCAGGCACAATCCCTGCCCAGCCCGCAATCTTTCACTGGCGTCCAACATCCGAATTCTCAGCCAGAAAGGCTTTTTTAAAAAAAATATCATTTTAATTTTATTATATAAAATATAAAATACAAAGAAAGAAAGAAAGAAAGAAAGAAAGAAAGAAAGAAAGAAAGAAAGAAAGAAAGAAGAAGGAAGGAAGGAAGGAAGGAAGGAAGGAGAGAGAGAGAGAGAGAGAGAGAGGGAGAGAGAGGGAGAAGAAAATAGGAAATTAAGGGCAGGAAAGGGAACGGGGAAATGGGGGTGTGAAATACAAGGAAAGGAAAGGAAAAGGAAAAGGAAAGGGAAAAAAGGAAAGGAAAAAGGAAAGGAAAGGAAAAGGAAAGGAAAGGAAAGGGAAAAAAGGAAAGGAAAGGAAAAGGAAAGGAAAGGAAAGGGAAAAAAGGAAAGGAAAAAAGGAAAGGAAAAAGGAAAGGAAAGGAAAAGGAAAGGAAAAAAAAGAAAGGAAAAAGGAAAGGAAAGGAAAAGGAAAGGAAAAAAAAGAAAGGAAAGGAAAAGGAAAGGAAAGGGAAAAGGAAAGGAAAGGAAAAGGAAAGGAAAGGAAAGGGAAAAAAGAAAAGGAAAGGAAAGGAAAGGGAAAAGGAAAGGAAAAAGGAAAGGAAAGGAAAAGGAAAGGAAAAAAAAGAAAGGAAAAAGGAAAGGAAAGGAAAGGAAAAGGAAAAGGAAAAGGAAAAGGAAAAGGAAAGAACAGGAAGGCATTGACTTCCACCTTTTCCTATCACAGTACAAGATAAACACTCTCCAGCCTCAACTTCTTGCTTTGACACATTAATATCTAACTAGCCATCCCTATAACACCAAATAGTCCTAGCACTGGTGTTACAGAACTAGCCAGGGAGGCGTCTGAGTGGGGCCTTCGAAGCCCAGCTGCTGCATTCAGGGCCTCTCTAAAAGTAACTCCAACTTACTGGGACTTCTCCAGTTGACTCAGGGTTGGTGTCGTTTCCTGGTGCCATCTGATCTTGAGCCACTCCACCCTCCAGCGGTGTCTGCTCTTCAGGAACTGTATGAAGAGGCCACAGGTTGTTTTTTGTTTTTTTAAAGGACAAGCTTTCTGCCCCTTCCCTCCATCACAGGGGTCTGCATAGGGTTTTCCATGGAAAAGTAGCCAAGCTTGCAATGGGCCTCCTCTCCCATGGTGGTCTCTGGCTGGCTCTAGGGGAAACTTGTCCTCAAGTTAAAGGCTTCAAAGTTATTTTGAATTACATTCCAAAATTGTGGAATCTACTGGTTTTTAAGGCAGTGTTTCACCAAAAAAAAAAAAAAGGGACATGTCGTTTAAGAGTAACACCAACTGTTCAGAAAGTTAAGAATTCAAGAAGAGTTTTTTCACAAATAGTTTAAACCAGGGGTGTCAAACACAAGGCATATTCAAGCGTGCTTAAATATGGCCTGCGGGGGGAGGGGGGGCACATGCGGCACCTGCAGCCCATTTTTGGTCTCCACGGCCTCCTGCAGCACTCTGCCGGTTGAAACACCCACCCACCCACCCTCAGCTCCGGCCGGCCGATGGAGAACTACAATGCTGGTCCGGCCCTTGAAGAAATCCACTTGGACACCCCTGGTCTGAACAGAATATTTACAATCTAAGCTCTTCGACAAGAGGCAGTCTATCTAATACCTGCGCCAGTTCATTAAATCCCAATCTTATATTTTCCGTAGCAAAAGCTGTTCAACTAAAATCAGCCAACAGCATTTTTTCCTCCCGCTTCCCTCTTCCTTGGAAAAGGAAGCAGAAAAAAGAGCAGCTGGGAAGGGAGGCCGGCAGGCTCCGGAGTGCGGCTTTTGCTCGCCTTCTTCGCACCTACCTGCCTTGACTCACCTGAGTTGGGTACAAACATGTTGGCAGGGATGGGCATCGGGGCCAAGGGAGCGAACAGGTCAGCTGGAGCTAGAGCAGGAACAGGAGATTTGGCTTTGCCTGGGTTCATAATGTCCACGTAGCGAACTTTACTTCCAGCTGTCAAGGGACAAGCAGAGAAACAAGATTCGTTCCAGAGACCGAGGAGGAGAGAGAAGCAGCACGTCAAGGAACAAGGGCCCAATTTCCTGACTGCAAGGGCCCTAAAGGTCTAAGTCGGGAGAGGTCTGACACCATCTCCCAGCTCTCCCGGAGGGCATCGGAAGCAAAGGGGAGGCAGACCTTATGGTCAGACCCAGGAAGCTAATCTGGAGGTGTGGGAAGGAGCGAGAGGCTCCAGGAGACCCGTGGCCAGAATCCCACTTTCTCAGCCATTTTGTTTGTACTTACATAGAGCAAGAGGTCCTAACTTTTGGGGGCTAATGGATGCACATGAAAAGCCAAACGTACTATGGTCATTTTGCAAATGGTGCCCTGCTACCATCTAAGGATTGAGCAAGTGGTCAGGCTGTGTTGCATTTATTGATTTATCCCAAGGGACCCTTGACCTAATGTGGGAGGGGTCATGGGTGTGACTCAAAATTTGTGTCGGGGGGGGGGGGAACCTGTGGCGGCCAAGCGGTAAGGCAGGGCTTCCCTGAGACCCTCCCTTACTCATTATAATCAATCTATCTATCTATCTATCTATCCATCTATCCATCTATCATCTATCTGTCTGTCTGTCTGTCTATCTATCTATCATCTATCTGTCTATCTATCCATCTATCCATCTATCCATCTATCCATCTATCCATCTATCCATCTATCTATCTATCTATCTATCTATCTATCTATCTATCTATCTATCTATCTATCTATCTATCTTCCTCCCTCCCTCCCTTTTTCCTTCCCTTCATTCTAATTTCTTCTTCTTGCCCTTCTTTCCTTCTTTTGCCTTCCTTGCTCTCTTCCCATCTTTTTCTTTCCCTTCCCTCTTTCCCTTTCTCCTTTCCTGTCCCTTCTTGCGTGCTCAAATGCAAAAGGGGAAACATTTCTCCTTTTGTTTTGTTTTTAGTTTGTTTTGATAGCCCTCTGCCAGTGAAAACGGAGCTCGGGGGAGCTGTGTGCACCCCCCAGCACCCCATTTTCCCTAGCAGAGACAATGCAGGCCGGTCCTTTGCTATTTCCAGACCAGCCCCCAGGGGTCAGATCTAAGCCATGGGCTGGATGTGGCTCGCAGGCCTTGAGTTTGATACACCTGACCTAATGCCTCTCAACTCCTGAAACCTCTGGAGATGCTCTCAAACCAACACTATCTTCCCTCGCTGCTTGCCCTCTCAACAAGCCACTCTTAGCCAAGGAAGGGAGTGGGCAGACAATGGAGCCACTGGTTCATAGGCAAACCCTGGCTCGTCCCACCTCTCAGGCCCAGGATAGGTTTTCCAATTGTGTAAGTTACCTGCTCTCCTGGAGAACATGTTGATGGAAGCATTGGGAGGTCCTGCTAATCCAGAGGAAACAGCCTGAGGCAATGCTGTGGGGGGAGGGGGAGGGGGTTTGCTCTAAAAAGAGAGAGGGAGAGGGGAAGGAAAAAAACAGTCAGTGAAATGCAAATCTCTTAATTGACAGCTTTCCTTTTCCTAAATAGAATAAAAGAGTTGGAAGGAACCTTGGAGGTCTTCTAGTCCAACCCCCTACTTAGGTGTAGGATACCCTACACCACTTCAAACAAATGATTATCCAATCTCTTCTAAAAAACATCCAGTGTTGGAGCATTTACAACTTCTGGAGGCAAGTTGTTCCACTGGTTAATTGTTCTAACTGTCAGTTCTCTGTTTTTGGAACTCCTTTACGTTTGGTGTTGGACGGCAAGAAATCACGAGACAGCTTTCGCAAGAGTCCCTCAGGCACAGGAGACGAAGGGATGGAAAAAAACTAGCAGGCTAGAATAGCAAAGAAAGTAGAAGACCCTCCCCGGAAGGAAGCTGCTTTTTCATCCCTTGATGATGATGATGATGATGTGTGTGTGTGTGTGTGTGTGTGTGTGTGTGTGTGTGTGTGTGTAGAGCAGAGAAAAAAGGGACTTGGAGCACGATGTGCGTTATGCTCCTGGGTGATGCATTCCTGGCCGCGACACTTACTTCCTCTTCCGGTTCATCCAGGTTGACCCACCGCTGTTTCTTTTCATCCCAAACAATCTGCAGATAGATAAAGAAGAATGAAGCAACGTTTTCCAAGAGGAGCCAGATTCAGCTGGCTAAATCTGCGTGTGTGTTTTCTATTTAAACACATTTAGGCTGGTTAGAATAATCAAATACAAAGGGAAATAGTCTACGTTAGGTAATAGAATTTCAAAAAAAAAAAAAAAAAACCTTACCCTTACTAAGCAAAAGTAAAAGAGTCCTGGTGGTGCAGCAGACTAAAGCACTGTAATTAACATTCAGCTGCCTGCAATTACTGCAAGTTCAAATCTCACCAGACTCAAGGTTGACTCAGCCTTCCATCCTTTCTAAGGTAGGTGAAATGAAGACCCTTATTTGTGGGGGCAATAAGATGACTTTGAATAAATATACAAAAGTATGAAGGTTATTGCTTAACGCATTGTAAGCCGCCCTGAGTCTCCGGAGAAGGGTGGCATATAAATCAAATGAAAAATAAAAATAAAAAATAAATAAGAAGTGAATATATTATAGAAAACTTTCTAGGGACGCATTTTCTAATTTCCCTTGTTTGTTTGTCTAATCTCTCTGCCCACAACCTAGATAGTTATGGTTTATATTGAACCCTGAAGGTTACTGCTCTGCTGATTTGAGTCCTTTGACTTTATTAGCCACATAATCTTTTTCTTAGAAATCATAGCGACTCTCCGAATATTGATGAACTAACTAATATTGGCAGAAAGATACAGATTAACAGAGTTGGGAGGGACCTTGTAGGTCATCTGGTCCAAACCCCCACCCAAACAGGAGACCCTCCACCATTTCTGACAGATGGTCGTCCAGTCTCTTCCTGAAAGCTTTCAGAGATTCAGCTCCCACAACTTCTGTTCCATGGGGTTGATTGCTCTGTCCGAAAATTTCAGGTTGAATCTCTCCTTGTTCAGTTTCCATCTTGTCTGGCCTTCAGGTGCTTTGAAGAATAGCTTGACCCCCTCCTCTCTCCTCCCCCCTCAAGTATTGGAACTCTGCTATCCTGTCTCCCCTGGTCCTTCTCTTCCCTAGACTAGCCAAGAGGTTGCTAATAGGTTCTATTCCACTCGTGGATTCTTTTTATCCACTTTAATATTAATTTTAATGCTTTACCTTTTAATGCCCTATGTTTTAATCCTGTCACTGTTTTATTTTGTTAGTTCTGGTATTGGAAGCCGCCCAGGGTGCCTTGACCATGAGATGGGCTGCATACAAATCTAATAAATAAATAAAATGGAAAACTAATTCTTGTTAGGGATAGTTTTCTGTCATTCGTTTTTGTCTCTCGGATAGAAATCGCAGTGCCCATGCTCTAAATCTGCCTCTCTGCAGAAGCGTTTTTCTAACTTTCTTTGCCAATCCTGAAAGGTTTTTTTTTCTGAGACTGGAATTGGTGCCATTTGAAGTTTTTAAAAAACGTAAAAAATAAAAATGTGTTTCTTTTTAAATATCCCAAGGCCAAATGCTACAGTTTGGGAACTGAGTATTTTTTTAAAATATTTTTTTTTATTTTAAATACAAATAATGCAAACACAGTACATATACATCTAAACACACACAAAAAGGGGGGAAAATACAAATATTACAGTGCACCCCCACCTCAGGAGACCATTTTTTCCCCTTATATTTCTTTTTCTATAACAACTAAAAGATATACCATATATTCTAATTGTGCCCTTATCCCTTCCAAAACAACATATATTCATACAAACCTTTATTCCCTTTGCTTTCCATCAACACTGATTTTATAAAATCCCCCATATTTCATAATTGTTGGCTTTGATCATCCCTTTTTAAAATTTAACTGAGTATTAAAAGGAAGACAATAATATTAGCCCAAGGATGCCAGTGGAGGCTGAACGGTTTTCTTACCGACTTGTTCTTATCATCAGGAAGATGAGCTTCATGTTTGGTTTTCCCCATTAGCCAACGAAGCCAGCTCTGGGGGAAAAAATGCAATCATACTTTCTTTTAATATAATGTGTGTGTCCCCCCCACCCCCCAGGAGATTCCAGAGCAATTTCTGACTTTAAGTTTGGTGCAAAATGCAGTGGCCTGCATGGTTTTGTGCAGACCTCGGTGTGCACATGTGTCACCTGTCCTGCGGGAGCTGCATTGGTTGCCGATTTGCTTCTGGGTGCAATTCAAGGTGCTGGTTGTCACCTTTAAAGCCCTTCATAGCTTGGGACCAGGTGATCTGAGGGACCGTCTCTTGCCGGTCACATCTACCCAACCCACCAGAGTGGGGAGGCAGGGAATGCTGTGGGTCCCATTCCCGAGGGAGAAACAGCTGGTGGGACCCAGAAGGGCCTTCTCCGTGGTGGCTCCCTCTCTCCGGAACATCATCCCCCCCAGAGATTAGACTGGCCCCCACTCTGGCACTCTTCCAGAAGGCGTTGAAAAGGGCCTGGGGAGCCCAGAGCAGGTTGGAGCCCATTAAATGGCTCATGTGATCTGCTGTCGCCAGGGTGGGGGGCTATTATATTATTTTCTTTTATTAGTTTTATTTTTATATATATACGAAGTTTTTATACCCCTGTAAGTTGCCTTGAGTTGCCATGTGCGAATAGGCAGCAATATAAATTTTCTAATAAATAAATAAATAAGTTTGAGAGAGGAAGTGCTAAGCTTGTGAGGGGAAGGAGAGATGGAGGCCTCCAGAAAGTTTTGCTGAGGTTGGCAAAGGCATCGGCACCAAGCCAGGAAGAGCGAACTCTCTCCAGGAGGGGCAGCTAAAGTGTTTCTGCTTAGCGTTAAGGTTTATGGCTCACTTTTTGAGGTGCCAGCTCCTCCTTGGCTTCTTTGGAGGTTTTCTTCCTTTCGGGGATCGAGGGTGGAGGTGGAGAAGGCTGCTTGGCGGCGGAGTTTCGCCTCTCCCGGCCAACAGAATGCACGGAGGACTCCGAGGTGGTCCGAGACCGCCGCCCCAGGCCCTGTGGTTACGTAACAACCGAGTTCAATTTTTTGGCTTTAAGAAGGGACGTCTGCAATAATGTAGTAAGAAGGAAGAGGAGGAAGGAGAAAAAGTGCTAACAAGCAACGGAGATGAGAAGTGGTAATGGAGAGAGGAGGACAGATTTAAGAGAGAGAAGATCTGAGTGGCAGCAAATCAATTTCAGGGGCATACCATGTGGGCCGAAGACTGGGAGGTCGATCGGGATCGTCGGCCTGGGCCCTGGACAGAAACAAAGTCAGCACCTGAACAAGCAGCGAAGACCACACATGAACAGCCGTGGGCAGCAAAAGTCCCACTGGCTCAAATCCCAGAAGTGGATTCGTCACGTTGGAAAGGAAAAAAAAAAAACACAACAGACAACCGGGAACTCGTACGCGGAATCTTCTTTACTTACCAGATTATTCTGCTCCTGGTCTCTGACCTCCAGACTGAAGGGATCTAGGAAGCCCGGCTCCTGGTTCACCGGAGCTTCTTGCCTTCAGCCTGAGGCCCTGCCTGTGGTGCACATGCCCCAGAGGTAGTCCAAGGCCATCGGCCCCATCGCCACAGCTTGGCAGGCAAGATGTGGCTGACCAAGAGGGCCATGGCCGTGGACTTCTCCTGAAGTGCTCAGAGAAAAGTCATTCTAAGAACTTCTTCACAAATTTTGGCATTCCGGAACTAATGTGCCCAAATTAAGCCAAAGCACGCAAGGCAGGCTTGGAAACTTCCCACAAGGCCTCGGGCAGAATGTGGCCACACAATGAAGGTCACTAATAAAGAGAGAGAAAGAAATTGGCCAATACCATGATTTCCATCTTCCTGTAGAAGTCTTCCTCTCCGGACTTTGGAACTGCCTTCCATGCGGGAGGTTCAGCCACCCCTGGGATCAAAAAGCAAAAAGCAAAAAGCAAAAAGAGAAAGAGGGAACGACAGGTAAGCTTTAGTTTCTCCCAAATAAGGGGGGAAAGAGCCACCTGCCTGTGAGATGAGTGGCTATGACAGACAGATGAATGAATGAATGAATGGGGCTCCAGATCCAAGGCTTGGTGATGCAGTGTGGGCAGGTCCATCTAGGACAAGGGTCTCAAACTCAATTTCACTGAGGGCCGCATCAGTGCTGTGATTGACCTCGGAGGGCTGGGCGGGCACGGTCGACTGGGTGGGTGTGGCCAGCTTGATGCCACTCACCAAACTGCTGGCATGTTTCCTCTTCACATTGGGTAGACTGGGCCGAAGCGATGCGGGCCGGCCCCTTACATTTTCCAGGATGGCCCCATGTAAGGACCACATCGCAGGCCTTGTGTTTGACACCCTTGATCTAGGACAGTGTTTCTCAACCTTGACCATTTTAAGATGGGTGGACTTCAACTCCCAGAATTCCCCAGTCGGCATGGCTGCTGGGGAGTTCTGAGAGTTGAAGTCCACCCATCTTAAAATAGGCAAGGTTGAGAAACACTGATCTAGGAGCTACTCTCATTATCTACCTAAGATGGGACTACAATTAGAGGGAGCCTCCAAGGGCAACCAAAGGCAAGGAGAAATCTGAAGGGAGGCTTCCCTGCTGAATTCCCCAAGGAGGATGGGATCCTAAATGTGCTTTTTAAATGGGAAAAGCCATGAACGGATCCTTTCCCTTTCCCTCTCCTCTCCATGTTGCAATTCCCTAGAAATGTTGTAGAAAAGCAGTATGAGACAGGCTCTTTGGAGAAGGGAGTTTGCTGGCCGATTCCTCCCCACCCATTCCTCGCCCAGGCAAACCTGCTTCGTGCTGGGTCCTCTCGTGCGGCTGCAGCTCAGGGCTTTGAGGAGGTAGACCTGCTGGCAGCACCGCTGACCCCCCGTACATGGGGTTCACCTCGGCTCCATAGTGGTTCGGAGAGCCAGGTCCCAGGCCCATAGAGGCAGGTACCACGGAGCAGGAAGGAACAGCAGCAGCAGGCTCCTGTTGGGAAGGGGGGGTCAGAGCCACGGTGCCATCCAGGATGGTAGGAGGAGCTGGAGAAGGGATTGAAAGAGAACTGAGTTTGCATCCCATAATAAGCAAGAGTCCAGAATGAGCCCGACTGTTCCTTTATGGTCCTGCACAGCAGCACGAGGGGTCTGGAAGGCAGCCAGGGGACACTGCAGGCCACCATCTGCGATGGCCACAGCTGGCCTCAGAGTAGCCGACATCTTTCATTCACACAGCCGGTTGCTTGGCCACCATCAAAGAAGCAAGTGGGATGCTTCCCAACAGATGGGCAGCCCCTACGTAGCTGCCTGGCTTCCCACAAGGCTGCCTGGCATTTGGCTGCCTGGGTTCCATTTGCTTTCCACGTTTTGATGCCAGGAAAGGAAGCCTCTCGCAATCCATGCACCCACCTGAAGGCATCAGCTGGACGGGCTGGACCATGTTGGGCAGCAGGGAGGCCAACAACGGGTTGTTGGAGCTCACATCTAGGCCGCCTCCCAGGCCTTCGTTCTGACTGGTGTGGTCGTGCTCTGAGCTTGGCGTGCTGGAGGAATACTGCTGGGGTGTGGCTCTCCCTATGCTGTAGCCGAAGGAGCCCTCCTGGAACGAGATGGATGCCAATGGACGCTTTCAGCTAAGACCAGCCATTCGATGCCACTGCCCAGCCCCAGGCAGAACACACACAGACACACACATGCACACACATTGTTGCAAGGCGTTTGGGAATTAAAGTAGTGGATTTGTAGCAGATTTCCACCTAAGCGGGCTTAGTCTAGCTGGCCTAAGCTCTTTATCCTGGAAAAAGTTGGGAAAAGTTCAGAGAAGAGCAACTAAAATGATCAAAGGCCTGGAGACTAAACCATATGAAGATCAGCTGCAGGATTTGGATCTGGCTAGTCTAGAGAAGAGAATTAGGGATGACATGATAGCAATATTCCAGTATTTGAGGGGCTGCCACAAAGAGAAGGGGGTCAAATTATTCTCCAAAGCACCTGAGGGCAGGACAAGAAACAATGGATGGAAACTAATCAAGGAGAGAAGCAACCTGGAATTAAGGAGAAACTTCCCAACAGTGAAGACAATTAACCAGTGGAACAGCCTGCCACCAGAAATTGTGGGTGCTCAATCACTGGAGGTTTTTAAGAAAAGACGGTCACTTGTCTGAAATGGTACAGCTTCTCCTGCTTAAGCAGGGGGCTGGACTAGAAGACCTCCAAGGTTCTGTTCTGTTCTCTCTTCCGAGGGGCCTCCTTCCCTTGGCTCCTCACCCACCCACCCGCATCCTCTTAGCTATGCTATCATGGGTCTGGCTCTCTTGACTCGGGGTGGTGGGAGAGGCATTTTATGGTTAAGTCACCCTGCGGAATGATCCCAAATTCAATCAGCATCCATGGAGACCTCACTGGACTTGCCTTCCGCCTGAACTCTCCCACTTAGAAGCCTTGCAAATCAAGACAGGGAGTTTTGCTCCTTTCTTGCCTCCGTTGCTAAGTGAATCGCTGCAGCTGATAAGTTGGTAACTCGGTTGTTAACTGAATCTGGCTTCCCCATGGACTCAAGGGGGATCACATGACCCCGGGACACTGCGACCGTTGTAAATAGGAGTCATTTCTCATGTGCCTGAATTTTGATCATGTGACCATGGGCAGGTTGCAATGGCCGTGTGAAAACTGGCCGTTGTAACTTTGAATGGTCACTAAATGAACTGTTGTAAATTGAGGACTATCTGTAATGGTCTTGTGTGTCAATAATCCTAGGGATTATTAACTAACTTCTGTTATTGTTATTTTTATTCGAACTGCAGGAAAAACCATGGCTACCAAACTGCCTTCCATGGAGGACCTGTAGACTGCAGGAGTCAAAAAGAGGAATCTGTGACAATATCTACAGACCCCTCACATCCTGGACAACAACTGTTTCAACTCCTACCCTCAAAACTACGCTATAGAGCACTGCACACCAGAACAACTAGACACCAGGACAGGTTTTTTCCCTGAACGCCATCACTCTGCTAAACAAATAATTCCCTCAACACCGTCAAACTATTCACTAAATCTGCATTACTATTAATTTTCTCATCGTTCCCACCACCCATCTCCTCCCACTTACAACTGTATTACTGTAACCTTGTACCTTATGATTCTTGACGAATGTATCTCTTCTTTTATGTACACTGAGAGTTTATGCACCAAAGACAAATTCCTTGTGTGTCCAATCACACTTGGCCAATAAAGAATTCTATTCTATTCTATTCTATTCTATTCTATTCTATTCCATTCCATTCCATTCCATTCCATTCCATTCTACTCTATTCTGATTTCTGTTCTGTTCTGTTCTATTCCCCGTTCCATTCCATTCCATTCCATTCCATTATTCCTATTCCTATTCTATTGATCTGACCACAGCCAACATTTTACAGTTACAGAGGAAACATGTCCATTGGCAAGGAAACCTTTTTTTCTCAGAGACGTTCCTACAAAACTTTAAAAAAGAAACCTCAGCAGCATCTCTAGGCCTCAGAGTTAGCCCTCAACAAAGCTGGACCGATCTGCGCCCACCTGCTGCAAACATCCCAAAGGATATGAAATTTACCTTAATCTGCCCGTCTAAGTGTCGGAGATGAATTAGCCAGTTGGGCTCAATAAATAATTCCTGCTCAGGCTTCTCCTTTATCTGAGGGTCAAAGAGCCGCAATTGAGAGGAAATCTGTAAAATGAAGAATGAGGAGTTAAAGTCATATCAAGCCTTAGTAAGGCCACACCTCGAGTCCTGCATCTAGTTTTGGTCATCACATTATAAAAAAAGGTTGAGACTCTAGAAAAAATGCAGAGAAGAGCAACCAGGATGATGAGGGGCCTGGAGGCTAAAACATACGATGAACGGTTGCAGGAATTGGGCCTGGCTAGTCCAGTGAAGAGAAGGACCAGGGAAGACATGATAGCCACCTTCCAATATTGGAGGGGCTGCCACAGAGAGGAGGGGGTTGAGCTGTTTTCCAAAGCACCTGAAGGTCAGACAAGGAATAATGGATGGAAACTGATCAAGGAGAGATTCAACCTAGAAATAAGGAGGAATTTTTCTGACAGTGAGAACAATCAACCCATGGAACAGAAGTTGCCTTCAGAAGTTGTGGGAGCTTCATCACTGGAAGCTTTCAAGGAGAGACTGGACTGCCATCTGTCAGAAATGGTATAGGGTCTTCTGCTATAACCCCCCTTCTGCGGGGGGTTGGACTAGATGACCTACAAGGTCCCTTCCAACTTTGTTAATCTGTCACAGCCTGGGGTTCTAGGAATTTGTGACTCCACGTATCTGGAGGGCTCAAAGTTAGCGAAGGTTGGGCAAAGGGAATGGTACACAGGAAAAGGGGGTGCTGTGATCTGAAATACCTGGCAAGCCTAGCCCCCCGGGGTCCCAGAAAAAGGGCAGGGCTCCCTGGCTCCCCCCCCCCAAAGGTCTAAGCGAGTCATCCTGCTGCGGAGTGTGCTGACCTGGATCACCTGGCTGATAAGAACCGGCGAATAGCAACCGGGGTTTGTCAGGATGGCTTTGGAAATCACTTCGCAGTAATGAAAGGCCTGTGCAATGAGCCCCATCTCAGCCAGCCGGCAAGCATAGATAAACTTGAACACCTGGGAATGCAGAGAAGATTTTGAGACGCCGGTTAATACAGCACCGAGGACGGGGCCAGAACCAAGGCTCACCTCAATTGCCTTTCACGTCCGTTTCCTTAACAGTAATTACAGGTAGTCCTCGACTTACAACAGTTCACACTTACTGACCATTCAAAGTTACAGCGGGACTTGTTTTCGACAGTTACGACCTTTCCTGCATCCCTGTGGTCATGTGACCAAAATTCAGATGCTTGGCAACTGGCTCATACTTATGACGGTTGCAGCGTCCCACAGTCATGCGATCCGCTTTTGCGATCTTCTGACAAGCCAAGTCAATGGGGGAAGCCAGATTCACTTAACACCCGGGTTGCTAAATTTATCAGCTGCAGGGATTCGCTTAACAAGCATGGCAAAAAAAAAAAAAAGGTCGTAAAATGGGATACAACTCACTTAACAATCGTCTCACTTAATGAGGGAAACTTTGGGCTCCATTGTGGTCATAAGTCAAGAACTACCTGTACTACATTTGCTCCCATGTCATATAGTTAAACATTTTCCTCTTCTGTCGCCTTAAGAATTAAAGATTGTGCAAAAAAAACGATACGAAGCACCCCAGGATCTACATCAAATGTTTTCTGGTCTGAGGGCTCCAAGAAGGAGGTCTCTAAAAACAGCATCTTAGCTGAGCAGTTGGGCCCCTTTCTAAACGGGGCTCATCCGGAAAGTCCCCCAAGCCAGCTGTGATTTGCACCTGGTCCCAATTTGCTGCAGAGACCTGGGACTTCCTGCGAATGGGAAATCTGCAGCTCCATCCGGAACCTTCTTCTGAGTGCCGTCAGGAGGCAGAGACACGGAGCAGGAGAAACTAAGCAGCTCCCTTGCGCTACGTACCCCCTTGTGCTCGGCCCCACAGGCCGGAGAAGGCAAGTGGCCCTTGATCTACAGGCCTCAAATCCAAGCACCAAATTTCCATCACTGGCTGGAAGAGAGCCTAGGGAGGCCCCCGGGTTTTCCACCAACTCCGGCCCTGCAGTGATCCATGAGACACGCGAGAGCGGTTGCTGGGCCAGCAACTTTACAAAGAGACGCAGTAGATTTTACACAGAGTGTTTGTCCAGGGACCATTTGATGCCAACACATATCATAGACAAAAAAAAAAAAAATGGGAGAAACTGGCACCGCTACTGCTGCTAAAGGACCGACTAAAACCGCTACGGGCACCTTCAAAAGTGTTTGTTAGAAGGACAGCTAATGTGAATCTGACGGAATCTCAATTGGTCAGGAAGGCTCTGGGAAGTTTGAACAACAACGAGTCAGTTCCCTAAAAGGGAAAAAAATTGTCAAAAAAAAAAAAAAAAAAGGCAAATGAAAACACAAGCAGAACTGAAAGCTATAGCATGGTTCCTGAAGAATGTCCAGAGAAGGGGAATCTTTGGTTTCTTGTAATCCTCTAGATTTTGAGAGCTTTGATGGTCCTGAAGAGCAGCGGCTGAGCCGTATGTTTTTGACTGGAGTTCATTTATTTATTTATTTATTTATTGGTTCGATTTATATGCCGCCCTTCTCCGGAGACTCAGGGCGGCTTACAATGCGTGAAGCAATAGCCTTCATACTTTTGTATAGACCTGCTTAGTAGGGCTTTCGGCCCCCCCAAGCGGTGTTCTTTTTTATACAGTCATCTTATTGCCCCCACGATCTGGGTCCTCATTTTACCTACCTCGGAAGGATGGAAGGCTGAGTCAACCTTGAGCCTGGTGAGATTTGACCTGGCAGTAATTGCAGGCAGCTGGTGTTACTTAACAGTGCTTTAGTCTGCTGCGCCACCAAGGCTCTTATTTGTCTTATTGTTAGTGCGCCCGATAGATTTGCAAGCAGCCTGCAAAACAAGCTTTCATTTCATGGGACTATGACTGTCTGCAGGCAACTAAAGATTTTCTGGCCACTCTGGAGGAAATAGTAACTGATCTTCCCCCTCCCTTGTAGCAAGTAAACAATCTATATTTTAAAGTTGTATTTTGAATGATGTTGTAACTCCTTTCAATGGTATAATAAAGAACTTGTAGTGAAAGAAAGAAAGAAGAAAGAAAGAAAGAAAGAGGGAGGGAGGGAGGGAGGGAGGGAGGGAGAAAGAAAGAAAGAAAGAAAGAAAGAAAGAAAGGAAGGAGGGAGGGAGGGAGGGAAATGAAGGAAGGAAGGGAGATGGAGGGAGGGAGAAAGAAAGAAAACAGAAAGAGAGAGGGGGGGAAGGAAGGAGAGAGAGAAAGAGAGAGGGAGGGAGGGGGGAGGGAGGGAGGGAGATGCAAACCTGGAAATTGGGCAGGGAGCATGGCTGAGTCCCCAGGGACTGCGCGTACTCATAGGTCTCCGTCCGCTGAATGGCCTCGTTGCTGGCAAACTTCAGAAAAGGCAAGCTAAGAGCAGAAAAAGAGAGAACGGCATCCTTCTTCAATGGCCCATAACAGCACACTGTGCGGTTCTGAAACTGCACAGTGAGTCTGGCTGCAGCCATTGAAAAGAAGGGAGGGGGCTTAACTTTGCCCCTCCAAGGGGCATCAAGTCAAGGACTGGGGTGGGGGAAGCAAGCAACCTCCTTCATGAGTTTACTGGAGTCCTTTGCTGGGATTCCTACTTAAAACGTGAAACCACGCCCTGCTGAAGGCTTGGCGAGCCCCAGTGACATGTCTCCTCTGTTACGTGCCAATCAGCAGAGCTGCTTTTGATGTGCCAGCCTCTCTACACAGCAGTGGGAGTGAGAGCCCAGAGCTGCACCGAGTCCTCTGCATCTCCGCCACGCAAACGAGGCTGCGTGGTCACAACTGCCTGAGCTGCAAACGGAACTCGAGGGGGAGTGTGGAAGGGCAGCGACACCTGGAGAAGGTGGGCTCCCCTGGAGAAGCAGCGTCCTGGTCTCTGTAGTGGGACAGGCAGAAGGAACCAAGGCGGCAGCTCGATCCCGAGGGAGAAAACTGGAAGGATCCCCACACACCTGTGGTTTGCACCAATCAGCACCAGCTTGGTGGTCTTCTTGGTGTAGACGCCGAAACCCTCTTGGGCCATCAGGTAGCAGAAGTGAGCAGCATCCAAGAGGCCTTTGGAAGCTGCAACCAAAGACAAAGAAGGAATCCTCTCAGGAAGCAGATCCCACCGGGAGCATCCCTGAACCCCCCCCACCCCCCACAGGAGTTTACAACTTCAAAGGCTTGATTCAGGTAGGACCACCGAGACGGGGAGGATAGCAATATTTTTAATTGTTTTTAATGGTTTTAACTTTTAATGTTTTATATATGGTTTTTAAATGCATTGTAAGCCGCCTTGAGTCTTCGGAGAAAGGCGGCATACAAGTTGAATGAATGAATGAATGAATGAATGAATGAATGAATGAATGAATGAATAAATAAATAAATAAATAGCAGTAGCCCTGAGATTTATATACCACTTCACGGTGCTTTTACAGCTCTCTTTAAGCGGTTTACAGCCTCTTGCCCCCAACAATCTGGGTCCTCATTTTACCCACCTCGGAAGGCTGGAAGGCTGAGTCAACCTTAAGGCTGGTGAGGTTCAAATTGCAGGCAGCCGGCAGGCAGCAGCAGGAGCCTGCAGTACTGCACTCTAACCACTGCACCACCGTGACTCATTAAGGATGGTCTGGAATTGATCTTCTCACTACACAACAAGGTAGCCCTCCTGGCTCAAGCATCTTTCAGGTAGACCGGCTGAGATTTGACCGTCTCCCAGAAATGCATCGGGATTTTTTCTTACTATTTAGTGTCACCTTCCTTACTTAAAAAAAAAGCTCATTCCAGATTTGCTCCCGGATTGTATGATGGGCTTCCTTGGTGTTACAAGTCCCATCTTTTTGAAGAAACTTCCTCTTCTGAATGATAGATGGTAACTTTTTATACATACATATATAATGTACTATAAATAAGATGATTTACCCTTAAGGTTAACGATATAAAAGTTACACTGAATCTGGAAATTCTGGAATATGATGGTCTTTCAGGCATTATGGTTCTACCAGACATGACCAGGGGAAAGAGTTGCTAAAACAATTATTCTAAGAAATTGGAAAAGTGATACTATTCTAAATATTAAGGATCGTCTTTTGGAAATGTCTAAGTTATCTGGTTTTGAAAGGGAAAAATACAGAATACAGGATAACAGAGTTGGAAGGGGCGACATCGAAACCTGACACCAAGGCTTTTGTATTTCTTTTTATTTAATTTTAACTACTTATATTTTTATTTTTTTCTGTTCGCATGAAATAAAGGTAGTCCTTGACTTACGATCACAATTGAACCCACAATTTCTGTTAAGTGACTTTTGTTGTTTTGTCCCATTTTACGGCCTTTCTTGCCACAGTTGGTAAGTGAAACACTGCAATTGATGTTAGTAACCCGGTTGTTAAGTGAACCTGGCTTCCCCATTGACTCTGCTTGTGAGGAGGTCGCAAAAGGGGATCACGTGACCTCGGGACACTGTGACCGTCATAAATACGAGTCAGTTGCCAAGCATTTGAAATTTGATCACGTGACCACAGGGTTGCACGTCGAAACTGTGAAAAACCGTCATAAGGCACATTTTTCAGTGAGTTAAAACTTTGAACGGTCCCTAAACGAACTGTTGTCGGTCAAGGACTACCTGTATTTAAAAAAACCCAGAAAAAATTATTTAAAAAACCCTACGGGATCCCCTTTATCACCTGAGGTCAACCTGCGCCATCCTTGCTAAGCGCAGTCTTTGCACACACACCCAAAATTATCTCAAGGCCTAGCTCTGCCCTCCTGAAAGCCTTTTAAGCCAGGGGTCTCCAACCTTGGCAACTTTAAGACTTGTGGACTTCAACTCCCAGAGTTCCTGGGAGTTGAAGTCCACAGGTGTTGTGGCCCGTCAGCGGCCTGTGCAGCTAGTAGCTGATTCCGACAGCGAGGAGGCTGGTGTGGTGCTGTGCCAGCAGCCTGTGCAGCTGGCACTCGAGTCGGACAATGAGGAGGCTGGAGAAGATGTGGTGCCAGAATCACGGATTCAGCCAGGGCCTTCAGAACCTCCAGAAGCTCCCATAAGTGAAGAGGAAGAGGAGGAGGAGTCTCTTCTCGATGCACGGGCGCGCAGAGCTGCCAAAAGGCAGGAGTGGCTCCTCAGGAGGAGGTCTCCTCGAGAGTAAGGCTTGGGGCTAATTGGCCACTCCCCTAGCCTATTTAAGGAAGGATGATGACTGAGGCAATTTGCAGGAAACAACTTCGTTCACATTCCTTCGCGTCTTGATCTTGTTTCTCTTATCAGTTTCCTGCAAATTGCTTCTGGGCATTCTGCCAACCACAGTAAGATTACGGTTATTATTCTTTGGATTCTTGTCAGCTGTTAATGAAGTTAATTTAACAGCCTTTGTTCGGAAAAGACTGATTTAAATTAGTAAACTAACCTGTAGCTGGGGCAGAACAACAGGTCTTAAAATTGCCAATTTTGGAGACCCCTGTTTTAAGTCATTTTTAACGTCACATTTTAACTATCCCTGCCCCTACTTTAAATTTTTATATTCAGTGTTTATGTTTTAACTTTTATTTGAACAAAGCCCAGAATGCCTTTATGAGCGAGATGGTGATGGCTAAACATAAGTAAGTAAATAATAAAAATTGTTTACTTGCTGGAATTCCTGTCATTAACCCTTACAAAAGAGATCCAGCCTCCTGGGGCCACAAGATCCTGATGGAACCCCTCCCCCCGCTCCAGATTCACTGCCCCCCCTCCACACCCTTTGCCCTTGCAGGATTACCCAGCGTGTCCCCCATGGTGACGATTGTCCTTGACTCAACGTCCGTGTTATTCGTCAGGTTGGACAGGACCATTGCCAGGTGAGGTCTCCAGTCTCCCCACTTCTCATCTCCACAGCACTAAAAGAAAAGAGCGGGAGAGGCCGATGTTGTGAGCCAGGAAAGATAAAGAGGAGGCAGCAAATTTACAAAACCCCCAAGTTGGCTTTGAATGGGGACAAAGGATGTGCATCCCAGCCAGGATGAGCACAGAGGAGCTGAAATGGTCTACAGAAATACTGTATTTTCCCATGTATAAGACGATGCTTTTTCTTAAAAATATTGACCTAAAAATGGAGAGGCATCTTATGCACTCGGGGGGGGGGGGGAGGAGAACCGTGTGTTGTGGCCTATCGGCCACCGACTCTTCCAGCAGCCGAATCAGACGAGGACGAGGCGTGGGAGTCAGGCTCAGCATCAAGGCAACCTGAGAGCTCCAAGGGGGAAGACGGAATGGAGTTGGCAGAGACAGAGGCAGAGCCTTGGCCATCCATCAGCCCTCCGATGGAGAGTCAACAGCCCCCAGGTCTGGAGGTGGCTGATGAAGAACAGGAGGAACAGCTGGGTCCAGTGCCTGATGTGTGGATGCACAGAAGGCAGAGGAGAGGAGAACAGCGGAAATCTATGGGCCGGTCTTTGGGATGGAAGAGCCACCACTGCTAGCAAAGCCCCACCCTAGCTCTGGGGATAAAAGGCAGGGTGTGGAGATGAATAGATGTGGCAGACAACTATTCATCTTCCGGCCGGATTTGTTAGCCTGCGTTGAAAGAAAAACTTTTTGCTGGGGCTGCTGGCACTCCTAATAAAGGCATCTTCTGAGTTCACTTCAGAGAGTTTGTCGTGTTTGGGGAGTTGGGTCAGAACACTGCGGTTGCGAGACTGCCGATACCTTATCTCTGCAAACTAGCCTCACGAGCGAAACCGATTGCAGAGACAAGCTAACAGGTTTCCTCAGATTATGAGCCTTATGTTACTGACATCAGCTGATGCTGCATGTAGCCAGTGCCCAGGTGCAACAGGGAGCGGTAATGTTGGAGCGTTCTGAGCCCATAAAAATGTCAGAATAAATAAATAAACAAACAAACAAATACCAGTACCAGTAAGTGAATGTCTTACTCTGCAAAAATAAATGTTTTCTATTTAATGTTTAAAATATTGATTTCTGAATTTTAAGTATGAAAAGCGGAGGGGACATCCTATACATGGGGGGTGTCTTATAGACAGAAAAATATGGTACTTGTCTCTGCATATTGAGGCCATTGGTCCCAGAATTCCCTGGAAGCATGGAAACTGTAATGCCAACCCTTGGAAGCTACAGGGTGGGCTCAACTCTTGGCACTTACGGTCGAGGCTGCGGGCATCCTACCAGACATCAGCTGGTAAACGGTCTGCAGTGGGTCATTTATCGGGAGACTGTTGGCGAATCTAGAAACAAAAGAGTACTATTAAATCTATGTGCAACATGTTCACCTGTCTTCTATATCTTATATTAGTGACAAATTATCTATGGAGATTCTCAAGTCATCCAGGTCATGGTTGTCCCAAAGGTGCCTTTTTTTTTTCAAGAGGCAATTGGACTTTCTGGTTTTTCTCTGAAGATGTTTCGCTTCTCATCCAAAAAGCTTCTTCAGTTCTGACTCCCACCATCCAGTCAGAGCTGAAGAAGCTTCTTGAGTGAGAAGCAAAACAACTTCAGAGAAAAACCAGAAAGTCCAATTGCCTCTTGAAAAAAAAAGGCACCTTTGGGATAATGACCAAATAGTTAACAGGAAAAAACAATATTAGTGGAACAAAACAAAATTACAAGTTTCAAAGCTCTCTGATAACAAGCTGTTATTGTAATCCACTCATACAAAATTTATCAAGGCATCTTATATATCCCAATTCATCCCAAAAGTTATAAATAAATCGTCCTGGGTCAAATATCGTGTTTTGTTTCTGAATATCGTCTCTCGTCAAATGTGGCTTAATTAAATCTTGTAAATTCAGCCTTAGTAGTTTAAAACTTTTTGGAGGGCTCATTTCGCAGCGGGTGGGAACTAAGTTGTAGCAATATATTCATCAATATTCAACTAGAGGGATAACATGTAGGTCTTATTTTATGCATCTTTTTAATGTTTTGATTGTTTTGTGTGTGTTTTCTCCATTTGTCCTTTTGGATTTTATTTTTATTTCTGTATGTTGTATTTTAACTGTGTTTTGAATAAAATAAAAACAGGTTAAAAAAGAAAAAGAAAAGAGTACGAAGGTCAGCAATCAACATTCCAAGGAGGAAAACTGCCTTGATACCCCTTTGGAGAGACAATGCAAGGCCCAAAGCCTGGGAAGAGGTTGTTGCATTGGCCTCCTGACCAGATCTGACCCAAAGATCTTCTATAGAGCAGAGCAGAGCAGAATAGAAGTTAGAAGGGACTCTGGAGGTCTTCTAATCCAGCTGCCTGCTCAAGCAGGAGAACCTATACCATTTCAGATAGGTGACTGTCCAGTCTCTTCTTAAAAAACCTCCAGTGATGAAGCACCCACAACTTCTGGTGGCAAGCTGTTCCACTGGCTAATTGTCCTCACTGTTAGGAAGTTTCTCCTTAATTCCAGGTTGCTTCTCTCCTCAATTAGCTTCCAACCATTGTTTCTTGTCCTGCCCTCTGGTGCTTTGGAGAATAATTTGACCCCCTCCTCTTTTGTGGCAGCCCCTCAAATACTGGACTATTGCTATCATGTCACTCCTAGTCCTTCTTTTCTCTAGAGTAGCCAAACCCAAATCCTGCAACCGTTCTTCATATGTTGTCAGAACCCTAAAAGTGATACTGCCATTCGGTTGGGAGAAGGGGGGCCTTGGATTCGATTTATTAGCATTGCCTGTGTCAACAGATATTTTTCAACCTATATCCTGGCGCCAAAGCACCCTGAGATCCCCTTAACTTTGGGGAATGTTTATGATGGCCATGTGGGTGTTTCACTTTAAAGGATAATGGAGGATAGAGATGGGAATACATATTTATCCAGTTCTCAGGGCAGCTGGTAAAGAAAACATCTTCACACTTGTGTATTGGCTAAAATCTGCATTCTGGCTAAAGGGAGGGGTCTCTACTGCTTTAATCCTACTTGTCTTGCCTAAGGGTGTTCAGATTGCTGTCACTTCTGCTTAATAAAAGGTTCCTTTTGAAATATTACATTTCAAGAGTTTTTACTTTCTTAAGTTGGAAGGAGAGGCAATCCTTATATATGTCTTATTCTCCAGGCCTTTGATCACCTTAGTTGCTCTTCTCTGCACTTTTTCCAAAGTCTCAACATCTTCTTTGTAATGTGGTGATCAAAATTGGTTGCAGTATTCCAGGTGTGGCCTTACTAAGGGTTTTTTAAAACTCAGTCCCGATTGAGATCAGAGGCACACAGAGGTCTCATCTCCTGCCTACCTGGTCATCACTCGAGCATGCGTCCTGCTGTCCATTTTACTGGCAAGCAACAATGCATGGCCCCACAGCCCATGTTTCATGGCAGATTCCAAAGCATCCTATTGGAAAAGAATGCAGGATTTAATTTTTTTTTTAAAAAAATTGTTTTTGCAGATCTCCTCCTCTTTTTGCAGGAGCCAACATACAAGAAGGAAGGAAGGCTCACCTTTTTCCGTCCATAAAGCAGCAGCTCTCGGAAGCGCTCCGTTTCCTTCTCGAGGCTGTCAATGGTGGCGATGAGGCTGTCCGTCAGGAAGGACAGCTGAGCTTCTCCACTCTCTTCAGGCACGTGCTCCACAGCCTCATTGGTGAAGTCGATCAGGTTGGCTTCGTTGGGTGACTTCCCAGGCAGCCACACGGTCTTATGATCCTGCAGCAGAAGCTCGGCAATATCCGTGCCCACCACTGTCTACAAATAGGAAGGGATGCTCTTAAGACAAGGGAATTCTGGGAGTTGAAGTCCACACACCGGGAAGTGGCTTTAAGGCTGAGAGACCATCCTAGACAGACCTAAAGGTGCTTTTTCAGGAGGCAACTGGACTTTCTTCTTTTTTCCTTTTGAAGACGTTTTGCTTCTCATCCAAGAAGCTTCTTCAGCACTGACTGGATGATAGTGGGGAATGGAGGAATTATATTCCTTGCAGACAGCTGGTCATTTGCATCCTTTTAGAGGGCTGTTGAAGGACTTGGAGGTTTATCTGTGTCCTCAGGGTCACCTGAATGGTGCTCCTGGTTCCTGTAGTCTGCAATTTTAGCTTTTAGTTATACAATTTGGAATGGCGTGGGAGTAGGAATGGATTTTCAGAGGAAAAAATTGAGGCTACAGGAACCTGGAGCAATACTCAGGTGACCCTGAGGACACAGATAAACCTCCAAATGCTTCAACAGCCCTCTAAAAGGATGCAAAGGACCAGCTGTCTGCAAGAAATATAAATCCTTCCATTCCCCACTATCATCCAGTCAGTGCTGAAGAAGCTTCTTGGATGAGAAGCAAAACGTCTTCAAAAGGAAAAAAGAAGAAAGTCCAGTTGCCTCCTGAAAAAGCACCTTTGGGACAACTATGACCTGGAGGACTGAGAAGCTCTACAGACATCCTAGACAGACTGGCAGTGAAGGGGTGGGTGGGTGGGAGAGGAGCAGAAACTCTAGGGAGGGTCTGCTTTTGCCCATCAAACCCACTGGGGTGCCAAAACAGAGATGGTGACTTATTGCTGGGGCTTTTTACCACAGTCATCCAGTGGGAGTTTAATTTCAGGGTGGAAAGTCCATCCTACTTAAAAATTAACTCAGATGTGTCCATGGGAAGAGAGGGCACAGATCTGTGAATGTATCACTAACAAATAAAGGGGGAGGAGGTCAACATTTCTGCTGAAATCAGCAACCTGGTAAAATGAAATATAAAAAGGAGTCCAGGAGGTTTTAGCCCCAATCCTAACCTGAGTTATGCCCCACATAACTGAGAAGAGACACAGAGCTGCAGAAAACACATTTTGTTCAAAGCGACTGAAGCTACTGAAACTCTGGGGCAGAAGGCAAGTGATGATTCAGAGCATTTGGGCAACACAATAATGAAACCAAAAGGCATCTTCTTCAAACTTCTCCAGAACAAACCTTGGCAAGGTTCCCATACCCTTGAGTGGGACTCATCCTGAAAACACCCTGATAAATTGTGCCCTTCCCCATCATGCAATGTCGTGGGTGCACCTAGGTACACCCACATTACACCAATTCTCCGCGAGCTGCACTGGCTCCCTACTGGTCTCCAGGCACAATTCAAGGTGTTGGTTATTATCTTTAAAGCCCTACATGGCTCAGGGCCAGGGTATCTTCGAGACTGCCTTCTACCGCATAGCTCCCAGCGACCGGTAAGATCCCACAGAGTTGGTCTCCTCCGGATCCCGTCAGCTAAACAATGTCGGCTGATGGGCCTGCGGAGGAAGGCCTTCTCTGTGGCTGCCCCAGCTCTCTGGAACCAGTTACCTCCTGAGGTCTGGACCATCCCCACCCTATTGGCCTTCCGGAAAGCGGTGAAGACCTGGCTTTTCTGGCAGTCCTGGGGCCGTTGATCTCGCTCTTGCGAACTGGTGAGATCCGGCCATGAATGGCGTGAATGAGTTTTTAATGTTTTTAATTTTTCAATGTTTTTTTAATTATTTTTTAAAATGTATTGTGAGCCGCCCTGAGTCTTCGGAGAGGGGCAACATTAAATTAAATTAAATTAAATTAAATTAAATTAAATTAAATTAAATTATTAAATTAAATTAAATTGCTCGGAAAATCACCCAGAGGCTATTATAAGCCAACATTTAGGCATTTCTCAAGGCAGAGCTAAGTTAACCAGGCTCAGGATGAAATCAATAAATATGGATCAACTCATATCATGTCAATTAGGTAAAGTTGACATGATTATTCTCCCATTTTCCTTTCTGCCAAACTGAAGACATTAATACTGGTGGCACTTTTGGGAGACGCTTGGGGGGGGGGAGCGAGGGGGGGTAATGTGTGTTTGTGTGTGTGTATGTTCCCCAGGGCCAGCTGCTGCTCAGCTGCTCAGCTCCTTCTGTTGCCAATTTGGATCTGCTAAGCCAGTAATGGCTAACCTTTTCTGGACTAAGTGCCGAAAGTATGCGCATGTGCACAAATGCGCATGCCTGAACCCCCAAAATGCAATGCACGTATGGCCCCCGTGCATGCACCCCGCCCCCTGCACATGTACGTAGGGGCCTCTGCATGCGCCCTGCACCCCACGCATGCGCGCCCCACCCTCCATGCATGCGCAGCAGAGACCCGAGTCCAGCTGGCTGGTGAGAGTTGCTCACGCATGCGCAGCTGAACTGGGGCGACGGTTTGTGTGCCACCAGAGAGGGCGCTGTGTGCCACCTCTGTCTCGTGCGCCATAGGTTCGCCATTCACAGGGCTAAGCTTCAAGATAGGCCTGAGAGGCGGAACTGGAGAACTGGTCTATGCAAGAGGTGGAAAGGAGGCCTTGAGCACATACCCCGTTTTGCCTGCACAGGAGAACCACAAAGTCCCAGAGAAGCCGAGCAGATTCCTTGTCAATCAGAGCATTGTTCTGAGAGCAGCGGGTGGCCTTATTCTGGGCATAATTAATCACGTCCACTTTATGGGTGTCGTCTCTGCAAGAGGGAAGAGAAAGCGACACTTTAAGGTATCACAAGACAGTTACACCCTAGGCACGAATGAGAGGGAGGGAGGGAGGGAGCTCAGTCTGCAAGCTTGCAATTCTTGCCTCCTGTGGTTTTGTCTTGGAAACCCCGCCCCCTACGGTTTTCAAACAATATGCACAACTATTGTTGAGGGAATGAAAACAATTGGTGGTTTTGTGCGTCTGAATCCAGCCAATCAATGCTTCTGGGCGGTCAGCTTAATTCTGCTTTATGCTACTTGGTCTGATGCTGCTCACACTGCTGCTGTATTCCCTGAGGCCCTTCCTCCTGCGCACAACACCCACTGCAGTGTCTTTGTGCAAAACATTTGGCTGCCCCTTAGGAGTCAGGTGGGAGTAGCCAAAGCTTTCACACCTCCACTTTCAGTACTAATATCATCACCCACAACAGTTGCGATATTGTAAGGACAGCTGAAAAGTGTAGAGAAGGGAAGACAAGGCTCCAAGGATGAAATCACTTTGGAGTATCGGAACCAAAGCCTGCCCCAAGATTTCCCTGCCTTTTGAGCGTTATCAAGAGCCAAAGTGGTCACCTGTGAACTACACCAGAACAAAACGCTCTGAAACGGATTCCTTAAAAGCCTCAGGAACTTACTTGGTGAGAGGACCGGGAAAAGCCCTCATCTCCTCTTGCTCCGAAAAGTGTTGCATGACCATCTGTGGAGAGACAAGAATCAGCAATGCAACCTGGGACGGTTCCTCTTCCCTGGGCGTGATGCTGTCTTGAAGATGAGCGCCGCAGATCTCACCTTCAGGACCCACGAAGTGGCATGGGTCACCCTACGCTCAACGTAATAATTTTAAATTGGGGTATTTTAAATTTCTGGGGTTTTAAATTGAGCCGAATTCATTTAATAATTTTAAATTTTTAATTGATGTTTGTCTTGTGTTTTTAAATAGGCTGTACACCTCCCTGAGTCCTTCGGGAGAAGGGCGGTATAGAAATAAAAAATTATACTTATACGCTTAACACTGAAAGATAAAGGGCGAGTAACTATGACCTTGAGAACGTTCTGTGGAGAGCTGAGAAGATGACCTGGATGAAGACAGGCAGCAAATGTTGCAAAAAGGGGCTGGAGAATTTCTTAAGTGAGGAGAATAGTCACAGAGAGGAAGGGGTCAAACTACTTTCCAAGGCACCCGAAGGCCAGACAAGGAATAATGGATGGAAACTGACCAAGGATAGATTCAACCTGGAAATAAGGAGGAATTTTCTGACAGTGAGAACAATCAACCCATGGAACAGAAGTTGTGGGAGCTTCATCACTGGAGATTTCCAAGAAGGGGCTGGACTGCCATCTGTCAGAAATGGTGTAGGGTCTCCTGCTTGAACGGGGGGTTGGACTAGATGACCTACAAGGTCCCTTCCAACTCTGTTAATCTGTTAAAAGAGTTTCCCCATGGATTCCCCGTTAGACTTATATAACACCCCCCCCCCCGTGCTTTACCTCAATCTCTGAGCAGTTTAGAGAGTCAGCCTATCACCCCCCAAGAATCTGGGTCCTCACTTTACCAACCTCGGAAGGATGGAAGGCTGAGTCAACCCTGAGCCGATCAGGATCGAGCTCCAGACTGTGGACAGAGTCAGCTTGCAATTCTGCACTCTAACCACTGCGCCACCAGGGTGAGAAGGGAGGTATAATATTCAAAAACAGCTCAGGCGGACACCTCCCAGGTTCAGTGAAATGTAAGAAGCACAGGACGTTCCAGCACAATCAGATGGAGAGATTTTGCTATTGTAAGTCAATCTTAATGAAAATAGGGTTTAGCCTTTCTGTGGGGTTCATTCCCTGGTCTCTCTCACGGGGCTAACATATTCCGTCTTCTGCAAGAATCATTCCATTCTAGGAGTGTGCAAATGTTCTGCATGGCAGCTATTCAGAATTCCAAACCAGAGAGCTGAAAAATGGGCTGCTTCAAGACTTTTGGGAAACTTTTTATGCTTCAAGCATTTCCAAATGCTCGGGGGTGGGGTGGGGTGCATGTGTGAATGTGCACTCAAAGTCTGTTTCTCCATATTCAAAACAGTTTGCTTTAAAAACCAAAGCAGGGAAGGAAGGAGCCTTGGCTTTTTGGGAAAGTCAGACTTTAAGGACATAGGAACTCCTACCCAATGGAGAAGGACCGAAGCTGCTAAAATCATACCCTGTTTTGGATCCGACAGCTCTACCTAGTCTAGCAGCAAGAACATTTCAAGGCTTCTGGTGTTGAAAGCACTTTGTCTGGGCTGTGCAATCCACGGGGAAACTCTTAACAGATTAACAGAGTTGGAAGGGACCTTGTAGGTCATCTAGTCCAACTCCCCGTTCAAGCAAGAGACCCTACACCATTTCTGACAGATGGCAGCCCAGTCTCTTCTTGGAAACCTCCAGTGATGAAGCTCCCACAACTTCTGTTCCATGGGTTGATTGTTCTCACTGTCAGAAAATTCCTCCTTATTTCCAGGTTGAATCTCTCCTTGGTCAGTTTCCATCCATTATTCCTTGTCTGGCCTTCAGGTGCTTTGGAGAATAGCTTCACTCCTTCCTCTCTGGGGCAGCCCCTCAAATATTGGAAGACTGCTATCCTGTCTCCCCTGGTCCTTCTCTTCCCTAGACTAGCCTTAGGGTGAAATCCAATAGCCTTTGCCTTGCAACAACAAATCTTGAGCTACGTAAGACGCTAGTCCATATGGGAGAGTGTTTTGTCCCCATTACACTGACTAGTCCCACCCTGTCAGGCAGGCAGGGTTTTATCCCCATCAGTTGAAGAATATTGGCTGGTGGGGTCTAGGAAGAGACCCTTCTCTGCCCCTGCCCTATGGAACACCCTCCTCCCAAAAGTGGGATAGGCCCCCCGTCTCTTGGCCTTCTGGATGAGCGTGTGGGGTTCAAGGAATGCCGTGCAGCTTTTGGGAGGTTGGTGCCTTGAGGACGCTCCCTCTGCCTTTCTTAACCTTTGTTTTTACTTATTCCTCATTCTGTTTTCAGTCTAATTTTTAACTATATCTGTTTTTTTACATGTTTTTATGATTTTTAACTGTCAACTGCCCGGAATCACTTAGTGAGACGGACGGTGCCTAAATTCGATAAATGAACACAAGTAGTGCTCAATTTACGACAGTTCGTTTAGTGACTGTTCAAAATTACAACGGCACTGACTTATGACCGTTTGTCACACTTAACGACCATTGCAGCATTCCCATGGTCACATGATCAAAGATGCCTGGCAACTGGTTCATATTTATGACGGATGCAGAATCCTGGGGTCCCGTGATCCCCTTTTGCGACCATCTGACAAGCAAAGCCAATGGGGGAGCCAGATTCCCTTAACTCTGTTGCTAACTTAACAATTGCAATGATCCACTTAACAACTGTGGCAAGAAAGCTGGTAAAACGGGGGCAAAACTCGCTTAACAAATACTTTGCTTAGCAATGAAAATGGTGGGCTCCATCGTGGTCGTACCTTGAAGGTTACCTGTAGCTAAACATTAAGCAGCCGCTCCCCATCTCGCTGGCTGGTTCTCCTCACTCACCTCCATGCTGTGGATCTCGACCAAGGCTGGCTGGCCTTCGGAGGGAAGGTTGGGTAGCACTTTTATCAGCTGACCCCCGGGCCCAAATTTTGCACACACGTGGGGTACGGAAAACTTCTCGGGAGTCAAAGGTCTGGAAGGGACTACAGGCGAGAAAGAAACAAGAGAGAAGAAAGAGGCTTCAAACATAAGACAGAAATATCACCACGCAGGTTTGGCTGGCCCAGTGCTAACCTCCCTAAAGTCGGGACCTGGAAGGAACAAGAAAGCAAACTGGGCTACCAAAGCATCACGACTTCCCCACCAGCCCAGCATGGATTCCCAGCATATTTGCAATTTCTTGCTGGAGAAGCTTAAGATAGAACCGTTTCATTATAATTCTGCAAAATGTCCTTTTAAAGGAGACGGAGAATTCATACAACCCCCCGAGCTGCACTTCTCAATCTCCGCAGCTTTAAAACGTGCAGACTTCTACCGTGCCAGCTGGGGAATTCTGAGAGTTGAAGTCTTGGGGGTTGCCAAGTCAGTATGAAAACCTGGGGGGATGGGAAGTGGCTGAAAGGAACTACCTCCATATCCAGATTTCATTCAATCTCCCCCTATAATTTCCCTTTCAATCCTGGGGAGCTGATGAATGAAGAATGATTTCCCTCGTCCTTTTTTAATATGGTTTTTATTATTATTATTTTTTATTTATTATTAGATTTATATACCGCCCTACTCCCGAGGGACTCAGGGCGGTGAATAGCCAAGAGATAAAACACACAGAATTACAAAATTTAAAAACAGTATAAAAACCTAATTAAATAAATTTGGCCCAGAACAGATTAAAACAACCCTAAAATTTTAGACAAATTTAAAATTTACAATTAAAAAGGGAGGTTATTTAATCTCAAAAACATGAATAAAAAGTAAGCAGGAAAGAAAAAAAAAAAGAAAATAGAGAAAAAAGGAAAGAATCCAACCAAAAATAAGATAAAGTACAAAAAAAAAAGGAAATTAGAAAAAATAATAATGGTTCTGGACTTTCTTTAGTACAGATTTAGATAAAAAAATGTGCCCAATTCTTATTCTAAAACTAACAATAGTCAACATCCTTTCTGTGACCCCATATGGGGCCCTACATGGGGCTCCCCTTGAAGAGCCCTCGGAGGCTCCAACTGGTCCAGAATGCGGCCGCGCGGGTGGTTATGGGCACACCTTGTTGTGCCCGCGTGACACCCCTCCTGCGCGAGCTGCACTGGCTCCCAGTGGTCTTCCGGGTGCGATTCAAGGTGTTGGTCACCACCTTTAAAGCGCTCCATGGCATAGGACCCAGGTACCTTCAAGACCGTCTTCTGCCACCAATAGCCTCCCACCGGACAGTCCGCTCCCACAGAGAGGGTCTCCTCCAGGTGCCATCGGCCAAGTTATGTCGGCTGGCGACACCCAGGGGGAGGGCCTTCTCTGTGGGTGCCCCAGCCCTGTGGAACGAACTGCCCCCGGAAATATGTAAGATCTCCAACCTCCGGGTGTTTCGCTGCGCACTGAAGACCCTGTTGTTCCGCCAGGCCGGACTATCAACATAATAGTTTTAAATTGGGGTATTTAAATTTTTTGGGGTTTTAAATCTGAGCCAATTTATTTAATTATTTTAAATTTTACATTGCTGTTTTGTCTGTGTTTTTAAATAGGCTGTACACCACCCTGAGTCCTTCGGGAGAAGGGCGGTATAGAAATAAAATTATTATTATTATTATTATTATTATTATTATTATTATTATTATTATTATTATTATTATTTATTGGTTAATCTTTAGTGAGATTCACAGCCTTTGAGGCTGGTTAATAGCTCAGCAGCTCGAGTCCTAACCAAGGACCTAGGAACTGTTAAGGTATCGTCGGAGGATGTAAGCTGTTCCGAGTAAGGTGGTTTTTTGTAGAGTCAAAATGTTCAAGTCCGGCAGATTTAGAATTTCTAAATAGCGGGGTAGCCCTTTGGATATTGCTCCGAGGGCTCCAATTACAATCGGGACAACACACGATTTCTTTTTCCACAGTCGCTCAACTTCAATTTGTAAGTCCCGGTACTTTGTGATTTTTTCTTGCTGCTTATCTTCAATTCGTGCATCACCAGGTATTGCAATGTCAATGAACCATACTTTTTTCTTTTCAACTATTGTTATGTCAGGTGTGTTGTGGACCAAGTGCCTGTCAGTCTGAATCCTAAAATCCCACAAGATCTTGAGTTTCTCATTCTCTAAAACTTTCTCAACCTGATGTTCCCAGTGGTTTTTGCTGTACTCAAATCCAAACTTCTGACACAATTTCCAGTGAATGATTTTAGCAACACGGTCATGGCGTTGTAGGTAGTCAGTTTGTGAAATTTTGCTGCACCCACTGATCAGGTGGTCGACTGTCTCATCTTTCTCATTGCAGAGGCGGCATTTGCTGTTGGTGGTAACATGTTGAATTTTTGCCTTCATACAGTTTGTGGCTAGGGCTTGTTCTTGAGCTGCCAAAATAAAGCTTTCAGTTTCTTTTTTCAGTACTCCTGATCTTAACCAGTTCCAAGTTAGTTTCTGGTCAGCTTTGCCTTCAATACTTTTCAAGTATTGGCCATGCAGAGATTTGTGTTTCCAATTTTCAGCTCGCTGCTCAATTACTTCTTTCTTATATTCTGCTTTTGTTTTAGTTGTCTTTAAAAGGCCTCCTTTATTTACTTCCTTAATCATTGGTTCTTCACTTTTCTGGATGTAACCATTCAAGCTGCATTTTTCTTCTTCCACAGTCTGCTTTACTTGTAGGAGTCCTCGACCACCCTCTGCTCTTGGTAAATATAATCGGTCAACATCACTTTTAGGGTGCAAGGCATGATTCATTGTCATAAGCTTCCTTGTTTTTCTGTCCAAATTGTCTAACTCCATCTGGGTCCAGTCAATTATTCCTGCAGAGTATCTAATCACAGGTATAGCCCAGGTATTTATGGCTTTTATGATGTTTCCTCCACTCAATTTGGACATTAATATCTTACGAATTCGCCGAATGTACTTGGCTGAAGTTAATTCCTTGACTTTATTATGCATTAAGTCAGAGGCTTCTAAAATTCCCAAGTACTTGTAGCCTTCTTCTGATTTTACTGCCTTTATCATTTCTTCATTCTCTAGTTCTATTCCATCCTCTTTTATGATCTTGCCTGCTTTGGTTGCTATTGTTGCACATTTGTCAATTCCAAACTGCATACCAATGTCTTGGCTGAATTCTTTTGTGTTTTCAATTAATAAATTCAGTTCAGCTTTTGTTTTACCAAACAGCTTCAAATCATCCATGTACATCAAGTGCGAGATTTTCAGTCCTTTCTTTACAAGTTCGTATCCACAGTTCATCTTCTTCAAAATGATTGTCAGTGGTAGCATTGAGAGTATAAAAAGTAGGGGTGAAAGGGAATCGCCCTGGAAAATGCCTCGTTTAATTTCAACTTCACCCAGTTCTTCTTCATTAGCCATAAGTTTTGTTTTCCAGAGGTTCATTGAAGATTCCATGAATTTTTGTATGTTGTTGCTGATGCCTAATATTTCCAGGCATTTCTTGATCCAGCTATGGGGAACTGAATCAAATGCTTTCTTATAGTCTATCCAAGCCATGAACAGGTTGGTTCGTCTTTTCTTTGAGTTCTTTAGGATTAGCTTGTCGATCAGCAATTGATCTTTTGTTCCTCTTGAGTTTTTGCAGCATCCTTTCTGTTCTACAGGAAGCAAGTTATTTCTTTCCAGGTATCCATAGATTTGGTTTGCAATGATACCAGTAAGAAGCTTGTATGTTGTTGGCAAGCAGGTGATTGGCCTATAGTTTCCAGGGTCCTTTCCTTTTTCTTTATCTTTTTGGATCAAAAATGTCCTTCCAGTTGTTATCCATCCATCATTTTCAGGTGTTTTTAGGATCTGGTTCATCTGGGTTGCCAATCTTTTGTGCAGACTTGTAAGTGCCTTTAACCAGAAGCCATGCAGCTCATCCGGTCCAGGTGCACTCCAGTTCTTCACTTTTCTTGACTGTCTCTGCACCATTGCTTTTGTTATTTTCACGTCTTCCATTTTATGCACTTTAATAGAGTCCTCAACCTGTTTGATCCATTTTGCATTTCTGTTGTGCTTCTTGTTGTTTTCCCACAAATTCTTCCAGAATTTCAGAGCTTTCTCTTTATCAGGCTTTTCATTTGTTGTTACTCCGTTTCCATTTTCTAAATTCTTATAAAACTGGAGCTGATTTGCTCTGAACTGTGAGTTTTCCTTGAACTGAATTACTCGGTTTTCATACCTTTTAATCTTTTCAGCGATGGCAACAACCCTCTGCTTCAGCTCTTCAATTACTACTGCAATCTCCTTATTCCTTAGATCGTATCTTGCTTCCAGGCTGCTTTTGACCTGCTTGTTCTTTAGCTGACCTTGCCTTAGGTTCTGCAAGTTGCTCAAATCTCCACGTACTTTTTTGATCTTCAATTCTAACCTAATTTTCCACTTAGGCTTCCCCTTCTTGCCTCTTTGGTTCTTTTGTATTTTCAACCCCAGTTCTTTGGTGGTTATGACAGCTGCTGCATACATCAGTTGGTTAGTTTCGGCTAATGTAGTGGTTTGAATAGTTTGCACAGCCTCATTAACCTTTTTTAGTACATTTCTCAATTCTTTCCGGTTCACTTGGTTCAGCTTTGGCAAACGTGTTCTTTCATCATCTTCCATTTGGTGCTTTATTTTTCCAGCTAATTGAGCACTATCTGTTGGTGTTTGTTCTTTAGTGCTTCCTTGTTCTTTATCTTCATCCATTTCAGTATCCTTTTCTTCCCTTTCTTCCTCAATTTGCTTTTGATTTTATTATTTTATCAATTTTATTATTATTATTATTATTATTATTATTATTATTATTATTATTATTATTATTATATAGCAACAGCACTTAGACTTATATACCGCTTCACAGTGCTTTACAGCCTTCTCTAAGCGGTTTACAGAGTCAGCCTCTTGCCCCCAACAATCTGGGTCATTTTACTAACCTCAGAAGGACGGAAGGCTGAGTCAAAACCTTGAGCCAGTCAGGATCAGGCAGTGGGCAGAATTAGCCTGAAATATTGCATTCTAACCACTGAGTCACCATGGCTCGTAGGTAGATAGATAGATAGATAGATAGATAGATAGATAGATAGATAGATAAATAGATTAGAGAGAGAGAGAGAGATAGCACTTATATACGGTTTACAGAGTCAGCCTCTGGCCCCCACCAATCTGGTATTTGGGGAATTGAAGTCTGCAGGTCTTAAATTTGCAGGGCTTGAGAACTGCCACCTTAAGAGTCCTGGGATACGGTGAGGGGCATCCGTATGCTGAACCATGGAAGCTTTTCAAGAATCACAGAAAAAAAAAACATACCACATTCTTCCAATGCACGTAATCCTCAGTTTACAACCATTTTTTTTAAAATGACTGGACAAAGTTACAACAGCACTCTAAAAAAAATGGGACTTCCAACTGATCCTCCCAATTTACAACCACTGCAGCATCCCCATAGGCAGGGGATGAAAATTTGGGTGCTCGGCAACCATCGTGTATTGACAACAGCTGCAACATCCTGGGGTCATGTGATCATCATTTGCAACTTTCCCCAGGGTGGGGGTGGAGGTGCCTTCAGAGTTAATGGGGGAAGCTGGATTCACTTAATGGCCGTATGATTTACTTAACAACGGCAGTGAACCATGGCAAAAAGGTAGTAAAATCAGATGTGAAAAACTTAACAGCTGTTTGCTCAGCCACAGAAATCCTGATGCCAGTTGTGGTTGTACGTTGAGAACTACCCATATGCCAGGAAGAGTTCATAGAGGTGTGACACCTCTCCTGCGCGAGCTGCACTGGCTCCCGGTGGTCTTCCGGGTGCACTTCAAGGTTTTGGTTACCACCTTTAGAGCGCTCCATGGCTTAGGGCCTGGTTATTTACGGGACCGCCTGCTGCCGCAAACGGCCTCCCACCAGCCGGTACGCTCTCACAGAGAGGGACTCCTCCGTGTGCTGTCGGCCAAACAATGTCAGCTGTCGGCCCCCAGGGGGAGAGCCTTCTCTGTGGGGGCACCTACGATCTGGAACAAGCTCCCCCCGGAGATACGGCGGATCCCGGATCTATGCACCTTCCGCCGCGCTCTCAAGACCTTTTTATTTCACCAGGCTGGTCTGGCCTAACCTTTCCCATTCTCTTTTTAATGTAAATTTTAATGTAAATTTTAATTTGTTCTTAACCCGGGGTTTTAAATTTGTCTTGGGCTAAATTGATTTAATTCGATTTTACTTCTGCTCTTAAATTTTTGTATTCTATGTGTTTTATCCTGTGCCTGTTCACTGCCCTGCGTCCTTCGGGAGTAGGGCGGTATACAAATTAAATAAAATGAAATGAAATGAAAATGAATAGCTTTTAGGACGGAGGTGTCAATCTCACGGCCCGCGGGCCAGATGCGTCACGCGCCAGCCACGCCCACCCCCGTTTTAGCCAAGGGGGAAAAAGTGTGATAGATCTCGTGACGAAAATGTGACACCGTGACTTTGGCACCCCTGTTTTAGGAGATAAACTACAAAGTCAGGTGAAATTACTAGCCCCCCCCCCCTTCCAGCACTACTACAGGGCGAAAGGTAGCCCACCAGAAGCACATTAAAACCCACTCTAATGAACACAGTAGTGCTAAGAAGAGTAAAGAACAGAACATTGAACCATTGTGAAAACCCTATTCCTATTTCAATGCAGAAAGTGAAAACAAGTTTTCTTTGGACGTTATCTGATGAACATACTGTATTTTTTGGAGTATAAGACGCACCTTCCCCCCCTTAAAAGGGGGTGAAAATTTAGGTGCGTCTTATACACCGAATGTAGCCCCGCCCACCCACTGGCCCCCACCCTTTGGCCTCTGCCTCGCAGCAGTTACCTCCTTGCAAGCAAACAGCAAGAAACATTTCTCCGCATCAACTCCAGAATCCAAAGTTAACTTAAATTTACTCCCAGAAATCCTTGATTTAAGACCTATAAATATATGTCCACGACATATATTTGAAAAACATTTTTTTTAAAAAAAACCAATACCTTGTTCTACACCTGCCCAAGGAATCTGGGCTACGGGATTGTAACTGTTCAACGGTGGCTGGTTGATGTAGTATCCCCCGGAGGAATAGTCTGTGCGGAGGGAGGTTGGCGGAGGGTCGCCATCGTAGGCATTGACGGTCAAGTCGTGGTTGCTTCGATACCGCTGGCTCTGGAGGAGAAGACAGAAGGGCATGGAAGAGTCAAAGGAACAGGAGCAGCGCAAGGCTGGGTAATACAGGAGCATCACAGGATGAGCCGTGGTGGTTAGAGGGCAGTACTGCAGGCAGCCCTCTCGAGCTCCAATTTTGCTGGCAGAGGCACCATGGGTCGCTCCCTCGCTCTTTCCAGGGCAGCCCCATGGGCCAGATCTAAGCACCCCGCAGGCCAGATTCAGCCCCCGGGCCTGTCACAGTTAAACCGGAAGGCCCCAATTCTCATGAACTGAAACCCAAGCATGCTAACATATAAAGCTATTTCTCCGGCAGAGATGTTGTGACTGAACATACTGTATTTTTTGGAGTATAAGACGCACCTTCCCCCCCCTAAAAGGGGGTGAAAATTTAGGTGCGTCTTATACACCAAATGTAGCCCCGCCCACCCACTGGCCCCCACCCTTTGGCCTCTGCCTCGCAGCAGTTACCTCCTTGCAAGCAAACAGCAAGAAAAAACAGCTCCTTTCAGCTTCAGCACAACCTAATTAGCACAAGTTGATTGGATCTCCCGACTCTCAGCTGATTTGCTCTCAGCTGTTTTGGGCAGGGCTCTGCTGCTTGCTGCAAAGAGGTAAATTGCTGGAGCAGATTTTTTTTTTCCTTGTGCTAATCAAGCTATGCTGAAAACGAAAATGAAAGTAAAGCAGGCTGTTTGCTGCATCGTCGTAAAATTAGGCAGAGGGACATTTCTTTTTCTTCTTTTTCCTCACCAAAAAAGGTAGGTGCAAAGAATGGGAAATTTAGGGCAAAAGAGGAGAGTTCAAGATTTTAAAACACAAAACAAAAAAAGGAGAAAGAAAAAGGCAAAAAGAAAAATGGAGAGAAAAAGAAATGAATGAGAAAGAATTTATACATATTCAGAATTGAAATATGAATAGTAGTAAGAAATAAATGGGAAATCATGATTGTAAAAATGAAATGAATAATAATTGGAATATTTGTCTTTATATTTTTGAAATCTAGACAATGATAAGTTTTTATTTATTTATTTATTTTAGAAATATGCGTAAGTATAAACTGTAACAATTGAAATACCTTTAATGGTATATGGTGGTGAAAGTAAAAAGGATTAAGTTGTAGCTTGGATAACCGCTAGAACATTTTTAAATTTAATTAGGGAAATTGTAACAATTGAAATATTTTTAATTATATATTGTGATGAAAGTAGAAATGATTAAATTGTGATTTGGAGGATTATATGGGCAAAACTATTTGGGTTATTAGGAGAGTTTAAGATGTGAAAATGAGTAACATAAGGGGAAAGCTCTATTTAACTAGGGAATTGTAATAATTGAGATACTATTAATTGTATATTGTGTTGAAAGCAAATGGTTAAGTTGTGGTTTGGAGAAATATGTGGGGAAAATTATTTGGTTTATTATTATTGGTAAATATAATTGATTTGTAAGAAATTGGATTGCATGGAAATAATTGGAATATTCATGTTCATATTGATTAATATACAAAAAAGATAGTTATATAACTAATTGATTTATATTAAAATGTTGAATTTGTATTAAACAACTGTAATATTACATAATTAACCAATGTGAGGATGGATATAAAAACAGATGACAATGGGAAGTGGTATAATATAGAATAGAAGGGAAAAATTGAATTTGATTAAGATTAGAGATGAAGATGAAGGGTAATATGGTTTTTTAAAAAAATAGATGAGGAATAAATATGGCAAAAAGGAAATATAGAAATTATAAATTTAATTGAAATGACTAAACACTGTTTAAATTTGTGAACCAGCCAAATATTCTGTTTAAAGAAAATACATTGTTATGTTTGTATGTGTGTTTGTCTAAAAAATAAAAAAAACAAAAAAAGGTAGGTACTCTTATACTCCGAAAAATACGGTCCTTTCATTTCCTCTGAGCCATAAAAGGAAGCTCAGGTGAAGCTGCTTAAAGAGACCCCTTCTGACTGCGTGACATTCGACCCCAAAAGAAGCATGAACCTAAGATGATTTGGAGGGGGCAGGGAGTGGAAAGTGCCCCAGCCAGACATGGCAACACCACAGGAAGGAAGGCCCCATCAGTGAGCCACGGTGGCGCAGTGGTTAGAGTGCAAGTACTGCAGGCTCCTTCTGCTGACTGCCGGCTGCCTGCAATTTGGCAGTTCAAATCTCACCAGGCTCACGGTTGACTCAGCCTTCCCTCCTTCCAAGGTGGGTAAACTGAGGACCCAGATTGTTAGGGGCAAGAGGCTGACTCTGTAAACCGTTTAGAGAGGGCTGGAAAGCAGTATACAAGTAAGTGCTGTGCTATTTATCTATCTCTATGTCTGTCTGTCTGTCTGTCTGTCTATCTACTGTATCTATCTATCTATCTATCTATCTATCTATCTATCTACTGTATCTACTGTATCTACTGTATCTATCTATCTATCTATCTATCTATCTATCTATCTATCTATCTATCTAATCTATCTACCGTGTTTCCCCCAAAATAAGACCCTGTCTTATTTTTTTGAACCGTGAAATAAGCGCTTGGCCTTATTGCCATGCGCTCAAAAGCCCGATTGGGCATATTATCAGGGGATGACTTATTTTAGGGGAAACAGGTTATCTTTCTATCTATCTGCGTTGCGTCCCTTGTCCCTCTATCTCAGTTGCGTCCCTTTCTGGATCGGGACTCGTTACGCACGGTCACTCATGCCCTCGTCACCTCCCGCCTGGACTATTGTAATGCTCTCTACATGGGGCTCCCCTTGAGGAGCACCCGGAGGCTCCAACTGGCGCAGAGTGCGGCCGCGCGGGTGGTGATGGGAGCGACATGGCGCTCCCATGTAACACCTCTCCTGCGCAAGCTGCACTGGCTCCCGGTGGTCTTCCGGGTGCGCTTCAAGGTTTTGGTTACCACCTTTAAAGCGCTCCATGGCTTAGGGCCTGGTTATTTACGGGACCGCCTACTACCACCAATAGCCTCCCACCGGCCAGTACGCTCTCATAGAGAGGGACTCCTCCGGGTGCCGTCAGCCAAACAGTGTCGACTGGCGGCCCCTAGGGGGAGAGCCTTCTCTGTGGGGGCACCTACCATCTGGAATGAGCTCCCCCCGGAGATACAGAGGATCCCGGATCTGCGCACCTTCCGCCGCGCTGTGAAGACCTTTTTATTCCATCAAGCGGGCTTGGCCTATTCTCTTCCCTTTTTAAATACGTAAATTTTAATCTGTTTTTAAATTATTGGGGTATTTTAATTTGTCTGGGCCAAATAATTTAATTTGATTTTATCGGGTTTTTAAATTTTGTGTATTTATGTATTTTATTGTTGGCTGTTCACCGCCCTGAGTCCTTCGGGAGTAGGGCGGTATACAAATTCAATAAATAATAATAATAATAATAATAATAATAATAATAATAATAATAATAATAATAATAATAATAATAAAGTCTAAGTGCTATTGCTATCGAATTTGGACTTGCTGCCTGGGGAATTCTGGGAGTTGAAGTCCACCCATCTTGAAGCGGCTGAGAACCGCCAGCCAAGAAGGTTGCAAAGCCTCCTTACTTGCTGAGAACGGGAGCTGAAGCTGCTTTGGCGGCTGCGGAGGCTGTGGGAGCTGTGCAGGCTGTGTCCCGAATGCTCGCTGTGGACGCTGCGCCAGTCACTGTCATCCCCATACGGATCCTTGCGCGGCTCCAAGTCGTCATCAAAGCTGCTCACAAAACGAGGGTCGTATCGCCAATGGTCTTCATACCGGTCATTACTGCGGGATGGGGGTGAGAGAAGGGGTACTGTCTTAGGCCCAGGACTCGTCAACGTCTTCATATGCGATTTAGACAAGGGGATAGAAAGGGAAGTCATCGAAGTGGTGTGGTGGGCTAGAGGTGGAGCTCTCGCCTCACAATCAGGAGGCTGTGAGTTTGATCCTAGGTAGAGGCAGATATTTCTCTCTCTGGGCATGATGAGAATATATCTGCTGAACAAAACTCTGTATTGGCGACAGGAAGGGCATCTGGCCAGTAAACACTCAGCTCCCTTCAGTTGCCCAGATTCCACCCCGCAAGGGATTATGGGACCGTTAAAAGAAGAAGATGATGATGATAGAAAGGGAAGTCATCAAATTTGCAGCTGGAGGAATAGCTAACACTCCCGAAAAATAGGCTCCAGAAACAGAAGGATCTCGACAGACTTGGCCCTATCATACGAAATGAAATTCAGTGTTGAGAAAAGTTAAGGTCCTACACCTAGGCAGGAAAAACCCAATGCACAGGTGTAGAACAGGTGGTACCTGGCTGGTGGTAACAGCCAGGGATCTGGGTGTTTCAATGGACAACCGTTTAAGTATGAAGCAGCACTTCAGAGAACTGGGTACATCTAATTTAATGAAGAGAAGAATTAGGGGTGACATGGGCAACCAGAGAGAGAGTAGGGACTTATTCTCCAAACTTCCTGAGGGTGGGATAAGAAGCAAGGGGTGGAAGCTTGTTAAAGAGAGATCTAACCAGGAACCATAACTGGCCTTCCAGAGTTGTGGGTGCATCATTGCTGGAGGTTTTCAACAAAAGACTGGGCAACCATCTGTCCAGCATAATATCAGGTCTTCTGTCATGGGGAAGGGGTTGGGAATCAGAGAGCCTCCAAGGTCCCTTCTGGCCCTTGGATTCTATTCTGTTCTGTTTTAGTCGATAAAAAAATGTTTTTTTTTAATTGCCCCCATACCACCACCCCATGATAGATGTCAAAGCGAGTGCTTCCTTGGATCAAAAGCTTCCAGCCCAAAGGCACCGGAAGGCCAGACAAGGAACAATGGATGGAAACTGATCCAGGAGAGATTCAACCTGGAAATAAGGACGAATTTTCTGACAGTGAGAACAATCCACCCATGGAGCAGAAGTTGCCTTCCGAAGTTGTGGGAGCTTCATCACTGGAGGCTTTCAAGAAGAGACTGGACTGCCATCGGTCAGAAATGGTGGAGGGTCTCCTGCTTGGGCGGGGGGTTGGACTAGATGACCTCCAAGGTCCCTTCCAACTCTTTTAATCTGTCTAAACACCCAAGGGAGGGGCAGGTCTGACAAGCTGCAAAGTAGCCCAGCAACTAAAAAGTTGAGGCTTAATTTTACCCTGCCTGTGTGAAGCAGACCCCACGGCCTCAGTGCAAAGTCACACTTTAAGAGCCAAGCGTTCTGGAGGAACACCGTTTCAAGCAGTGACCCAGGACAGACAGGGGTTGTGTTTGCACAAAAGCTTGAAAGAACACAAGAAGTATGCCAGGAGTGTGCAACTCTGTGCCTCCCCTTTTCTCACCACCAACTGGCTTCATGCCAGCAGGTAATTATGGATTAATACTTTTAGGAAGCCACTAAAAAGGAGGCAAGGTTGATTGTTGAGACGTTCAACAATTTCCTTTCTTTCAAGTCAAGGTCTTTGGCTCACACACAAGGAGCTTTAAAGGGAAACCGGATTTTCATGTCCGCCTTCCCTCGTTCTTTAGCCGAGATACTTCTCTCAGCAAAATTACAGCATTCAGGATACCGTATAGTTAAACGTTCAACTTTGCATCGGTGATGTATCCACACTTCCTGCAGAACTGCGAAACTCTGTGAAAATCTGTACTTTTGCTCAAATAGCCCCAGAGGTTTTCTACGGATGCCTAAACAGACACACTCCAAGTCCAGTGAAAATAGCCTCACGCAGAAATGCACCACACGAAGGGCACAAGCCATCCTACTCAAATGACGCCCACTGTGGGGCTGAAGGTATGAAGGCCCCACCATCATGAAGGGCAGTGAAGAGCAGCCACATTTTATGATAAATATTAAATATAACTGCCACCGTGAAAAGCCAGATCCACTCAATCCGATATGTGAATATGAAGCTCTGACTATTCAAAATCACCATCCCTCAACTATCAAAGCTCCCGATTTTCTTTTAAAAGAAAAAGCTAAAAGGCAGGAACAAAAGAAAAAAAATAAGGGGAATTTACAACATTAATAAACGGTTGCCATCCTCCCAACAAGCTGGAGGCCTTTTGACTTTACATTTCTGAAGTACATTCATCTCTTTGGATTTCTGCAATAACATGAATTCCACAGGACTGGTAGAAGGCTGCCAATCCTGCTATCAATCCAAGAAGAGAGTAGATTCTAATTACCCGTATTTCCCCCAAAATAAAACCCAGTCTTATTTACTGTTGGGCCCCAAAATAAGCACCAGGTCTTATTTTCGGGGGATGTCTTACCTGCTTACCTTAGGACTACCGCAGCCAGGTCTCTCCTGCCCCGACATCTGTTGTGCTGCTGCCCGACTTCTTCTGTGGCTGTTCGTGGCCAGATGGCGCGTCTCTCTTCATGCCGATGCCACCGCTCGTCCTGCCTCAAGCAGCAGCATCTGTGTGATGCACTATGTGGCGTCCAGCCTCAAGGGACCACAAGCAGCTACAGAAGAAGTCGGGCAGCGACATGACAGGTGTCGGGGAGTGGGAGGCCTGGCTGCGGTGCTCCTAAGGTAAAGGCTCCACCTCCCCACTCCCACCCCAGCTTGATTTTTACACATTTGCCTCGCCCCCACCTCGTATAACCAGATGGTGGGCGGGGCTTAACTAGGGCTTATTTTGGGGGTAGTGCTTATTATTAGGTGCAGGCGTGAAAATTGGGCTAGCGCTTGTTTTCAGGGTAGGTCGTATTTTCGGGGAAACACGGGATTCTGCCGCAGGATGAGGTTGTTGAAAGGAATATCTCTGCTGCTTTTGCTATCCCAGCTGTCTTTCATACCGTTTGCTTCACACAGTCCCCCCAAAAGGTCCATCATTCCCAAATCCATTTGGAGCCCAGAGGTATCGAAGGTTCACCAACCTGTTTCCCTGCTGATAGGCTTCTTTCTTTTGGTTCTGATCCGTGTTGTACCAATACCTCTGGTCATAAAGCCGAGGATCTCGGAATCTGGCATCATAATTTGAAGAGTAACGATCTTTAAAACAGAAGAAGTGGGACAATCGGTCATCACAGAGGCTCTGCACTCTTACCAAATCAGATTCCCTGGGAACATCTGGTCTCTGCTAACATGCTGCGTTGGCCAGCCATCCTACCGTACGTACAGTGCAGCAGTTAGATTTGGTTTCACCAGAGTTTGTTGAGCAAACCATCCATGGCTGGTGTTTCATGCAACATTAAGCTACAGACATGAAGATTCCAACATGGCCCTCGGGTTCTTTCCCCCACCTGCCCTCCCCCCCAAAAAATAATTAAAACACGTGTTGAATTAAAACACCAGGAAATTGATATTCTGCAAAGCCAGGCACCAGCTGCCAGCTTTAAATTTAGGCCTTGCGTAGTTTTCAAATTCCAAATGTGCCTCAAAAGGTTTATAAACAACATAATTCACCTAATGATGCTAAGCAAACCCTAACCCTAACCCTGTAACTTGGGAAGGATGTCTGAATCCAGCTTATGTTTGTTAAAAAGATCCAAGAGATTATTGGGGCTCGAAAGAGAGTAATAACTGAAGGCTACCAGGGGGATCCTGTACTCCTAGTCTCCCTTTCTTGAGCTGAAAAACTGCACATTTCAGATGAACTGATTTTTACCCAGATATATGAGTCCCTGAAAATGAATGGTGCAGTGGCCTAGAGGTGGAGCTCTTGCCTTACAATCAAGAGGCTGTGAGTTCGATCCTAGGTAGAGGCAGATATTTCTCTCTCTGGGCACAATGAGAATAAATCTGCTGAAAAAAACTCCACATTGGCGACAGGAAGGGCATTCGGCTAGTAAATATTCAGCTCTGTTCAATTGCCCAGACTCCATCCCGCAAGGGATTATGGGATCATTAAAAGAAGATATGTGTCCCTGAAAATAAATTCTAGTGAACAAATTTATTAGAGTGCTTATACTATCTTCCACCTTTGACAAACAAGGGACTCAAAATTTTGAGTTCAGCAGAATTTCCTCCTAAATGCTCAAAAATTACAATCCAAGAGTTTTAAAAGAGCATTTCATTTAATTATTTCATTTTTACAACATGCTGAATAAGATTAACAGCAGCCCAAACTGATTCTATGCTTCCTGAACCTCATATCTCCCAGAGGTACTAAAGCTTAATTCTGATAATTCCCATTGCTGCGTTTGTTGATGTGGGGAAATCTGCTGCAGGATGAAGAATTAAATTCTTCACATTTTGTTCTGTCTTTATTCTCACATCTCTGCAATTGCCTCATTTTATTATTTAAATACGTCTTCACAAAATTTAAGTGTGAGGCAGGGTGTTGGGCCAGGGAATAGCCACAACTGTGAGCCCCATCCCCTTTTTTTTAGAGGTGTTGTGTTTTAATTCTGCAGGCACAATGGCCATCTTGACTCGCCTTGCAAATGATAGGGTGTGAAGCCTTAGTAAAGATGCCAATCTTAGTCGTTCCCCTGGCGCGGAGAAATATCATTCTGTATCTAAGGGGCTCAGAATCCTGTCTTCTGGGAGGAGAGGGGAACTTGTGATCCACAAGATCCTGCTGAACTACAACAAGAAACCCTTGGCTTGAGCATTAATAAGAGATGCTCGGAGTCCTTCACTGAGCAAGAATTAGGCCTGGGTCCCTCAAACCATTTTAACTGTTTTGAAATACAGCTGGTTCAAAAAAGGGAAAACAGCCTGTATCTCCTCTCAGTTGGCAGGATTTAAATCAGGATAGCTAAGAATTATCTGGCATCTTTTTATGTGTGAACGCATGTTGCCTCTGTCCGTGAAATGCAGGCAGGTTTCGAGTTATGACTCATTGCTTAACAGCTGTTTGAAATCACATCTGGCAATTGTAAAATGCTGTGCCAACATCTCTCACTACAATCACATGACGACATTTGGGAGCTTGGCAAGGGACTTGCTTTTAGGGCCCGTTGTGGTGTCCCATAGTCACGTGCAATTTGCAATATTTTTAAATTTTTTTTGCTGGTTTCCACCCAAAAAATACCCATTTGGAAGAATTGACTCATGCAACTGTAAAGGTAAAGGTTCCCCTCGCACATATGTGCTAGTCGTTCCCGACTCTAGGGGGCGGTGCTCATCTCTGTTTCAAAGCCGAAGAGCCAGCACTGTCCGAATATGTCTCCGTGGTCATGTGGCTGGCATGTCTCAATGCCAAAGGCGCACGGAACGCTGTTCCCTTCCCACCAAAGATGGTCCCTGTTTTTCTACCTGCGTTTTTTACGTGCTTTCGAACTGCTGGGTTGGCAGAAGTTGGGACAAGTCACGGGAGCTCACCCCGTTACGTGGCACTTGGGATTCGAACCGCCAAACTGCCGATCTTTTGATCGACAAGCCCAGCGTCTTAGCCACTGAGCCACTGTGTCCCCATACAACTTTAGTGTTTGGTTAATGATCACTGCAAAAAATGTCATCAAATCATATCCAATCCCATGGGTGCCTCAAATTAAGACCGTAACAACTTAGTACCAGAAATGCAATCCCAATTGCAGTTATAAGTGCACCTGTAGCTTGCTCAAACTTTTAATGTCTTGAAATAGCCTTTACAGAGATGAAAGAGAAAATATCAGGCTTCGGCTAAGGGAGTTTGTATATTGAAGTTGGCATATTTTGCTGTAGGAGCACATCCTTACCTCCGTTATCATACGGATTTGAGTAATAGTCTCCATAGTAGCCATTCCATCCACTTTTGGTGTTGTAATAGTCATCGGGATAATCTTGTCTGGGAGGGGAAGGAGGAGAGAGAAGAGAAATGGTTGAAATTCCTAAGTCCCAACTTAGACTATCAACACAAACAGTTGTAAAGCACTGCTGAAAAATGCACTGGGATTTCGTATAGCTGAAACACATCAGCTATAAGATTTCCTGTCTGTGGAAATCTTCAGCCATCCAGGTCATCGTTGTCTCATGAATGTTTTTCTTTGAAGACGTTTTGCTTCCCATCCAAGAAGCTTCTTCAACTCTGACTGGATGGTGGTGGGGAATGGAAGGATCCACCATCCAGTTAGGGCTGAAGAGGCTTCTTGGATGGGAAGCGAAACATCTTCAAAGAAAAACCCAGAACGTCCAGTTGCCTCCTGAAAAAAAGCACCTTTGGGACATCAGCTAGTTGTTCCTTGAGAAATGCCAGATTCCTCTTTCTCTCACACACACACTCACACACAGAGACACCAAATCTGTTTTTTCTTCTTCCCAGAGATCAAGATGTTTGTGTGAGTCCTGTCTATCTTTTGCAGTTCTTCCTCAGGAGCAAAACTGGAAGTGAATCCGAATCAGAATAGAGCCGGAAGGGACCTTGGAGGTCTTCTAGTCCAGCCCCCTGCTCAAGCAGGACACCCTACCATTTCAGACAAGTGGCTGTCCAGGCTCTTCTTAAAAGCCTCCAGTGATGGAGGGCCCCACAACGTCTGAAGGTGGAAGGTGACTCATTCTGGAAAGTCTGGATGTCTTTGAGACAACCATGACTTGGGTGACTGAGAGACTCCATAAGCATAGGATGATGTCAGGGCAATCAGTCAAATATAAATCAATACATTTCTGGATCTCATGCTTTATAGGGCTAATTTTTAGGTACCCTGTACCGGTAAGGCCTCCACTTTGTAACCAACTTGCCTTGTGACCATTTGAAATCACGATGGGCCTCCCCAAAAGGTATTTACCACTTGGTTTCAAAGCTTTGGAGCTGCTCCCACCCCCACCCCAGGCTCCCACGAACACATTTTCAGCGCTCGGCAAGCAAACGGTATTTATTGCCATTTGCAACATTCCATGGTTGTGGATTGACTTTATTTTTGCCAGGTTTAATGACAGTAGAGCAGGGATGTCAAACTCAAAGCCAGAGGGGTGCTTAGATCTGGCCCGTGGGGTCACTCTGGAAACAGCAAAGGACCGGCCCACAGTGCTTCTGCACTCCGTTTTCACTGGTAGAGGGTTGCAGGAGGCCGTGGCAGCCGAAAACGGAGCTCAGGAGCTCATTCACGCTGCAGAGTGCTCGGGCTGCCACGGGCACCCCCAACACGAGTGACATCAAGCTGGCCACGCCCACCTTGGCCACGCCCCCAGCACCCTCCCCCCCTCCCTTTTGAGGTCAAACACAACCCTGATGCAGCCCTCGATGAAATTGAATTTGGCACCCCTGCAGTAGAGTCGAGGTCTGGCTGTGACCAAAATTTCAGCACCGAGGAGAAAGGCCAGCCTATTTCACCCCCCCCCCCCCCCCCCGCCTTTTCTCATCGTCTTTGAAAGTATCAAATTTCTCAAGGAATTCCACCAGTGAAGGAGAACTGCAAACACGCCACTAAGTGCAAGGAGAAAAGGACCTTGAGCTGTATTGCAGTCTGTGTAGGTCAGGTAGAGGAAATTTAAGCAGAACTACCAGACAATCGACAAAATGTCTGATGAGAGAAAGAGGCACCAATGCAACCTAAAAGAAAACCTCAAAGGCCAGTAAAAAGGCTTTTCTGGAGCCAGCTTTCAGAAAACACATTCCTTTTTTCAAGGGCTTTTCGGGAATGTCTGGGATTAACTGACCGGTCCTTGAGAAAGGAATATGCATTTCCAGAGTGGGCCAAATAAAAGCGCTTCTATTAAGTGCTCCCGCTTCCTCCTCCTCTCTTTTGCAAAAATACCTTCGAGGCATCAGCGCTGGCAGTCTGCTTACCTCGACTGGGGCCTGTCCGAAGTGTGGCTGGCTCTTGAACTGGGGCGCTCAGGTTCAGGGTACCAGTAGCTCCCAGCGTCTCGATAGGCAGCAGACTGGTCGTACTGGTTGTAGGAAGAGTTGTACTGGCCATACGCGTCCTCCGAGAGACAAGAAAGGATACATTAACTCGGGAGGGAGTCCAAGAGGCGAGCCGAACGTCTGGCCAGGCTCCTCCCTCAGCGGATGCCACTCCACGCTGACGGAGGAGGTTTCAGAAGCGTCAACAAAGAACCCAACAGCAAAATCCCGGGTGAAAAAAATCAAACGATCATGAGCTGATTATAACCCAGCTGCCCAAAGGCCAACAATAAATACACGAAAAGGTAAGGACCGGAGTCCTCTGGGGATCAGGACGACGATGATGATGATGATATCCCACATTCAGGGGCCTTCCCCGATTCCTCCTCTAAAACAACAGCCCTGTGGGGTAGGCTGGGCAGAGAGAGAGGGACCGTGGGGTTTTTTTCAGTGCCGTTGTGACTGATTGAATGGCTGTAAGTCAAGGGCTACCTGCATCTTTGTTTTAAACGTGAAATGTTTGGATGGCCCGTTTGCCAAAATTCCCCCCCACACACTCACCAATTTTTCGAGAGCTTTCTCTTACCCAAACTTTTTGTGCTTCCACCTAAATGAAGCCCTCGTTCTCGTCAATGGGTTTTCTCTTCCTTTTTTTCCCCTTTTTTGTTGCTCTTTCAAAGGCTATTTGTAGCCTTTGAAGCATACGAAAGCCAAAAGGGCTCCGAGAGACTGGGGGGGGGGCTTGGATTGCCACCACCTGCCACACCTGGAAGAAGCCTTGGAAGGGAGAACCTCCCCCTCCTCTCTGGCCAATCATTCTGGCCTTCAGCAGAAACCCCTAGCCTGAAAAATGCCCTCTGCAATTGCTCCGGGTGGGCAGTGTTTTCACTGAAGAAATCCCCCTGAACGTGAATGCATGCGGAACGTCTTACGCCTCAGCCCAGACCACCCAGGATCGCCCACCCCCACCCCCAAAGCCCCAGGGGTGGTGGGGGTCCTCCTGAGGGTGACCGAAGAGAGTACCTTTCACTCTACCTGGTAGTAAAGGTGAGCAGCTCTAGGATCCACCGGTGGGTAGGCGTAGCTGTCATACGGGTGCCGGTAGTAGTAGTAGGAGTTGAGGGGCGGGCCGTAGGCGTTCTGGGGGTTCTGTGAAGAAGGGTACTGCTGCTCGTGGAGCGAAAGGGGATGAGCAGGTTGGGGGCCACTTGGGGCTATGGATCCAGGTGGAGGAGGAGGAGGAGGCCCCATGCCAGGGGGGATGCGGGGATCCTGCCTGAAGTCGGTGCCCGGCTGAGGATGGCTGGGTGGTGGGAGGGCTGAACTGCCTTCCACGGGACCACTGGGGCAAGGCTTCGGACTCGGCGCCGGAGCACAGGGGTTTCCGGGAAACATCTGGAGGTTGGGGGAAGCGGAAGAGTGCCCAGTAGCTGCGGGAGCCTGCTCCAAAGGCACCCCTCGATTGGAGGGCATCGCGGGCACCCAGTCCTTTGTTACCTGCCGGTAGAACTGCTGCGGGCCTCGAGCCTGGGGGTCACCGGGGCCAGCCGGTCCGGGGGCCAGAGGAAACATCTGGCCACCCAAAAGGAGCTGGCTGAGCCCCAGGGAGCCGGGCCCTGCCCTGCTGTGCTCCTGAGACTTCACTCCTGCCAAATCCAGAGGTTTGGAAAGCTCCTGGCAATGGGGAGCGTTTTGTGACCAGCCGGGAAGGCTGTTGCTGGGCCCCACAATGGGAGTCGCACCGCTGACGTGGGAGAGAGGAACACCGGCTGTGGGTTGGCCAGCACTTTCCAAAGGCAGCCCTTCCGCAGCAGGAGGCTGGGGGGCTTCCATGGCTAAGTTGAGGGGACCATGAGACCCAGACTGAAGCAGGGATTTGGGGGTTGCAGTTTCAGCTGCGCTAAGTGGGCAGTGGAAGAAACTAGGATTTGAGTGAGCTAAGCCACCAGGTGGGTTTTCCCCGGTCAAGCTGCAGCTCCTGCTCTTCCCCAGCAGAGGCAGAGGAGCCCCACTGGCGCCCAGGTCCTTGGCCGAGTGGTTCTTCTCGGGCTGGCCCAGCTGGAGGGCAAGAGAGGGACCGGCAGGCAGGGCCAAGCTGCCAAACTGACTCGGTTGGGCAAGCAAGATCGGCTGGTTCTGAAGCGTCTCCGTCGGGGGCGAGGAAAGGAGGCTGGCATAACCCAGGCTTCCCTGAGAGCCAACCGCCTCTTCGTCCCCCAGCTTGGGAGGGTTTTCCAAATTTTCAGACGGGAGGCTTCCGGCTTGAGACCCCGGCTTGCTCGGCAACGCTTCCTCCGGGGGCTGGACCACCTGTGGGGATGGCTTGGCCGGGACGTAGACCGCAGGGGCGGCGGGGGCAAGGAGCACATTGCCCCCAAAACTGGGCAGTTCGTTGTGCGCCCAAAGAGTGGTGGCTGGGCTCTCGCACTTCTTTCCCAGTCCCTGAGCTCTGGTGGTCGGCCTCTTCTCCATCCCTGCCCCACTGGAAGGAAGCTGCCGGGGGCTTCCGCTGCCGCCCACGAGGGAGAGGGGCAAGGGGTGGCCTGGGGGCAGGAAGAGGGTCTCCAGGTTGTCAGGAGGTTGCTCCAGGTTCCCTGGGGAGGCCACGGCAACCGCAGAGCTCCTCTGGCTACTCCTCGGGTTGGGACGATCCTCTCGCAGCTCGGCCACCACCTTGGCCTGATCGGTCTCTGTGGGCTTCACCCCCAGGCTGTGGGCTCTGACTGGCTCAAAGGAGCTGTTGACACTGGTGTGAAACACTCCCATGGGTTTGGGGGGGCTCGGCGTCAGCGCCTGGGAGGGGGGGCTGTGGTAATTCTTGCCAGGCTCCTGCTCCCCCACATCTGCTCCCAGAGGAGAGGAGTCGACCTGCTTAAAAAAGAAGCGGGAAGCCTCTTGCTCGGGTTTCCCGCTTTCCTGCTGAATGAACGTGCCCGGCTCTTGCGGCCGGGCAGTGCCAGCCATGCTCCTGGGGCTCAAGTTGCTATAGTTGGAAGAGACGCTGTCAGGCCGGACGGGCCGTGGGAGCACGCTGGGGGCCTCCAGGTTGGGTCCTCCTTCCATGTGGCTCCCGACATGGTTCTTTGGGAGCAGTGGGGCCAGAGAGGCGTAGCGGCTGGAGTCCGATGCCATCCCTGGGGACGAAGGGTTCTGTGACAGGGGCTCCCTTGGCAAAACCTCCTGGTTCTGAACGCACTCCTGGTTTTCCATGTTTTCATACTGCCCGCTGGCAGAGCAGCTTCCTGCTTGTGGGACGTGGCTGGCTCGGTCCTCTCCCGGGAAGGGCGCCTTCTCACTGGCCTGCTGAATGACCGCCGTTCTAAGGAAGCGCTGGGCGTCCGCTTCTTTGGGCGCTGCCTCTGCTGCCAGAGGTGCATTAGCCTGGGCTGGCGCAAAATGAGCCGGCAGCCCTTGCGGGCCGTGCAAAGGCTGGTAATAGGTGTGGCCCATGGTCTGCTGGAAAGCATCCACGTCTGGTCTGGCAACATGGCTGCTGGCCTCCGATGACAGTATCTCCTCGTTCTCCGCCTCGTCTCCCTTGAAGAACATTGAAATTGTCCCCGCATCGGCCTCATCTGGGCACTGCCTGCTCCCTGCCTCAGACACCCCTTGGGCGTGGCCGGGGGGGCTGTTTTCCTGAGAAGTGGGGTGGCCCGAGGGATACGTGGCTTCCAGGGGCTGCAAGTAAAAGTGTTCTTGGGGGAGCTGGCCAGCCCAAACACCGGTGCCCCCGGGGCTCTGCCAAGTGCTATTGGGGGGCAGAGTCACATTGGATGCCTCGGCGAGCATGTAGGGGGCCTGGGGGACACCAGGGAACCCAGGCTGATGAGGGGGAGTCGGGTGGCGATCCAGCTGGGGGCCCGGCTGGGAAACAGAGCTGCTGGAATGGGCAGCACTCCCAAAGGAATTCCGGGACAGGGGCTCTGGGGAAGGCAAATACGCAGAGCTTTGGGGAGGCATCCACTGAGGCACCGTCTGCTGAAGGAGGGAGAAGGCCGGCAATGATGGGGGGGCCGCACCGGGGTTGCCTGGATTCCTACTCACGTCGGGCCCACCCGGCAGCCTGTCCGGGACAGAAGCCGAAAGAGAATTTTCAGAGCCGATTCTCATGGGCTGAGGTGGTTCCACTGGGGGGCGGGGGGCGTTTTCTGTGCTTGGATGCATTTCGGTGCTGTTGTGGACCCCTTTGGGGAAGGCCGACATGGAGGCTGTGGAAATGGAAAAGGAGCCCCCAGCTTCTGAATGGGAGGCCGAGACAGACGTTAACGATGGAGCGGGCGCGTGAGGAAGGTGCCCAGAAGAGAGGTGAAGGGGAGCAGCCGATGGAGGGAAAGCCAATGAAGAAGAGCCTGGGTCTCCGTGGGGCACATTGCTCAGTGGGGAGCTCCGGGGGCCTTGTTTGCCAAAGGCGAAGGGGTCTGTCACCGGTTGCACAGGTCCAGTCGCTGCTGCTGCTGCAGAGGTGGGGGCGTTTGCACGCCTACCGTAGGGGCCATTTCGCCAATGCATGTTCCAGGAGGGGGCGAGAGGAGGAGGGCCTCCAACCCCCGGGGGAGCTGTCTGAGGAGGGGGCTGCATAATCAAAGTGGAACCGAGTCACTTGCCACCTGAAGAGGAGCAGTAGATGGAGCAGGGCGGGCTTGCCTTCATATGCACAAGCTGGAGTGAAGAAGACAGAAAAGTGGAATTAGTAACGGGCATAGTGCTCGATATATAACTGCTCGCTCAGCCATCATGTGAAGTTGTGATAGCACTAAACAAGCAGTGGTTACAACCGACCCTTGGAGCTCTGGCTGCTCCAGCATCTCCACAACCGGGTGATGGCCACTTGAGAGTCAGTGGGGAAGCCGGCAGGGAAGGTTGCAAGCCTCTGGGATGGGACTTCCTTACTTGCGCATCGTCCTCCAGCCCCCCTTTGCTTCCCACGCTCCTGTGCCCCTCTCCACACTCACGGCACCCTCGTGCATCCTCTCAGACCTGCGTGGTGCCTCTTGGGGGTCCCTCTTGCGCCCTTCCCCACCCAGCAGCAGCCACTTACCTACCTGCCAATCTGGGGCTTGCGACTTCCTGCCGGCTTCTCCATTAACTTTGGCAGGAAGCTGCCTCGCCTAATGACTGTGAAATTCAGTTAATGATGGCAACAAGGATTAAAGAGATTGCTGTCATTCAGGGATGTGGTTGTAATTTATGATCGCATCACTTAATGATGGAAAATTTGGTCCCAATTGACATCATAAGTCAAGCAGTACCTACCGTACGTACACTTGCTATTCCATCAAGAATATGGATTACTGGAGATGAAATAAGCATCTTTGGGGAATCTGAAGTATGTAATGTTTATAAAGCACAATTTGAATTTGCTAACTATACTGGCTGTCTTGGAGGAATCTCTCAATTCATAGCCTCTCCTTTATGCCTGCCTTTTTTTTCTTCCACACAACACTGCCTGTTTTCAGTTCATGAAACAATACCAGTGATTATGGATGAAGCTAGGACTGTATGGCACAAGCAAGGCCTCTATTTTGGCCTAGAATTTCTCATACATTCTAGGCCCAGAAGGGATTCTGGAACCTGAATAAGCTTATCTGCTTCCTTATTGGTCTATAATTTATGTTCTTTGATAAAGGCTTGCTCAGAGATTGTCTTTTGCTGTACTTTCGGATCAAGGGAACAGTACTTTCACTTCAGCTGCAGCATTTTCTAGTAATGATTTTTCCTCCCGACTCCATCGGACTCAGCTATTGCGGGGGGGGGGGGGGGGGGTTGGGGGGGGGGGAGGAGTGGGCAGGGCAAGAAAGAAAAGCACGCTCGCAGAAGCCCTCTCGGAGGTTTTGAATGACACCCACCTCTTGCCCTCTGATTGAAAGGCAGCCTGTTATTTCTTCCCAATACATTTGGTAAGCAGAACTTGAAAAGTAGGTAAAGGCCTTTCGGGTACCCACAAACCTTTGCCAGTGTCCTGGCAAAGCTCCAGAGGCAAGGGACGCGTTTCCACCCATGACAGGGATTTCCATCTGTTCCTGTTCATCATTTACTTTCAAATAAGTTTGAACTACAAGATGTGGGAAGGAAACATTTCGGAGGGCGATTCATCGGAATCAGAGGAAGGGTTCAGCCTTCCGCATGGTGTGCTTCGGGATTTCACCTCCCAGAATTCCCAAGTGGTGGGATGTGAGCAAAGTGCTTGCTAGCCCTTAAGGGACACTTCTGAGCTGTGAAGTAATTTGGTCTTCCTTAGTCTGTTGTGGCCTTTTACGGGGGGATCAGAAATCCTAGGGCAAAGCAAAAGAAAGCACTCCCAGATTTTGTTAGTATTTGCTGAGACTTCTTGTTCTGAGAAAAAGCCTGTTACACCTTGTGATCGGTTGTGCCTACATCATAAGCCATCTCCGTGATATTTTGAAAAGAAAACATGCACGTCAGTGGGCTGGAAAACTGAACACCAGGTTCACACATAATGCGATATGCCTTGGTTCAGCAAGGTGTGTGAATCCCACCACTGTAACAAGAACTTAAGAAACCACATTTAAAGCACATTTTTTGTTTAGTACAAAATTCTGCTCAGTCACATAATTCTATCACTAGCTCCTCAAAAAACAGGAAAAGCATTCAAGAGAAGCCCCTATCCTTTTTCCTCAACACCTGTGACTTAAGAGTAAAAGACAGATGTAAACTGAATAGATTAACTATGAAGATAAAAGAAATATTTTAAGATATGGAATCAATTTTACTACTGGTTAGAAAAAAGATATAAATAAGCGTTAATAGAGATAGATAAAATATGTTATAATTAGAATATTAGATTAGTGGGAAATTTTTGACTTGGCGAGAACGAAGACAGAAGAGATAATAGAAAAGAAGAAGTTTTTGGAGATAACACCGAGATGTCACATGGAAGAAATGGATGATGTACTAAATGTTTGTCTAAAAAAAAGACATGTAAACATGAAAGTGACACAGAAAATGTTTATTTTGTTTCACAGATAATTGCCAAAAAAACAACCCAAAGTTTTGAACTGGAGAGAGGCAGGGAGGAAAAGAGATGAATTAAAGATAGCAAAGTTGTCTTTGCTTTAAAGACAACAGAGGAGGAATTATAACCTGAAGGCAGCTAGAAAGTCCCTGGGTTTACAGTTGATCACACCCGAAAAGTGACCCAGCTAAGGCTAGTGCCCTTTTTAGATTGCATTAATAAAACTCTGTTCTCTAAATCAGAGGCACTGTAGTCATAAATTTACTTTATTCAGCACTAATCAAATCTCATCTTAAGTGCTGGGTGCAATCTTGGCTCCTAAAGCAAGCCAGGAGAAGCACAAAGCGGCAGAGATAGTTTTTCAAAGAATTATTTAAAAACTGGGTAGAAAACATCATGGAAGAAAACTGAATGGAATGTGATAGCTGTTTTCAAAATATCTGGTAACTCTCTCTCTCTCTCTCTCTCTCTCTCACACACACACACACACACAGATACATCCTCACAGCAACTGCTATGTTCCCCAAATTCAAACAGCTAAGATTTGGGCTGTGGGAATTCTGATTTCTAACTCATTCCACCAAGTGGGTCTTTTCAAATGTTATTTTCTGCTGTCTGAAAGATGCTTTGTTTTAAAAGGAACTCCCCACTTACTTCTTAATCTTTTTCATTAAAGTTCTATATTAGAAATGATTGGTAATTAGTTGTTTTATTGGTTTTATTGATGGTGATTATAAATGCTCCAATTTTTTTTTAAAAAAAGTCTTAATTCTGCCTTCAGTGCTATGAACAGGTCTAACAAGCCTCTTACAAGACGGTAGAGAAGTACTGTTATAAGGAACTTTCCATATTAGGATTAATTAGTAATTTAATTAACAGCAACTTAAAAGAACAGAAATCATTGGTAGATGTACAGTTTAAAGTTTCTGCTATAAGAGAAGCAAAGGTGAGTGTTTCCAAAAACACTGGCAACCCATCCAAGCTTGATCAAGTCTGAACAACAACAACTGAATGTGGGTTGTTTCTAGCAAGAGCAACAATTCAAACTCTAAAATGAACACAAAATAATGCACCTCCATTCACCAAGGAAATCTAATTACTAAACTAATTGTCTGATTATGGAGAACATCAACCTGAACAAGGGAAGCCAAGAGAAACGGGCTCTACTCGAACATCCTGATATTTCAGAATCCACGAGTGCATTTCACTACACGTGTTGCGTAAGCCTCCCAAATGCGGTTTATATATATATATAAATATATTCTCAAACTTATCAAAGGGTTTGTAGCACCTCAGATCCCCTTAGGGCTTCATTCCCCTCAGAGTGACCGTTATTTTTCACATTTTCTAAGTCCACAGAAATGGGTTCAGACTTCAGACAGAGCCTGGATCTGGCCTCCATGCATATGACCCTGCATTTGGAACGACCGATTCCTCCTTTCCCAGCTGCATGTCGCGTGGATGGAGAGAAGGCATCAGGGAAAAAAAGCACACAATTTTTTTAATGAACCCAGATTCAAGGTAGTCCTTGACTTATGATCACAACTGAGCCCAAAATTTCTGTTGTTAAGTGAGGGTCCAGATTTGAAGTTCTGCCATCTGCCTTCCTCGTGACTTCATTTGGGGCGCTTGGCAATTGGCCCACATTGATGGCTGTGTGCTGTTTGTCCTGGGGTTACGTCGCCATGACTTATGACGTTTATTGCAGGAAAGGGGCAGTTACAGGTAGTCCTCCACTTATGACAATGGAGGCCAAAATTTCCACTGTTAAGTGAGACATTTGTTAAGTGAGTTTTGCCCCATTTTAGTACCTTTCTTGCCACCGTTGTTACGTGAATCCTGCAGTAACCTGGTCATTCAGTGATTCTGGCTTCCCCAGGGGCTTTGGGGACCACATGACTTTGGGACACAGCTATGAACCAGCTGCCACGCATCTGAATTTTGATCACGTAATCACGGGGAGGCTGCAAAGATTGCCACTGTGAAAAACTGGGAAAAAGTCCCTTTTTTCCGTACTGTTGTAACTCTGAACAGTCACTAAATGAACTATTGTATGTCGAGGACTGCCTGTATTCCAGTACCTGACACATGACCTGTCACGTCCCATCAGTTTCAGAGGCTGAGCATTATGATGCCCATGGATTATAATCTGCACCTCTTCCCCCATCGCCCCAGCAACTCCACTTCCTTGAGGGGGGGCTCCAGTCGTGGGGGGGGAGTAGCCAATTTGTTACCCCCTTCCTTTTCTTGCACCCCAGGGGCGGCTGCTGCTGCTGGGACTCCGTGCGGATTGCGCTTCTGCTTCATGGGTCAAGAAGGCCTCATTCTGGACCACCCCTGGCAAACAGCCAGTTTAGTTTTTTTTTTAAAAAAAGCAAAATAGTCCTCGACTTACATCAGTTTAGGAACAGTTCAAAGTTACAACGGCATTGGAAAAAAAAGGGATTTAGGACCGTTGTCTCGCACTTACGACCGTTGCTGCATCCCCGCGATCTGCATTCAGACGCTCGACAAGCTGGCTCACATTTATGACGGCCGTAGTGTCCCGGTTTGGTCATTCAATCAAACTTTCGCAACCTTCCGACAAGCCAAGTCAATGGGGAAAGCCAGATTCGCTTAACGACCCCGGGTTACTAACTTAACAGCTGCAGCGATTCACTTAAGAACCGGGGCGAGAAAAGCCGTAAAACGGGGCAAAACTCACAGAAGAAAAGCCTCCCTTAACCCAAAACAGATTTGGGGCGCCAGTTGTGGTGGTCGTAAGTCGAGGACCACCTGTGTCAGGGGAAGCCAGGGACCTGGAAGGGGGGGGGAGAAGGGTTGAGGGGGGGTCTCAAAGCCGGTGTGTGTGGGGGTGGGGGGGAGAAATGTGGTAGATCGACCCTGTGGGCGCCTCTCCCTCCTCCTCCTTGCCCGGCCATCCTGCCCGAAAAGACGAAAGATCCTTCCCGCTCAGGGAGCAGCCAGGAACCATCCACGATGACCAATGAGGTAGACTTCTCCTGAAGCGGGAGGCTTCATTCCTACCCTCATCAAGCCCCCGCCCCCCCCCCCGCAGCAGGGCCCGGGGGTCCCTCCCCTCCTTAAACCCGAAAGTCACCTGTGGGGGCAGGGTCTCCCTCAGCACGCGCGGCCGCCGGCGCCGGTTCCTTCCGTCGCCACAGCCTCAGTAGCAGCGAGCCCAGCCGCCGCCGCCGCCGCCATCTTGCAACATCCGGCTCCAGCGGCAGCGCTGACGTGTCACGTTGGCCCCGTGCGCGTGACGTCATCGCGCACGCCCCGCCCAGTCCTGCCCTACGCGAGAGGTGGCACCTAAGAGCTACGAAAAAGGAAGAGTCGTCCGCTCGTGGCGACCGGGAAAATCGGACACCACCAACACACGGACGTGAGTCGACGTGTGACAGCAACTTTTCATTGAGAAAGTTCAGTTTGCTTTATCGCACGTCACGTGTGCGTTCTCCTTTCTGAAGGTCGGGCCCCCTGGAAGAGTATAAGAGTGGACTTGCAAGTTTCTGATCCCGACGGTAGATAGTGTTTCTCTACAATTCCTATCTCTATGGACACATGTCAAACCTTTTTTTAAAAAATTTATTTAAATGCCTCAACAGCTGCTTCCAGATCCAAACGAATATCCGTGGCCAAAGAGTTTCTGTGGCTAGAGCGATTCCTCTAACTAACTAAGCCTGTCTAGGCGGCTTTCAAATGGAGACCGGAAGTATCCCCATGTGTCCACGTTTTCCTGCTCCCGGCAAAAAAAAGCCCTGGAGCATTTTCGTTCCTGGGCGATTGCAACCTGTCGCTCTGGCAGATGGAGGCGGAAAGAGGCGAAATAGGACGCCGGGTGTTTCCCTGGCTTCCCTCTGAGCCTGGAGAGAGGAGAGCAGAAATATTTAGGGTCTTTGGAGGTCTTCTACTGGAAGGAGGAGACCCTAAACAGGAAGAACCTCGATTTACAACAGTTCATTTAGTGTCCGTTTGAGATTCTCAGTCCTTCAAGTCATGGTTGTCCCAAAGGGGCTTTTTTTTCTAGGAGGCAACTGGACTTTCTGGTTCTTTTCTTTTGAAGACGTTTCGCTTCTCATCCAAGAAGCTTCTTCAGCTCTGACTGGATGGTGGTGGGGAATGGAAAGATGCAAAGGACCAGCTGTCTGCAAGGAATATCAATCCTTCCCTTCCCCACCATCCCTTCAGAGCTGAAGCTGCTTCTTGGACGAGAAGCTGTAGGAAGTTAACACCCACCCCTTTCCTAGAGGAATGAAATATTTTGGGAAATAATTAAAAAGGCAGAATATTATGCTTCCCTGGATGAGAAATGGAGAAGCATGTTTTAAAGACGAAGCAGCTCCCATCTTCCTGCCCCCACCCTTTGTCAATGGGCCAGAGGCAGAAATTCAATCTTTGTCAAAGGACCATCATCTGCAACACAATGGGACCCATCTAGCAACAGAAACTCACGGCACTTGGGAAGATTACATCAGCCAGCAAGGCTAGCTAAGACCCCCGTCCCCTGGGAGTCTGACAACCAATCAGGATACTCTTCCGGGGCCCCAGGAAGTTCAAAGCCAGAGAGGGCATAAAACCCGGGGACTCGCTGCGTCTCGCCCTTTTTCTGTTCAGGAACTCAAACCATGTGATCTTTCCAAGCAGTCTCCATGTTTCCAGTGTCTTTTTCCCCACTTGGAGCTGAACCCAGAAGGATATTTCTTCTAACAAAGCAAAACGTCTTCAAAGAAAAAACAGAAAGTCCAGTTGCCTCCTGAGAAAAAAACCACCTTTGGGACAACTATGACCTGGATGACTGAGAATCTCTACAGACTTTTAGCTATATAATTTGGGATGAAGACCCTTGGAATGGGGTGGGAGAAGGAATGAATTTCCAGAGGAAAAAAATTGCAGAGTACCGGAACCATTTGCACTAACTCGGGACCCTGAGGACAAAGATATAAGCCTCCAAGTGCTTCAAGGACCCCTTCAAGGATGCAAAGGACCAGTTGTCTGCAAGGAGTATAAATCCTTCCATTCCCCACCATCCCTTCAGAGCTGAAGAAGCTTCTTGGATGAAAAGTGAAAGGTCTTCAAAGAAAAACCAGAAAGTCCAGTTGCCTCCTGAAAAAGCACCTTCAGGAGTTCGTTTACTGACCGTTCAAAGTTACAAGGGCACTGGAAAAAGTGACTTTAATTCACACTTATGACTGTCGTAGCATCCCTGTGGTCATGTGATCAAAATTCAGACACTTGGCAACTGACTCGTATTTATGGCGGTCGCAGCGCCCGAGTGTCACGTGATCCCCTTTTGTGAACTTCTGAAGAGCAAAATCAATGGGGAAGGCGGATTCACTTAACAATTGTGGCAAGAAAAGTTGTAAAATTTATATTGACTGTTTCCTAATATGATTTGATTGCTTATTTGTACCCTATGACTTTCATTAAGTGTTGCACCTTATGATTCTTGATGAACGTATCTTTTCTTTTTGTGTACACAGAGCGTATGCACCAAGACAAATTCCTTGTGTGTCCAATCACACTTGGCCAATAAAGAATTTTATTCTAAATGGGGCAAAACTCACTTAAATGTGATAGTTAACAACAGAAATTTGGGGCTCAGTTGTAAGTCGAGGACTGCCCGTACCATACTGGACAAAGCAATGTCCAGTCTCTTCTTGAAAACCTCCAGTGATGATAATGTCCATAGCGAACAGTCCTACATTTTGATGCATCGTTTGTAAGGTAAAGGTAAAGGTTCCCCTCCCACATATGTGCTAGTTGTTCCTGACTCTAGGGGGTGGTGCTCATCTCTGTTTCAAAGCCGAAGAGCCAGTGCTGTCCGAAGACGTCTCTGTGGTCACGTGGCCAGCATGACTCAATGCCAAAGGCGCACGGAACTCTGTTACCTTCCCACCAAAGATGGTCCGTATTTTTCTACTTGCATTGGCAGAAGCTGGGATAAGTAACGGGAGCTCATCGTTTGTACTTTTACTTTGATTCAAAAGAAGATATACATAGAAGGGATTTGACCTGACATCTTGAATAGTCAGAAAAGAATTGATTTTTGCAAATTAACAGTTGGAAGGGACCTTGTAGGTCATCTAGTCCAACCCCACCCAAGCAGGAGACCCTACACCATTTCTGACAGATGGCAGTCCGGTCTCTTCTTGAAAGCTTCCAGGGATGAAGCTCCAGCAACTTCTGTTCCATTGGTTGATTGTTCTCACTGTCAGAAAATTTCTCCTTATTTCCAGGTTGAATCTCTCCTTGTTCAGTTTCCATCCATTATTCCTTGTCTGGCCTTCAGATGCCTTGGAAAATAGCTTGACCCCCTCCTCTCTGGGACAGCCCCTCAAAATATTGGAAGATGCTCTCATGTCTCCCCTGGTCCTTCTCTTCACTAGCCAGGCCCGGTTCCTGCAACCATTCATCGTATGTTGTAGTCTCCAATCCCCTTAATCATCTTGGTTGCTCTTCTCTGCACTTTTTCTAGAGTCTTAGCATCTTTTTTATAGTGTGACCAAAACTGGATGCAGTATGAATTGATTTGGAATTGGAATTGGAATTGAATTGAAATTTGATTTAATTGGATGAAATGGATTCTTTATTGGCCAAGTCTGTTTAGACACACAAGGAATTTGTGTCGGGTGCATGCAAAGTATCAGATTAGTGATAATTATAATAATAATACCAGTAAGGGGGGAGTATAGAAGAGAATAAGGATAAATGATAATACCTGTTGTAACATATGCTGGTGAAACATGGACACTAACCTCCCAATCAATACAAAAGATACGAGTGGCGCAAAGAGCCATAGAAAGATATATGCTCCTCATCACAAGACAAGATAGAAAGACCAGCACATGGATTAGAGAACAAACGGAAATATACGATGCCATCAAGAGTAAAAGAATTTAAATGGAAACGGGCTGGTCACATAGCAAGAAGAACCAATGGCAGGTGGAGCAAGGCAGTCATAGAATGGATCCCACTTGATTAAAAGCATCCATAAAAGTGATCTAAAACAAGACAGATTGATGGAATCAGCAACTATGGCATGCCCAATTGGCAAAAGAAAGCTCAGGACCATATTGGTTGGAAACATGCAGAAGAGGCCTACATCCTCCGATAGACAATGGCTAGGAGGAGGAGGAGGAGGAAATACTACTACAGCCATACTACATGGGTAAACAAACAGACACTAGATGGCACTGTGAGAATTAGGTGCTCAGCAGAGTGATGGCATATGGGGAAAAAACTGTCCCTGTGTCTAGTTGTTTTAAAAGTGCAACTGAAAATCTGCCAAAGTCAGGTTTTGGTGAGCCTGACTGGAAATCCCTGCTTTAGGGGACAAAAAATCTGTTTAATTTCATTTTTGCTTTGAAGTTTCTTACTTTAGACTCGAGTACTCAATGTTGCATAGGTCTGACTTCTCCCCCTTCTTGGTGAATTTGGCCTTGACTGACATTTACTGTCAAATCAAATCTTAACATTTACTACCTACAGCTTTGCAAATCTCAGAATATTAGGCTGGACTTGAGAATTAATGAAGGCGGCTATGGCACAAATGACATGGTTGTATCTGTAAAAGTATCAGGAATTGATTTTTACGACTGTAAACATGTGAATTGATTTCTCTTTCCTTTTCCAGGGTCCAAAGATCCAATTGTCCTTTGGGATGGAAATCACTGGTTTTTAATAGCTGGGAATTTTTCCAAAAAAGGATTACATTTACTTGTGATTTTTCTTTCCAGAAAGATTTGTATTTGCTCATATTCCAGTCTGATGCATTGGGGACCAGATTAAGTTCCAGTTTACATGTCTGAAGTGCTGAAGTCACCACTCTGTTTTACAAGTAAGCTGGTGTGATGTGGCCAGATGATTTTAAGATCAGTTTCATTTTCCCAGCTGTTTCTTTCTTCCCCAACTAACCTCCATGATTAAGGAGAAAAGGCGTAGTACCTTGGTAGATCTTTGGTCAACCTGATTAAAGGTATTGCCTTAATGAGCTCTGAGGTATATCTCTCACAATCAACATAGAGGAATAATTTTTTTATCTTACTGAAATAACGTAAGAATGCTTTTAAGGATTTGAGTGGTGCGGTGGCCTAGAGATGGAGCTCTTGCCTCACAATCGGGAGGCTGTGAGTTCGATCCTAGGTAGAGGCAGGTATTTCTCTCTCTGGGCACAATGAGAATATATCTGCTGAATATAACTCCACATTGGCAACAGGAAGAGCATCCGGCCAGTAAACATTCAGCTTTGTTCAGTTGCCCAGACTACCCCGCAAAGGATTATGGGATCATTGAAAGATGATGAATGTTTTTAAGGATTTCAGGAGCCCTTCCAGTGTTGGAAAAGACTCCACACATTTCCTTCTGTGAAATAAATTATCTAATCTGAAAGAAAAGCAAGACCACAACCAACGCTTCTAAATGCCTACTGACATAGTTTATTGCAAATCATGTAACAAAATAAAATAAAAGGCATCATTTTCGCAAACTACACTTTTGAATGGTTTTTTTTTTTAAATTACAGGTTGGTTTGTTTTAATCTCCCACATCTCTTGACTTATAAACTACAGTCTAATTTATAAAACATAAAAAGATTTGACACCAAGAGGCGGGTGTTAAAAATCACTCATTGTAGAGACATGCCAACACTTTCCTGTATCCTAAAGGTGGGGAGGGTCTCCAGAGGTCCTTGGAGAAAAAAAAACGAAGCTTGGGAGGTGATCAGATTCCCCAAAAGAAGGTGCCAGTGTGTTCAACATCCGAAGTCTGAAGAACATCTTCCCCAGGATTACAGTTCATGCAATATGTACCATCTCACCCAAAGATGCCAATGCAGCTAGAGGTCAGTCCTACCTGGGCATCTCAGAGGATGTTCCTTTGAAGGTCATTCTCGACTTATGACTACAATTGGGACTGGAATAGCTTCCATTCCTAAGTGATGTGCTTTTCATTGAGTTATATCCAATTTTACCACTTTTTTTTGCCACCGTCATTAAACAAATCCTTCTTCCCCCATTGACACTTGTTGCAAGCCCGCCCGGGAAAGCTGCAAATAGCGATCTCGTGATCCCAGGATCTTGCAACCATCCATCCGCACAGGCTGCTTGCAAAAGTGCCTGAATTTTGCTCAGAGCCATGGAGCTTTTCAGTCAGAGTGAGGCTGGGAGTCCCCATTTTCAGTGTAATTTTGAATGGTTAATCAACTGAGGACTAAGTCAAACACTTTCATGTAGCATTTACTCCGAAGGACCCAATCTCACCAGCTAAGCCGATTTCATTCCTCCCTTGAGCAATATTTTCAACAACCCAAAAGAAAGTGCAATGCTTTCTTTTCAGTTTAATCATTTAGATTTTTTAAACAAAATCCACCCATATCGTTTTATGTAAAAAAAAAAAAAAACCGACTCCGTATTTACAAAACATTAGCTTTGCCATAGGCGCATACTGTATATATATATATATTTGTATACAAATTCAGCTGCCCCACTTGCCCTGCCGGCCCCCGTTCTCTAAAAGAGAATAATACAACCGTCGCAAAAAAAACCCCAGAGGTGCCGAATCCTAAAAGGCAGGAGGCTCTTGCTGGCCGAAGGACAAAAACTTGCTTTCTAAGATGGCAATTCCGTCATGTGAATTAGGAGGATTCCTGCAATCGAATGCAGGGATATCAGCTTTCTGAAATTGGATAGAAGCTGATGCTATGGAGAAGTGGTCAGGTTGTGGTGAGGTTTTGCTGAGCCACATCCCAGTGGTTTCAACAGTGGCTTCTTCCAGCTGCCAGCCTCCTAAGGACCCCCACCTCCGTCTGCCCCTCTGGAAACCCCAAAGTTGAAGTCTTTTTCCAGCCACCTCCAGCTGTGTTGAGGGATGCAACACAGAGTAAAGGCAAGTCTTTAATCCACACTGCCTACATCTTCAAGGCACTGACCTAGTGCATGAAGGCTCAGGTGCCCTTTGGAGGCCAGGAGACGGGCAGGAAAGTTGGAACTTCTGCCCTGGACTTTGGTCAGTGAAGAGAATTTTCTCTCTCGAGTGCCTGTCTCTAGAAGGGCGGAATCCTTTTAAACCCATGTCCCAAAGGTCCTCTTTTTTTTTTTTTTTCAAAAGGCAAAATGGGCTTTGTTTTTCCTTGAAGACGTTTCGCTTCTCATCCGAGAAGCTGCTTCGGGGCCAACCCATCCATTCACACTACTGTTCCTGTGCAATGAAGCAGAACTGAAGAAGCTTCTTGGGTGAGAAGCGAAATGTTTTCAAATAAAAATAAAGTCCAGTTGCCTCTTGAAAAAAAAAAGGCATCCAGACCAGGATGACTGAGACCCTCCGAAGACTCTAAACCCATGGAAACCCATCCGCCATTTCTCACTCCCAACCTCCATTAGTTTTCCCAAACTGGGGACTTCCTAAGCTGTGAGTCCACCGCTCCCCATTGCCAGATAGAAGGCAAGTACTGGAAAGGCCAGGAAAGAGATTCCAATCCTGCCTTCCTATGGAAGTCATCTCCATCTCTTGATGGGTTCTAGACAACACATGGCCAACATCGTCTTGCTCCCATGGAGATGATGAGCCTCCCTCTCCCTACTGGGTTCCCCAACAGACCTTCAACCTTTCTTCATAGTCATCTCAACATCTTTTCTTGTTCGTGTTGTCTTTCCTTTAGGCTGTTCTTACAGTAGTGGCCAAAATTGTGGAAACCTTTTGGGAAAAGTGTATTTTTGAGGTTTGATGGCTAATAACACCACTTTTTTTTTTTTTTTTTTTTGGAGTTTCATAAAATAATCCTATTCCACTGCTGGAATGAATAGCCTGGGAATAGCCCAGACCTTCACCCAACTGAAAATCTATGGATTTTCTGACTAAAGAAACTGGTTAGTCAGAAGTGACCCAGCAATAAAACCCAGTTAATAGAAGCCATCCTTCAATCTTGGTTTCCCATCATTTTAGCAGAACTAAAAGTCTTGGTTCACTCCATGGGAAGACCTTGTAAGGCCGTCATTCATGCTAAAGGTTACCCAACTAAGTAAATTAACTGACGTGGTGATAATTTTTGTATATCTCGTTTTTTCTATGGGGATAATTTTTGCATATCTCATTTTTTTCTATGTGTTTCACTTCTTTATACTGTAACTGCTATTCTAATAGCAAATCCTTCATAAAAGTGATTGCATTACATGCTTGATTAAATTATCTTTCCACTGATATATAATTTTATGGTACTACTCCCCAAAAAAGTGGTGTTATCAGCTAGTTTTAGAAAAGACACTTTTCCCATAAGGTTTCCACAATTTTGGCCACTACTGTAGGTACAGTGCCCAGGATTGAGTTAGGAACACAAAAACCTTGTTAAAAAAAGGCAGGGCATTGCTTTCTTATTCTACGCTCGACCCAGGGCAGGCTTTCCTTTCCTTTCAACATTTGCAACAAACAAAGGGCACCTCTGAGAGAGGGGAGAAGCATTTGGAATTCACTATGTAGCTTAAAACCTCTAATCCTTGTTTTTGATCATAGGCAGTATTTAAAATAAATAAAGGAAAACGTTCAGCTTTCATGCAAAAAGATGGATAAAACTATGTAATACTGAAACTTTAATACAAAGATTCACAATCCATATTATCAGTGTTTTTCCTCCTTGGACTTCCAGCTCAGCCCGTGTGTTTTTTAAGATGAGTGGAATCCACCTTGAAATGGTTAGATACACCTTAAAGTGGCCGTGGCTGGGAAACACTGCCCTATTTCAATCTCCCATTTCCTTGGACTGCCCAAGTGTGTATCGGATACTCTTTTTCCAGAATTCCCACCTGCCATGAGGGCTAGGAACTTTGGGAGGGAATCTAAGACACCCAGAAGCATCCAGATGTAGAAAGCCGATACATCTATATATCTATATATCATAAACACCCAGGGAACATTTTAAAGCGCTCTTTAAAAATAAACCATCAACTTATATTTAAATTATTTTTCCTCATATAGGTACATTTTTAAAAAAAAAAACAAAATTGCCCCTCCCCCTTTTTTATTCTGTTTTAAAAATGAACAGGAAAAAATATCCTGATCAATAAATACGGATCATTTTACTATTATGGATATTTTCTTATAGCTTTACAGAAGAATGTTTCTCTAGGCAAAAATAAAAATAAAAAAGCATGATACAAACGTTTGTTGTTGTTTTTTTAAAAAAATGTCAATTAAAAAAAGTCCCCGTTAATAGATTTTTTTTTTTCTATTTCTTGGAATAGTAAATGCAGCCCATGGAATTCTAAACAGAACATATAAATAAAACGGCAGTGTTTTCACATAAAAGAAAAAGTACATAAATAAATACTAAAAAAGAGGAAGAACGCAATGACGTTTCCAACTTACAATGTATGCAAAAATATTTTTTTTAAAAAAAAAAGAAGAAAAAAGGGATTTCTCCAGTTCAGCCAAGGGGGTCTGTCCGTCTCACAGGGCAGCTCAGGTGCCCCCCCCTTACTTGAAAGCTTCTGGGATGCGCCCCACCTGGGGCTGCACGCTGGTGGGTGGGCTCGAGATCCCTTCCGACCAATCCGAGACGTTGGAATGGGGGGAGGAGCTTGACCACTGGTCCGGCGACTCCGGCGAGGGCGTGAGGAAGGGGTGGTCGGGCCCCTGGAGCTGATGGCTGGGCGTGTGGTCCATGGGGGAGGGGTAGCTGTGCTGGGAAGGCGGAGTCAGGAACTGGGGGGTGGTCAGGGCCTGGGACAGGCCGGGGGGCAGGGAGGTCGCCAGCACCTGGGTGTCCTGCGGCAGGATGGCGTGGACAGACAGGGCCCCACCATTCATCGGCTGCTGCAGCTCCGCCTGGCTCAGCTCGTTCCCGAGGAAGCTCGCCCCCACTTGGGGGGTAGTGTTCGTGGCCCCGCCATGGCCTTGCGGTGGGGGCGGCTGCTGCTGCTGGGGTTGCAGCAAGTGTGGCTGGGAGTGGGTGGGCAGGAGGCCCCCGGGGACCGCCTGGTAGGTCATCATGGGAGCCAGAGGGGTGCCGGAGAGGCCGCTGTGCAGGGGCGCCAGCAGCCCGTGCGGCAGGGCCTGGTTGGCAGGGTGCGTGCCCTGCGGAAGGGCGCTCCTCAGCGGGTTGTACTGCCCGGGCACCAGGCTGTTCTGCAGGCGGTTCAGCCACTCGCACTGGCTCCCGCTGACGGCGAAGTTGAGCGAGGCTCTGCCCAGGAGGGCGCTGGCGCTGGAGACGGGCAGGTGAGACAGGCGAGGGGGCCCCGGCTCGAAGGGCTGCATCTGGCTGGCTCCCAGGCCCAGATCCGCCTTGCTGACCAGATTGAGTTGGCTGATGCTGAGGTGGGAGTCGGGCATGCCGGGCAGGTGATTGAGGGGCATGGAAGGGGAGGCCTGGAAGGGGGAGGTCATCAGGGGCGGGGAGGCCACGTCCGACAGGTAGCCGTGTGGAGATTCCAGGGAGTCGACCGGGGAGAGGACTCCGGAGCCGTCCAGCAGGCAGCCCTTGACCTCCTGAGACTTCTTCCGGGGGGCCTTCAGCCCCTTCGGCTCCTTCCCGTTGCAGCTCAGCCCTTTGGTGCTCGGTTTCCGGGCCTTCTTGCCCTGCAGGCCTGGCTTCAGGTTGCCCAGGTAGCCGCTGGGGGAGCAGAGTGGCGGGGAGAGGGTGGGGCCCCCCAGAGGCCCCCCGTTGTGCAAAGGCGGGCTCCGCACCAGGTTGTACTCATCCAGGAGGCGGACGATGTCGTGGTGCATGCGCTCCTGGGCCACGTCCCGGGGCAGGCGGTCCATGTGATCCGTGATGTCCCGGTTGGCAAAGCTGTCCAGCAGGACTTTGGCCGTTTCGTAGCTGCCTTCTTTGGCTGCCAGGAACAAGGGGCTCTCTTCCTAAAAGACAGGGAAGCAGGACTTCAGACCCCTCCCCTGAATCCATCCGCCTTCCCCGTTGCCTCGCCTTGGGTGAGCAATTTCCTTCGGGAGAAAGTTTCTCCCAAGGGGCCCCCATTCCCTCTTTCTAAGGCTCTGAGGGAGTGAGGGGCCACGGTCACCCAGCTGGCTTCCTGCCTCAGCAGGACTAGAACTCACCAACTCCCAGTTTCTAGTCTGGAGCCTTCACCACAACCCCAAACTGAGTCTAGTGCTTGTGAGAGGAGAGGAGAGGGGAGGGGAGGGGAGGGAGGAGAGGGGAGGGGAGGGGAGGGGGAGGAGGGGAGGGGAGGGGAGGGGAGGGGAGGAGGGGAGGGAGGGGAGGGGAGGGAGGGAGGGGAGGAGGGGAGGGGAGGGGAGGGGAGGGGAGAGGAGAGGGAGAGGAGAGGAGAGGAGAGGAGAGGAGAGAGAGAAGAGAAGAGAAGAGAAGAGAAGAGAAGAGAAGAGAAGAGAAGAGAAGAGAAGAGAAGAGAAGAGAAGAGAAAATGGAATGGAATGGAATGGAATGGAACTTGATGGAGATGTGTTGGGAGAAGAGTGGGGAAATGAGCCAAGGCAGTTCCATTAAATCCGGGGGTCTCTCGCAGCCCCAATTTGAAGCAGGACGTCCCACTGACCTTGTTGTTCTGCATGTCCTTGTTGGCCCCGTTCTTCAGTAGTGCCAGGGCAGCGTCCACATTGTTCACGGCCGCAGCCCAATGCAGGGCAGACTTCCCTGGAGGGGAAAAGGAAGAGGGGAGACCGTAAGCAGGCCGTTCCGCAGCCCCCTTCGGCAGACCGTGCAGGGGAGGCTCGGGGGTCCACAGGTACCTAGGTCATCCACAGCATTCACATCCGCGTGGCAGCTGATGAGATCTTCCAGCATGCCTTCCACCGCCAAGCGGGCAGCCAAAATCAGAGGCGTGGTCCCATCGTGCATGCGGGCATCCAAGTCGGTGGCCCTGTTCCGGATCAGGATCTGTCCCGACGGGAAGGGAAGGAAGAAACACCTCGGTTAGCGGACAGTGGAAAGGACTGTGATATAAACCGCCCCCAGCTTTGGTGGGAAGGAGGGCAGAGACAAATGCCAGTCTGAGATGCTGCACCATCCTGACCTGGAAGACGCCCTGGGCATCTGCAGACACGGCTGCGTGGAGGGGCGTCTTGCCCATGTGGTCCTGGACGTTGGCGTCAGCGCTGGCTTCCAGCAGCCGCTTGGCCGCATCCGAGCGGGCATAACGGGCGGCCAAATGAAGAGCCGTCTCCCCCGTGCGATCCGTTTGATTGTGCAGGTTGGCTCCCTGGTAGATAAAATCCGAAATGACAGCCGGGGTGTCCTCTTCCTCCTCGCTGTTGCCCGTCTCCAGCCCTCCTCCGCTGCAGGAGGCGATCATCAGGGGCGTGAATCCGTCTGGCAAGGCAAGGAAAAGGGAGCCGTCAACAGAAACAGCCTGAAGGAATTGGGGAGCTGAAGTCCACAGACTGTGAACAACGTGGGTGATATGATAGCAGGGTCCCAATATCTCAGGGGCTGCCACAAAGAAGAGCGGGTCAACCTATTCTCCAAAGCCCCTGAGGGCAGGACAACAAACAATGGGTGGAAACTCATCAAGGAGAGAAGCAACCTGGAATTAAGGAGAAATTTCCTAACAGTGAGGACAATTAGCCAGTGGAACTACTTGCCACCAGAAGTTGTAGGTGCTTCATCATTGGAGGTTTTTAAGAAGAGACTGGGCAACTGTTTGACTGAAATGGTAGGTCTCCTGCTTGTGCAGGAGTTAGGACTAGAAGGATTTTTTTTCTACAGGCTGACAGCAAGAATTCTTTATGTGCAAAAATGGAAAGACATGTTAATCCCCAAAATGGAAGAACGGCTGGGCAGAGGAGGCGGATATGGGCAAATCAACTGTTTTAATCGTTTTTTAAAAAATAATACATCTATTTTTTTTTTCTGCTTAGAAACTCCTTCTGGACTTTGTGCTCAGGCAGGAACAATGAAAGTTTGGCTTTAGGATATTCTGGTTAGATAGCTGTGTTGTTATAGAAATGGCTAGTGTATATACTAAGTATGTAAAAATAAAAAGTTGTTGCTTTATCATTTTTATTCTACCGTGCTGAAAAAAGTTGGTCCTGGCCACTTCGTTATTCTTTCCTACCCTATTCCCCCCTTTCTTTCTCCCCTTCTCCCTTCCCCATTTCCCTACTGCCTTTATCTTCATTTGGATTTTATATTATGAAATGCAGTAAAATAAATGAAAAACAAAAGGCAGGGCTGAGGCCACCTGGAATTTGGGAGGGGGGATGTCAGGCCTGGAAGCCATCTTTTGCATGGGGCCTTCAGGCCTGCCACATTTCCTGCTGTGGAAAACTGGGAGGGGGATTGTATGGAGCAGGGGAGATATGTAGTCATAATAACATTCCTTTCTCAGGGAGTCAAGGACATCTTGCCCTGAACCTGGAAGGCTGGAACTGGGAGGCATCTCCAGTTGGGACGGTGCTTGGATTGGACCTTGTGATGGACTTGTGGGTGTTGGGCAGGGGCTTGGACTTTCTTTTGGGTGGGGAAAACCTGGAAACTTTCAGATTCGGGTTTTCCCAGATGTGCCAATATGACATCTCTAATAAAACATAACTTTGAGGAAACTCAAGCCTTGGAGTTTTCTTTCATTGGGAGTATTACTTCAAACCCTGACAGGGGAATCTTTTCCAGAATGCAGGCTACCGGCTGGATCTTGAAGCAGTCCGTCATTCCCTCTTGTGCCAAAGACCCAAAGGTTCACACCCTACCTGGCCCTCGAACGTTGACATCCATGCAGTCGGCGTCGATCTCCCCCTGGGGTGGGGTGGGGGCCATGGAGGAAATGCGCAGGTCGGCCGCGTCCAGGTGCTGCTGCGTCCACTGCCGGTGGTCAGTCTGGTCATCGGGCAGCATGACCTGTTCCTCTACCTGGGAAGAGAGGGATGGAGAAGATCCAGTGAAGATCCATCCGCCGGAGCTGCCTCTGGTCAACTTTCCTGCAAAACGCTCGTTTCAGAGGAAGGCCGACACGGAGCTCCGTCTTTTGAGATCGGAAATTCAAACGTATTACTTAGAAGTTGGTTTTGTGTAATCTAGGGGGAAATGGAGGAGGAAGGGAATAGAGGAAGCGGAAGAATCATAGGGCCGAAGAGGTGATTTCTTGAGGTTTGAAATCCACCCCATAAAGCTGTGGGGGTCTGCAGATGTTCATAGAGCTTCCTGAAACTCCTACAAGCATCACATTTTGTTCCTGTGAGCAGAACTGTTTAACTGGGCATCTAAAAATGTCACGGTTAGAAAAGCCCTTTCGTAATGTTGAAGACGCTTCTCTCCAAGAACAGGGCTTGTGCTGTTTTCATGCCCTCGTTCTCAAAATGCTCCGGGGGAGGGGGGGCACGAGGGTATCAGCTGCCTCCTTCCGTCTCCCCTTTCCTTCCACCCGAGAACCAGGAAGGAGGAAAAAAAGATGGAACAGAGAGTGTACCTTTTCATTATGTAGCTCTCCACACGAAAGCACTTATGGGCCTGCAAAGATCCAAAAATCACCCTGTCCTAAACTCTGTCCTGCTATTTCTCAGCATTTTCCTGTCAGGCAAATAACCCCATAAAGGTTTGTGGCCCTAACTTTATTCCTGGGGGAGCTTGGGAATTTCGTTTGATTTTTTTCCCCCTCTCGGTGAAGTTTTTGAGTTTCCTGGCTCCCTCTCTTGTTGTAGATGTGTTTTTCAGGGCGTCTTTGCAAAGCTCTCCCCCACTTTTTTCGATCAAAAAAAGCCCACACAGAATTACTGCTTCAAACCCATCCTTCCCAGGCCCCTAGGCTGGAGACAGCGGGGCAGAGGTTGCACCACGGAAGGGGGGTCCTTTAGGCCATCGGTGAAGAATTACAAGAATTTATCAGGCTCCAGTGTGGTCCTTGGCTGGGTTTTAGTAAGGCAGGGACAGCTTTAGTCACTGCATTAAACTGCAATATATATTACAGGCGAATTACACGTTCCTTCTATGAAATTCTCTTCTTCTTTGACAGAAATCCCAAATGCCCAAAATCCAGACTGGATGAGAAGCGGTTAGAAAGAAAAATCTGGAGGATTTTCCAACTTCCTATCTGATCTCTGCGCGACCAGCTTACTCGGAATTTCTTGGTGTTGAGGGTCTCCTCGTCTCCCCACTCATTCTGGTTGTCGTCCATCAGGGTCCCGTTCGAAGCATTTTTCAAGGGTCTGGAGGACAAAGGGTTGGGGGAAGGGGGGGGGGAAGGGAAAGGGGCAAGGAATTAAATCCACGGGGGGAAACATTCGAGCGACAAATGAAGTGGTGTAAAGACTAGACAAACTAAATAGAAAGACCTCTTCCCATTATTCTAGGATTTCCACCGTTTATCCATGCTGAGGGTATGACCCCCCGCCCCAACTTCCTAAAATTCAGTAATTTTGGAGACTTTCTAAGGAAGTCAAACTAAGTTTTTTTTAAAAAAATAGCGAGGAATTAAAATGAAGACGCAGAATGTCAGATGTTCTCAAAACAGAGCGGTTTGGGCGATGTGATTGTGTATATTCTCAATTTGTTATACAAAATCAATTTATTGGTGTAAACGCTGGATGTTCCCTCCAGATTATGAGCTGGCCAATAAAGAAGTTTCAATCATCACCTTCAACGGATTGACCCTTTTGGGGATCCTGTAAAACCATCCGATCTTTTTTTCTCTTTTTAAAAAAAATCTCTCTTTTTAAAAATGTGCTATCATTGGCCCTTTTTTTCAGGTGAATGTACTAAAAATACATAACATAAATTACATGTAGGCTGTCTTACGAAAGGAAGTCCATAGTGCTCAGGTGTTAAAAATATCAAATAATATATGTGCTTCTGTATACACTTAAAAGAGAGAGAAGCTAACGTTTTTAGTTTTTTTTAAAACAAGTTTTATTAAATTTTTCTTTCACATGCATATGTTGTGAACAGAGTTTTGACCGGGTGAAAAAGTAGGGAAAAAGAATATTATGGCAGAAATTGAAATATATAAATTGTGTTTGGAAAAAACAGAAAAGAAGATTGGAGTAGATTATAAAAATTGATATATAACTATGTTATAAGTTGTATAAGATGTGACCCTGAGAGAAGCTAACGTGAAGAGTCTGAGAGGCCATAAAATATAACCGATTACTTTGCAACCTGCGATCATTCTTGAATGAGAAACTGAAGTCCACTTAGAAGGAAGCCAGTGAAAATAAAGCTGGGACTTTTGTGCCCACCCACAACCCACAGACCTCCCGAAACTTACCCATGACCCCCACTGAGAGAAAAGGAAGTCAAAGCATAGCACAAATCAATGAGAGACACACACAGAGACACACTTCCGACAAATGGGCCAAGAAGGCAGCCTCGGTGTGTTTCCGACAATTTATCCTGCGTGGGGCAGAAAAGCAGCCCTTTCACAAAATCCCAGGACTAATATTTGCCTCTATTTCCCCTGGACTGCAAAAGGAAGCCAAAATTCAAAATGCTTTGAAAAATAACGTAAATAGCATATTATTTTATTATTTTTTATATGGTGTTTTTAATGTCCCTTTAAGCCGCCTTGAGTCGCCATGTGCCATGCAAATTTTCCAAATAAATAAGTAAAGGTCTGTCCCAGCCAAGTTCTATTTTGCTAAACCGAAGTCAAAGCTGGCATGCCGTAAACATTAAAAAGCCGTTCCTTCGACACACTAAATTGGGGTTAATGAGCCACCGCTGCTGTGCTCATTTCACATGCTTTTTAAAAAAAATTCCCTAAACAAATAAACTCCATCCCTCTTCAACCCCATGCCCCATTAAGACAAGAGTTACATGGTCCCCACACAATGCTATTTGTGTGAACCAGACCAAGAGGGAACCACTCTCTAGGATCAGGTTCCAGATCCCAACCTCTGCTGGAGATCCCTGCAAGGGGAAAAGGGGGTGGGTGGGATTACTTACTTCAGCCCCACGGAATCCTCTCCCAGCGGTTCCCGGCGCTTCTTCTTACTGGACTCGGTCACTTTGAAGCCTTCGGGGAACCAGAGCTGCCCATGTTCCCGTCGCCGCTTGCGAGTTGCCAAAACTCCGATGCCAATGCAGAAGAGCAGAAAGAGAGAAGGTACCACCACATACATAGGATACCACTGGCTGCTCCGGGGGGAATCGGCCGTTTCACCTGGGATGCAAAAAGCCAAGAGGACCACGGTGAGACCGAGGGAAGGTGCAGCCCAGCCGGAAGAAGACAGGCGAACTGAGGTCCAAGCAGCCCCACCACTCGTCCCCCCCTCCCTATCCAGCTCCAAAGGAGGAGGAAGAGGAGGAGGAGGAGGAGGAGGGCACTTTCGATGTGATTCATCAGCATTGCAAACTCTCTGTTGCTTCGCTGGGAGAGAAAAAAAGCTTTCCTTCCTTTAGGAGCAAAAGGATTAGCCCATTTCAAATCATTGGATCCACATTGAGCGGTTAAGTCCAAAGGATTTGGGAGGATTTGGGAGGCGCACACTTCAGCTCTTCACATGTCACGGATCGATTACAAGGTCTGGGGCAGCTTCCCCTCCCTCCCTCCTCCTTTCCTAGCAATACTTATTTTGAAATAAATTCCGGAGGGGAGACAAAACTTGATTTTTCTTTCCCCCCCTCTCCCACAAACAGCAAGGGAAGGGGACTGGTTTTTAAAAAAAGGCATTCCGGTGTTTTACAGCTTTGGGGCCAGGGTTTACAATTGGCTTTGTATGTTGTACATTATGCATGCGGGGCACATATGTGTATTTGGGGCCTTTGACTCAAGAAGCATATTGAGCTGCATCTGGCGGAATTAGCCCCAAACTATAAAATCCATTATTAACTTAATCCTCTATTTCTCAACCTTGGTAATTCGAAGAACTGTGGATTTCAACTCCCAGAATTTCCCAGCCAGCATGGGAGGCTAGGGAATTCTGGGAGTTGAAGTCCGCATGTCGATGCCAACGCTGAGGATCACGGGCCTGCTCACATTCTGTAAGATTAGAAACCAAACAAGTTTTGTTATTGGGAAACTGGTGAGAAACCCCAAATTACACTGCTTCGATGCCAGATGGATATTTTAATAGACAACAATACGAAGGTAAACCACACCTGGAATCCTGCAACCAATTTTGCAACTACAAAACAGATGTTGAGACTTTGGAAAAAGTGCAGAGAAGAGCAACTGAGATGATCAAAGGCCTGGAGATTAAAACATATGAAAAACGGCTGCAGGATTTGGGTCTCGCTAGTCTAGAGAAGAGAATTAGGGATGACATGATAGCAATATTCCAGTATTTGAGGGGCTGCCACAAAGAGGTGGGGGTCAGATTATTCTCCAGAGCACCAGAAGGCAGGACAAGAAACAATGGATGGAAACTAATCAAGGAGAGAAGCAACCTGGAATTAAGGAGAAACTTCCCGACAGGGAGGACAATTAACCAGTGGAAAAACTTGCCACCAGAAATCGTGGGTGCTCCATCACTGGAGGTTTTTAAGAAGAGACTAGAAGGCAGAGGAGAGGAGAGCAGTGGAAATCTATGGGCCGATCCTTGGGAAGGAAGAGCCACCGCTGCTAGCTCTGGGGATAAAAGGCAGGGGGCAGAGATGTATAGATGTGGCAGACAACTATTCATCTTCTGGCCGGCTGGATTTGTTAGCCTGCGTTGAGAGAGAAACTTTTTGCCGGGGCTGCCGGGGCTCCTAATAAAGGAATCTGTTGAGTTAACTTCAGAGGGTTTGTCGTGTTTGGGGATGTGGAATTGGGATCGTAGAAAACACCCAGGAGCATAGAAGAGTTCAGAGGCAGATGCATAAATAAATGTCTTAAACATATTTATTCATATGATAAATCATATTAACTATGTACAACAGAGATCAAGTTGTTGTGGCTCCGTTGCCTGAGCCTGGGCTATCGACAGATGCAGACTCTGAGAGTGAGGGAGAGGAGTTGGCAAGGCCTCCTTCTCCAGGACCCTCCTCTCTGGCAATGCTTCCAGAGGACACCGAAGGCCAAACTGGGCTGGCTTGAGCTAAATTTTAAATTGATTTTAAATTGGGTTGTTTTAATTACGGCCAAAATATTTAATTATTTTAATACTGTTTTTAAATTTTGTATGCTCTGTTTTTACTTAGGCTGTGCACCGCCCTGAGTCCTATTGGAGAAGGGCGGTATAGAAATTTAATTAAATAAATAAATAAATAAACGATAGGCTCAGAGCCAAGCACGTCCCCGCAGCCACAGGTGGACAGTGATGAGGAAGATAAGTGCTGGCTGGACCCTCGGCAGCGGCGCAGGGAGAAGCGTGCGCAGCAGAGGGGAAGGCGTGCCAGAGATTAGCTGAGTCACTGGACCACACCCCACAGGGTATAAATGTGGGTGTGGTTGCCGGTTCAGTTTGTGACGAGCAAAAACTGGAAATACTCCATGATCTCTGCGTTACTGGACTTTGCCTGCTTTATCGGACTGCATTTGGATGAATCCTTGTATTGCTGAAACTTTGCCTGCTTTATCAGAATGCTTGCAGTCTAATCTTTGTTTTGTGTGAGTAAAGTCTGAATTGGCAGCTAGCCACTGGGTTGCTGCCAGCTTTATCTTCAAAGAGTTTTGTCGTGTGGCTTATTAACTCCGGGCCGTCTGTGGGGGTGCGTGTGTGGTACGGGGACAGAACACAAGTCTCATGAGGAACAAACACAAAAAGTGAGAGAGATGGAGAGAGCACAAGGTGGAAAAGGTTGGAGGGGGTTTTATACTCAGGGTAAGCCCCTCCTTTCCACACAGAGGTGGAGACACTCTCTGCCTCCACTGGTGTCTATATGACACATGTGCCAATGGCTTGCAAATACTTGACAGGGGAGCTGGGTCAGAACAGCTTACTTTTCACGGCTTCGATCTTGTAGGGAATGTCCAAGTTGCCGCTTGAGGCCAAGGCGCCCAGGAATGCCGCTACGTCGTTGGCACTTTGAAAGCACTGAGAGGAGGCTTGGATGCATTGGCGGTTGTCGATTTCCAGGTGAACGATGGACCTGCAGGTTTGGGGAAGGGAGAACGTATAGACATAAGCAGGACCATTCCAGTTGGAAGGAGGAGTGGTGCGGTGGCCTGGAGGTGGAGCTCTCGCCTCACAATCAGGAGGCTGTGAGTTCAATCCTCGGTAGAGGCAGATATTTCTCTCTCTGGGCACAATCTCTCTGAACAAAACTCTGCACTGGCAACAGGAAAGGCATCCGGCCATTAATACCCTCTGCTAGCTCTATTCAGTTGCCCAGACTCCACCCCGCAAGGGATTATGGGATCGTTAAAGGAAGATGATGATTCCAATGGGAAGGACACCCACTCCGCCCTTCAGCGCAAGGACTTGGTGCCAGGGTTGCTTGATACGAATCCAACTGAGCCTGACCCAGTTCTGCCAGACTTACAACAGTTCATTTAGCGACCATTCAAAGTTACATGATTAAAATGCAGGCACTTGGTAGCCAGCATGGTTCATATTTATGATGGTCGCAGCGTCCCGGGGTCACATAATCCCCTTTTTGCCATTTTCTGACAAGTAAAGTCAACGGGGAAGCCAGATTCATTTAACAACCATCTTACTAATTTAACAGCTGCTGTGACTCATTTAACAACTGCGGCAAGAAAGGTCATAAAATGGGGTAAAACTCAACATCCGTCTCGCTTAGCAAGAGAAATTTGGGGCTTAATTCTGGCTGTAAGTCGAGGATCCCCTGTGTTGTGCTGGGTGAGGCCTTTGGGTTATTCTCCTTGGATGTCCCAAATGTTTTTTTTTCAGGAGGCAACTGGACTTCCTTCTTTTTTCTTTTGAAGACGTTTCGCTTCTCATCCAAGAAGCTTCTTCAGCTCTGACTGTATGATGGTGGGGAATGGAAGGATTTATACTCCTTGCAGACAGCTGGTCATTTGCATCCTTTTAGAGGGTCCTTGAAGGACTTGGAGGCTTATATCTGTGTCCTCAGGGTCACCTGAGTGGTGCTCCTGGTTTATGTGGTCTGCCATTTTTCCCTCTGGAAATCCATTCCTTCTCCCGCATCTTTCAAAAGGAGTTCATCCCAAATTGTATAGCTGAACGTCTGTAGAGATTCATGTAGCCATGTAGATAAACCTCCAAGTGCTTCAATGACCATCTAAAAGGATGCAGACGACCAGCTGCAAGGAATACAACTCCTTCCATTCCCCACCATCATCCAGTCAGATCTGAAGAAGCTTCTTGGATGAGAAGTGAAACTTCTTCAAAAGAAACAAAAAACAAAAAAGTCCAGTTGCCTCTTGAAAAAAGCACCTGGATGACTGAGAATCTCTACAGAATTCTCCTTGGATATTCTCCATACAGAGAATTCTGTAGAGATCTTCTCGCTGGTCCCAATTTCTATTCGCCCCAACTGATCAGGGCCAGCTAGGTTTGTTCTTCCAAATGGGCAGGGCCACACAACGCAAAGTCCCTCAACTTGGGTCTGAATGACTACACACCCACACATACACACCCCGTAGTCACCTCGGTGCACTCCTGCTTACCCGTAGATTTCCACCTGGTCCAGCTCTCTCTTTGGCCTCTGGCTGAGCCCCGAGCGGACAGCTTCCTGCACGCTGAGCATCACTTCAGACACGTCCGGCCAGCCGCCCACCGACCTCTTGATGCGGTGCTTTTTCAGTTCTTCCGGATTCCCAAAATAAGGGAAGATCATGGACTCGCCCTTGGCGTCCTTCTTGAAAACCACGTTGGTGTGCAGGACCCGGCTGAGCTCCCGCAGGAAGTTAAGAGAGTTGTTCCTCAGGAGATCAGGGCTGATCAGCACCACCACTACCAGGGTCCCGTCGGCAAGCCTCTCGGGAACGTGGTTGGCACAGTCGAGGCCGTCCCATTCGCACTCGGCGCTGTTGCAGCCCGTGTCACAGTTGCCGTCGGAAAAGTGGTCCTTGCAGTACTGATCGTAGAGAGGGCTGCCAAGATGGAGGAAGAAACGGGTGAGGCCCACCGGACCCTTTCAAGGCCACGTGTCATCTAGACACCCCTAGGCCAACTGCTGTCCCTCCCAAGTAGGCCACCCTGTTTCATTTTGGAGTACGATTCATATTTTAATGCAGAAAATTTTGAAAATGGGAGATAAAAATGAAACCAGAACTTTTCCTTTTGGGCCTAATCGAAAAAGAACTGGAGAAAAAAATTGGAACTTCGTTATTATCTACGTTGATCTTAGCAGCACTATTGCGTGCACAAAAATGGAAGGGTGATTCCTACCACAGAAGAATGGTTGCAGAAGCTGATGGCGGAAATGGCAGAACTGACTACTTTGGTTAAAGGAAAGAACGTAAGTACTTTTGTTTCCACATGGAAACCGTTTCTGAACTTCATGCTTGATGTGGAAAAGAATGAAACTCTAACTTTGGGCTTCACCAGTTAGACGGATAGACCTTTACAGAAATGGCTTATTTATACTATTATGGAAAAGCAAGGAGTTGTGATTTGATGTTAATGCCTTATTTTATTGTAACAGAAAGAGTCGGAAGTCAATGCTTCTTTTTATTTTTAATTTTTCCCTATTTTTCCTCACCTTTCTTCCCTCTTCCCCCTCTACCCCTCACTGCTCTTCTATTTACTTTTGTATTTTGTATTTTATAATACTTCATAACTCAATAAAAAACGTTAAACAAAGGAAAGTTACAGAAAACACACAACTTGCCTCCAGAAGTTGCGAATGCTCCAACACTGGAGCTTTTTAAGAAGATGCTGGAAATGGTTATTGCCTAACTAGTTGGGCAGGAAATATGTAAGCCAACATTGTATGTTTGTATTATGTAAATGTATTATGTTGCTTTAAGGACATTGCTGAGTCATTCTGCATCCTGATTGGATGAGCTCTGTAGCCAATGTGTTTAAGGAGAGCTTAATTGTGGTTAGTGTGAACACTACACCATATTTTTACCTGCTGCTATGCTGTAACTATTTTTGATCTCTCTAAATGGTCATTGTTTGATCATGGTTTATTTATTACTATTTCCTGATATTTATTGAACTGTTTTTATATTGTTCCTGAATGTTCCTTGTATTTTTCTACAAACTGGTAAGAAGATTTTACATCCCTGGATTGATCTTGTATTGCACTTTATATGGCTAAGACTTGGATTGTTAAAGGACTATGATTTCGCTTTACCCTTAAAGCAAAATACTATAAAACCAGTTTGTCTGCATGTTATTCACAATTACTCTCAAAACCGTTTCCGTGCGTAAAAACTTCTGATGGTACTCTGCTTTACGAGCTCCATGACTCTGGTGGTGACACAACAATATCCTTAACAATAACCCTTTGTCTGAAGTGGTGTAGAGTTTCCTGCCTAAGCAGGGGGTTGGACTAGAAGACCTCCAAGGTCCCTTCCGACTCTGTTATTCTAAATTCTAAGCCCAGCTAACCGGCTAAGCCCAGCAGAGCAGAGGAGAGGGATGCCACGCCTGCCCAGACTTACTTGCACTGCAGCTCGACCTTCTGGCAATCAAAGCCGTCATAGAGGCAGCCGCTGTTATTGCACTGGATGTCGCATTTGCCGTCGTTGAAGTAGTTCCAGCACTGCAGGGCCTGGGTGCAATTCTTCCAGGGGTCATTGAAGTTGAGCGAACAGTCCCCGCCGTCCCAGCCGCAGGCGTGGTTGTTGCACTTGGCGTCGCAGATCTTGTTGCCGGCGAGGCTGGGGCAGCCGGGGATTTCGCACTTCTCCTCCACCGGGGGAGGGGTGATGTCCTGGCCAGGCCCTCCGGGGAATTCAAAGTCCAGGATGTGGCAGTTGAGGCCATTGAAGTTGACGGGACAGAGGCAGCGGTAGTGGGGCGGCTCTGTGGTGAACTGGCAAGTGCCCTCGTTGTAGCAGGGGCCGGAGTGGCACGGGCTGTGCAAGGGGAACTGGCACTCGGGACCGGTGAAACCCGGCGCGCACATGCACCTGGACTGCCTGGAAGTGGGAACGCAGGTGCCGCCATTCAGGCACCTCAGCATCTTGCAGCTGTGCAGGTCATTTTCACACGTGATGCCATCCAAGCCCTGAGAGGGGAAGAAGACGTCACTCAGAAGTTTGTTTATGTTTATTCATACTTATATGCCGCCCTTCCCCCGAAGAACTCGGGGCAGCTCACAAAGATAAAACAACGGAACAATAAAATTAATACTAAAATAATCCAATTAAAATCCCCAAGAAGTTAAAACTAAGACTCCCATCAGATCAGACAATTTGTTGGAAAAGCCATGTCTTCAGGTCACCGGGGAAAGAGCGGAGGTCGGGGGCTGTCCGGAGCTAAGTGGGTAACCCATTCCAGAGGGTCAGTGCGCCCACAGAGAATGCCCTCATCCTGGGCGCCATCAACCAAGAGCCTGGTGGCGCAGCAGACTAATAGCCTGTTATTAACATTCAGCTGCCTGCAATTACTGCAAGTTCGAATCTCACCAGGCTCAAGGTTGACTCAGCCTTCCATCCTTTCTAAGGTAGGTTAAATGAGGACCCAGTTTGTGGGGGCAATAAGCTGACTTTGTATAAATATACAAAAGTATGAAGGCTATTGCTTAGCACATTGTAAGCCGCCCTGAGTCTCCGGAGAAGGGCGGCATATAAATCAAATTAAAAAATTAAATTTTTTTTTAAAAAAACCAACATTGTCTGGCCGAAGGCACCCGGAGGAGGGCAGTCCTATGTGAGCGCACTGGGCGGTGGGAGGCCGGTAGGAGGTGATCCTGCAAGTACCCCAGGCCCATGCCATGAAGGGCTTTATAGGTAAGTACCAGCACCTTGAAGCGGATCCGAAGGACCAACGGTAACCAGTGCAACTCGCACAGGAGTGGTGTAACACGGTAATAGCGGGAAGCTCCCGTAACAAGCTGCGCGGCCGCATTCTGGACCAGCTGGAGCCTCCGAGTGCACCCCAAGGGCAGCCCCATGTAGAGGGCATTGCAGTAATCCAAACGTGAGATAACGAGAGCATGAGTGACTGTACGGAGGGCATCCCTGTCTAGGGAAGGGCACAACTGGCGCACCAGGCGAACCTGTGCAAAAGCCCCCCTTGTCACGGCCGTCAGATGGTCCACCAAGGGCAGCCGTGAATCTAGGAGGACGCCAAGACTGCGAAGAAGTGAAGGAAGGACTGCCCAGACTGGGGAGGTTAGCACTCCATGTCAGGGTCCATCCACTCCCTGCGTGGTCACATCTGGTCAAGGGGGGGGCACGCCAGCCCTGGAACTCCCTAAAATTGTGGGGTTCCACATTCCTCACAAAAGAAGATTGTCCGCCTTTTCCTGTCCCTCGTCCTCTTCTAGTGGCACAATAGTTCCAGACTCTTCCATTTCTCTCCTCAGCCCCCCCCCCCCCCCCGAGCCCTCTGGCCCCCGAGCCCTCCTTCCCCTTCTCTGCACCCTTTGAAAAACCAGAACTGGACCCAGGACTCCAGGTGGGGCCCAGCCCTTCAAAACACCAGCCCATCACAATCCAGGTGTGAAGAAGAGGAGGCTGCAGCACCCTGCTTGAGCCCCCCTCCCCCACTTCTGCCTCTGACCAAACAAACGCCGGCCACGTACCGGAGGACACTTGCAGATGTAGCCGTGTTTTGTGTTGCTGGCCACGGCGCAGGTTCCCCCATTCCGGCAGGGTCTGTTCTGGCAGCCATTGAACACTGCTTCACAGCGCCGTCCTGGAAGGGGAGCAAAAAAAAAAGGGGGGGGGTTCAGACTGAATTCGGGGTCTAAGCTCTCTCCTGGGCTGTTCTGGATGAAGAGAGGGCCTTCCTCCCTTGGGCCTCGGAAACCTTCGTGGAAATGGGCCACTGCTTTGTTGGAGTTGTGACAAAAAGTCGGAAACTTTTTTTTGTTTCCCTTTGTTCTGCTGGTTCCTCCCCAACGAAGAATTGGTGAGAGTTGCCTTCAGGGAGGGGAAGGAAGGAAGGGAGGAAGGAAGGAAGGAAGGAAGGAAGGAAGGAAGGAAGGAAGGAAGGAAAGAAATGAGAATGGAAGGAAGGAGGGAAGGAAATGAGAATGAGAGGAAGGAAGGAAGGAAGGAAGCAGGAGATGGGAATGAGAAAGAAGGAAGGAAATAAATAAATAAATAAATGAGAATGGAAGGAAGGAAGGAAGGAAGGAAGGAAGGAAGGAAGGAAATAAATTACAATGGCAGGAAGGAGGGAAGGAAATGAGAATGAGAGGAAGGAAGGAAGGAAGCAGGAGATGGGAATAAGAAGGAAGGAAGGAAATAAATAAATAAATGAGAATGGAAGAAAGGAAAGAAGGAAGCAAGCAAGAAAGGAAGGAAAGAAGGAAGGAAGGAAGGAAGGAAATAAATTACAATGGCAGGAAGGAGGGAAGGAAATGAGAATGAGAGGAAGGAAGGAAGGAAGGAAGCAGGAGATGGGAATGAGAAGGAAGGAAGGAAATGAATAAATAAATGAGAATGGAAGGAAGGAAGGAAGGAAGGAAAGAAAAGAAGGAAATAAATGACAATGGCAGGAAGGAGGGAAGGAAATGAGAATGAGAGGAAGGAAGGAAGCAGGAGATGGGAATGAGAAGGAAGGAAGGAAATGAATAAATAAATGAGAATGGAAGGAAGGAAGGAAGGAAGGAAGGAAGGAAGGAAGGAAGGAAGGAAATAAATGAGAATGGCAGGAAGGAGGGAAGGGAAGGAAATGAGAATGAGAATGAGAATGGGAGGAAGGAAGGCAGGCAGGAAGGCAGACAGTGTGGGAGGGGAGGATACTGCCCTCCTGTCTAGACCCCAATTTTTTTGGTCCAACCCCACCTCCAGGCCTCCGGGATCCCCCTCTTGGCGCTCACCCGTGTATCCTGGGCGGCATTCACACTTGTAATCGTTGACTCTCTGCACGCAGTTCTGGGTGCCCCGCTGGTCACAGGGATTGGAGAGGCACTCGTTGACGTCCCCCTCGCAGCGCTCCCCAACGAAGCCTGGCAGGCAGATGCAGCTGTAGCCCCCCACCTTGTCCACGCACTTCCCTCGGTTGAAGCACTTGGGGGTCTGGGTCTGGGGGTCGGTGGCAGGGCTGCAGTCGTCGATGTTGATCTCGCAGTGTACGCCTGGGCGGGGGAGGGGAGCCAGTCAGTTCACAGGATCCTTCCCAGTCATTTATACATTGCTTCATTTCCAAGGCTTACCAGTCACCCTGTAAAACCAACTCTCGGCCTCCCTACTTTGGGAGAGCAGAGGGATGCAGCGTTTCTCCACCTCAGCAACTTCAGGGTAGGTGGGCTTCAACTTCCAGAATTCTCCTGCCAGCAGAATTCTGGGAGCTGAAGTCTTTAAGCTGGTGAAGTTGGGAAACTGAGCCTAAGTGGCGTAGGAGGCTAATGCCTCCTACTACGGCAGCATTTAACATCCAGCTGCCTGCAATTACTGCGAGTTCAATTCTCACCAGGCTCAAGGTTGACTCAGCCTTCCATCCTTTCTCAGGTGGGTAAAATGACCCGGTTTGTGGGGGCAATAAGCTGACTTTGTATAAAATATACAAAAGTATGAAGGCTATTGCTTAACGCATTGTAAGCCACCCTGAGTCTCCGGAGAAGGGCGGCATATAAAAATAAATTAAAAAAAAAAAACAACACTGGTCGATTATTCACATCCCAAAGGTGATTTGTTTTCAACTGGCAAATGGACTTTCTGGTTTTCCTTTGAAGACATTTTGCTTCTCATCCAAGAAGCTTCTAAAAGGAGCCTTGGTGGCGCAGCAGACTAAAGCACTGTTAAGTAACACCAGCTGCCTGCAATTACTGCCAGTTCAAATCTCACCAGGCTCAAGGTTGACTCAGCCTTCCATCCTTCCGAGGTAGGTAAAATGAGGATTGTGGGGGCAATAAGCTGACTTTGTATAAAAAAGAACACCGCTTGGGGGGTGCCCGAAAGCCCTACTAAGCAGGTCTATACAAAAGTATGAAGGCTATTGCTTAACGCATTATAAGCCACCCCGAGTCTCTGGAAAAGGGCGGCATATAAATCGAACCAATAAATAAATAAATAAATAAATAAATAAATAAATAAATAAATAAATAAATAAATAAATAAATAAATAAATAAATAATAACTGGGCTTTCTGGTTTTTCTTTGAAGACGTTTCGCTTCTCATCCAAGAAGCTTCTAAAAGGATGCAGAGGACCAGCTGTCCGCAAGGAGTATAAATCCTTCCATTCCTCACTATCCTGTCAGAGCTGAAAAAGCTTCTTGGATGAGAAGCGAAACGCCTTCAAGGAAAAAACTGAAAGTCCAGTTGCCTCTTGAAAAAGCACCTTTGGGACAACCAGGACCTGGAGGACTGAGAATCTCTAGAGACACTGATTATCCATGCTTGAGCGCAAGCTGGCCTAATGATTTTTCCATGTCTTTTTCAGTGGCAATAGAGAAGCGGATTGCCATTGCCTTCTTCCAGGATGCTTTTATAATGCCTACAATCCCGGGATCTCCGGGTAGTCTCCCATCCAACTACCAGTTCGGTCCAACCCAGCTTATCTTTGTATATTAAACTAAAATCAGCTGCTCTCTTATATTATTCCGTCCTACTCTGGGCTACAATCTCATCAAATTTGTTTCCTCCACAGCCTTTGTGGATTATTGGTGTCAAGGCAATTAGCCCCGTCACCTTCCTGGGGTAATTGCTTGGATCGTGGCACTTTCCTTGTGTATACTCTTGAAAAATAAAACCGGAATACATCTTCTAATTAAACTCATATTTATTGTAAAGAAGAAAATAAAACATCTTACTAATCTAAATAATTAAACTGTTACATTTTGGTAAAGTTCCTTCCGGCTACCTCTCTGCAGCCAGACTTCTCTTGGCAAGAGAACAAAGAAAAGTGTGAAGTAGAAAGAAAAGAATGTGGATATACGTAGTTAGCTTACTGATAACAAAATTGGCAAGCTACGGAAAGTCTGACAGTCCAGAAATAATGAGCTCAGCCGGTAAATACAAAAACGCAGTGACAATTGGAACCCCAATGGAGGAAACCAAATTAATTTACAGGATCATGGGGGTGGAAGGGACCTTGAAGATCTCCTAGTCCAACCCCCTCATGCCGTATCTTGGACAACAAATAAGTTATCCAATTTTGAAAAGGTGCTTGACCAACTCTCACCACCAGAGGGAGACAGACTTCACCTCTCCCAAATCAGGGACACAGACCAAAACTCCAAGATGCAGCCCCCTCCCCTCCCTCTTAGCCCTCCCCTCCCTTCCCAATCTGCAAAAAGCCGAACCAGAGACAGGATCCAAACCGAGCTGCTTTCCACAGGGGCAGAGTCAAAAAAAGTCAAAGATGGTGAAGACAAACCAAAAGTGGCCAAGAAGCTTGACTGTTTTGACTGATTCCTGCAGGAACCTATCTGTAGCTGAGCAAGGAGTCCTTGCTCAGCTCTTGAGGCTCCTGAGCAGGAGTCAGCAACCCGTGGCTCTGGAGCCGCATGTGGCTCTTTCAGCCCTCTGCTGTGGCTCCGTCGCTCAAAATATGTGTCACAACCACCAATGTGCGACACCTGCCGGCATGTGATTTATTGAGCTTTTCAACCCCCGGTAGGCCAGCCATGGATAAATCCAAGAAAAGAAAACTTTCAGAAGAAAACAGAACGTTTAATTCAACTACATCTGCTAGTTTTGTGGCCGCTCAGGAAATAGTCAGACACAGGAAGGGTTTTGTGGCTCCCGGTGTTTTCTTTTCTGTGGGAAATGGGTCCAAAGGGCTCTGTGAGTGTTTCAGGTTGCCGACCCCTGATCTAGATCTCTGTGTGGTGGCCCATCCCCTCTCCCTGGAGCCTCCTACCTTGAGTTCCACGGGGACAAGAGCATTTGTAGGTGTTGAGCAGATCAATGCAAGTGCCGCCATTTTGGCAGGGATGGGAAAGACATTCCTTGATCTCCTCCGAGCAGTTCCTGCCGTGGTAGCCAGCCACGCACTGCAAAGGAAGAAGCAGACACATTTTCTCTCTTACTGGAGAAATATAATAAAAGAAATACATATTTAACATCAGCGAGAACTGTATATGCACAAAATTGGAAAAATGAAAATATACCCTCACAAAAGGAAAATGTAATCAAGAAAATATTAGAATGTGCTGAAATGGATAATTAACACTGAAAATTAAGGATAAGGAGGAAACAGAATACTTTTTAACTTGGGAATTATTCTATCAACGGATAGAAAATAGAAGCAGAAGTTAGAAATTTAGAATGAGGAGGATATGTAAATAAAGATGAAGTAAATGTATAATTAAATAATGAATATTGAATAATGAGGATAAGTAAACATGATTAATAGAGGACAATGGCTACAAATTTGACGTTTATATGATGTTTATAATGTTTGATATTATTAACTAACTATAGACAAAACTGAACAGAGTGTTTAATTAAATAATGGGAAAATGTTCAATAAGGATGTGAAGATCATGGTGAATAGACTTTGAGAATAATAGTTATGGTTATTGTATGTATAAGATTTATTTAAAGGTAAAGGTTCTCCTCGCACATATGTGCTAGTCGTTCCCGACTCTAGGGGGCGGTGCTCATCTCCGTTTCAAAGCCAAAGAGCCAGCGCTGTCCGAAGACGTCTCTGTGGCCATGTGGCTGGCATGACTCAACGCCAAAGGCGCACGGAATGCTGTTCCCTTCTCACCAAAGGCGGTCCCTATTTTTCTACTTGCATTTATTACTTGTATTTAAAAGAGATTGTATCCATATTGTGGATATGGAAATTTTATATATAACAAAGAAAATTGCATAATAAAAAATAATAATTAAAAAAAAGGAAGAAGCAAGACACCTCTGAGCGAGCAGCAAAGCCGGGTTCTCCTGCCACAGGCAGGGCTGGGGCATCTGCCTCCGAACATTACCTGGGAAACGGAGGAAGGGCCTGCCTTCCTGAAAACGGCCCCCAATGCCCGGCAGCCCTGGAAATCCACTATCCCGCATCCTTCCTGAGCGGGAAGCCTACCTCGCAGGAATAGCCGCCCAGATAGTCCGTGCAGGTCGCCCCGTTCTGGCAAGGGTTCGGGGAGCACTCGTCCACTTGCTCTTCACAGTAGCTGCCCGTGTAGCCAGGCTGGCAATGGCAGAAGTGGGTGTTGCCCCTGTCGACGCAGAGGCCGGAGTTTCTGCACAGGCGCGACACGTCCAGTCCTGCAAGAGGGAGGCCATCAGACACATGTGGCAGGCCGGGACAGGGCAGGTAGGAAGGGGTAATCGGAGCAAAACAATCTGGCCACAGTGCCCGGGCCCAAGCTCGGACAAAGTCTTTCTTGTTCCTTGCACTTTTGTGGTCTCGGGCCCAGGGAACCCCACCCTCTTCAGCCCCTCACCACCAACCCTCAGACAAGACGGTTCCCATCAGGCAGCCCCCAAGGCGAGTTGTCCAGAGTTCTGGACAGAGGATCCCGGAAGGAGGTGCCTGCTGGATGGAAGTTCCCCCATCCTCCAGCGCGGAGGTCAGGAACCCGAGCAGGAAGGAGAAGGACCCACCTTGGCGTCGCGCAGCCACCTCGCAAGAGACGTTGGGTACGTCGCAGTACAGGCCAGTCCAGCCGCTCGGGCACTCGCAGCGGTAGTGATTACTGATCTGCCAGCACTTCCCTCCATTCTTACAGGGAGACGAGTCGCACCAGTTGACCAGGCTCTAACAGAGAAGGGGGGAAGAGGACGGTGCACGGGGTGAGGGGACAGAAGAGCTGCCCCCCACAGGTGCTGGGGCTGCCGCAGGCTAACTGGAAGCGGAGCGACAGAGAGAGCAACCCCAATGAGCGACGGTCCCCGAGAGACGCTGCCAGTGACGGGAAGTGGGAGCTATCCTGTTTTATTTGGTTTCCTAGTGCGATTTATGTTCATTCTAAGTGTTGTATCTTATGATTTATGACGAATGCATTTTTATGATGACTATGATCGTGATTTACCACTTATAGCTTTTATGTACACTGAGAGCTTATGCACCAAAGACAAATTCCTTGTGTGTCCAATCACACTAAGCCAATAAAGAATTATATTTCTATTTCTATTCCTACCATTGCCTTAATGATCTTTGCAGGTCTGTACAGCAAAGGAAAGCTGAACTGAGACCGGCTAGCAACCACTTCACTTAATTACCACATTGCCCATGGCAATTGGGGCCACCAAATGAGAACTGCCTGTCCTCCCCTCCTTGAAAATCCAAAGCAAATATTCCACCTGGAGCAGGAAGTGGAATTGAGGGTTACCTGGCAATTGAGTCCAGTGTACCCCTGCGGGCAGGTGCATTTGTAAGTCCCGTAGCTGTCCTGGCAAGTCGCCCCATTCAAGCAGGGTCTGGAGTCGCACTCGTTGATGTCGTGCTCGCAATAAATGCCAGTGAAGCCGGGCGGGCAGACACACGTGAAGGTGTTGATGCCGTCCACACAGGTCGCCCCATTGAAGCAGGAGCTGAGTGACCAGGAGGAAGAGAGTGTCAGAGTGCGAACAGCTTTGCTACGCGAGACAACCCAGGAGCAATAACAGCAAACAGAGGTTCGTAATAAATAGTGGCTTTATCTACAAAAGAATATATACTATACATACACGTACTATAGGCAGAAGTCAAACAAACAGCAAATTACAACAGAGAAGAACACACAGCTAGAGAGAGAGAGAGAGAGAGAGACGTCCTAACAGGGCCTCTTCTTATTATACAGGCTCTTAAAAGGATAACAGCCAAAAACCTTGCTGACTCATTCTCATCATTACATCAGTGCATCATTGTAGAAGCTGGTCAGCTCTTAAATCACTACTCTGACAGAGAGAGAGGGAGGGAGAGAGAGTGTCACCCACCCCTGGCTTCAGAGATGCTGGGCCTTACATGAAACGCAAGGACCAGATCAGAAGGGATCTGCTTTGATCCACCTGGCATGTCCCAGATCAGTGTTTCTCAGCCTTGACAACTTGAAGATGGGTGGACTTCAACTCCCAGGATTCATGGCTGGCTGGGAATTTCTGGAAGTCTGCCCACCTTTAAATTGTCACGATTGAAAAGGCCCATCCTAGATGAACTTACCTCTCCGTGCAGTCTGGAGTGTTGTGCTCACAGTGGATCCCACTGAAGCCCGACGGGCACGTACAGGTGTAGCTGTTCACACAGTCTGTGCAGTTGGCCCCGTTCTTGCAGGGATCGCTGGCACACTCGTCCACATCTTCCTGGCATTCGGGGCCCTGGAAGCCCGCCAGGCAGTTGCAGGAGAAGCCGTTGATGCTGTCAGAACAGGAGCCCCCGTTGTGGCAGGGATCTGTGGGGGGTGGGGGGAGAAAAGCCGACTGGCATCACATTCATAGCACCAGGAGGAGGGAAGAGGGCCTGTGGGGCGCTCTCACAAGGAGTGCAGTGATATCCCTGTCCATGCCCTCTTCAATAACTCCACCCTCCAAGCCCCCAGAAAGTGAACCCCATGCTTCTGGGTCCCTGCTTCTAGCGTGCCTGGAATTTGCCTTCCAGGAATTTAAATCCATGGCGCTGGGTTTCTGGAATAAGAAGCCAAGGGGTGCCCCCACTCCACCCCATTTACAAAGGCAGACAGCCCCTTTTTTTTCCTCCAATGTACCCCAAATCAACTTTCCCCAACAGCAGAGACGTGCCCAGATGATAAGGGGAGGGGGCAGTGGGGGGAGGGGCGGAAGGCAGTTTTTCTCCATTGGAAGAGCAGTTTTAAAGGGCACCAGTTCGGCTGCCCAGCTGCCCCCACCCTCCCAGCTCAGTTGGGACAGGCCCTAACCGGGAATTTCTTCCCCATCGGGATTCTTACTGGGTTGACAGTCATCGATGTCCGTTTCACAGCTGCCCCCTGTGAAACCAGGTTTGCACACGCAGCGGTAGCTCCCGTTGGTGTTTTGGCACGCGGCGCCGTTCCGACAGGGGCTCTTGACGCACTCGTTGATGTCAATCTCACAAGTTTGGCCTGAGAAGTGAAGGGAGAGAGAGATAAGACTGTGGAAAATGGCCACTCATCATTAGTCTGCTGTGCCTGAGTGGCGCAGCAGACTAGTGCTACTGTTAAAGGTAGTATTTAACATCCAGCTGCCTGCAATTACTGCAAGTTCGAATCTCTCCAAGGCTCAAGGTCGACTCAGCCTTCCATCCTTTCTAAGGTAGGTAAAATGAGGACCCAGTTTGTGGGGGCAATAAGCTGACTTTGTATAAATATACAAAAGGATGAAGGCTATTGCTTAACGCAACGTAAGCCGCCCTGAGTCTCCGGAGAAGGGCAGCATATAAATCAAAAAATAAAAATAAAAATAAAAAATAAAAATAAAACCACTCAGTGACTGCTCTTCCCTGAAGGGCAGTGATGTTCCTTCTTGGTCAACGGTGCCCTTTGTTTCCTAAGAGCAGGGGTCTCCAACCTTGGCAACTTTAAGACTTGTGGACTTCAACTCCCAGAGTCTTAAAGATGCCAAGGTTGGAGACCCCTGCTTTAGAATACCTGGAGGTCTCTCCTTACCCTGATTTACGCCCAATGTGGATTAGAGCAAAATAAAAATTCCATAAAACGGCACTGAACTGATTAATATAAAGCAGGAAACGAATTAATATACAGCAATAAACCCACACTAAGTACCAAGACGACAGGAAGAAAGCAAAGTGAAAAATAATTCATTTAAGGCCCGCATGAACTTAAATGGTGGAGTTTACAGCCGTAAGAGACAGAGAGAGTCACCTCCTGAGATAGGATGCTGGAGCAGAGGTAGCCACGGTTCCTAGTTTGACCCTGAAACGCTAAAGTGGAAGAAGAGACGATCTTCTCCAGAGCTGAAAACTTCTGCCTGCTTACTATGGGACCATAATCCAGCAGGGCTCTTCTGAGGTTTTTTTAATTAATTAGCCAGCTAATTAAGACCAATTTGGATTGAGAAACCATTAATTAAGCATCAGCTAATGATTTAGACTTGCCGTCTCAATGTATGTGCAGCTCATATTAAAAAAATGGAATTAGTGCAGCAGAGGGAAGGATCAAAATTCGGGGTTGGGAGACCCAAAGGCTGACTGGGAGGATTCAGCTGGAAAGGGAATGTTAGGGCTAGATTGGAGATGTCTATGTTTACAATTATTTAACCCCGTTAATTAGCTCAAATGCAGAAGGCTTCCAGTTGGGTAGACAGTGTAGTAGCTACTCGCTGGGAATTCTGGGAGATGAAACCTGCCTGCCTGCAGACATCCAGAGCAGGGATATACAATTTGAAGGGCTCCCCTGGAACAAAGCCTAAATATGATCTATTAAAAAAAAATACTTTGTTCTTTATAGCAGTGTTCTCAACTTTAACAATTTTAAAATGTCTGGATTAACTCCCAGAATCCCCCAGCCAGCCATGGGGAATTCTGCAAATGATAGTCTGGGTATCTTTGAAACGCTGCTTTATAGGTTTGTAGAATGCAGTACTGCAGGCTCCTTCTGCTGATTGCTGGGTGCCTGCAATTTGGCAGTTCGAATCTCACCAGGCTCAAGGTTGACTCAGCCTTCTGTCCTTCCGAGGTGGGTCAAATGAGGACCCAGATTGTTGGGGGCAAGAGGCTGACTCTGTAAACTGCTTAGAGAGGGCTGTGAAGTGGTATATACTGAAAATCTGTACTATTGCTAGGTGGGAAGGGGAGGGAGGGAGGGAGGGAGGGAGGGAGGGAGGGAGGAAGGAAGGAAGGAAGGAAGGAAGGAAGGAAGGAAGGAAGGAAGGTTGTACCCACCAAGACGCAGTCAGGCTGCTCACCCTACAACCTCTGTGGGATGTTACTCCCTTTCTCCCTAGATCATCTTTCGGAAGTCTGCGCTTGGCTGCCTAAACGGTTACACCTCGGAAACCCCAAAGGGGGGGGGGGGTGCAAAGCCACGAGGCCCCCTCGTACCTTGCCACCCTGGAAGGCAGGCGCACAAGAAACTCTCGTAGTCCTCCGACTCTCTGCATTGGCCCCCATTCTTGCAGGGACCATCTGCGCAGGGCGCCAGCACTTCCCGGCAGGTGGGACCTACGGTTGGAAAAGAAAATTTGGGTTGGCTGCAGTCCGTGGTCCTCCTGACGTGGACCAGAGGCTGTTTCCTTTCAATCCCAAAATGCCCTTGGCTGGATCTGGGGTTCAAGCGTGCACGGCTGAGAGGTCAGGGCTGCCTGATATTCCTACAGGTTGCACGGTGGACTCTGGCCATGAGTAGCTCGGAGCTGCCCCCCTCATCCCTTCTGGACCTCCTCCAAGAGATTTTCTCCTTGGGGAAGGAATTCATCCACACGGTGGACATTTTGAGGAATGGCAGTTGTCCAAACAGCACTCTCCAAAAGTCACCTGTGAGTGACCCTCACCTGGACCAGAAGGGAGGGAAAAAGCCCCCTGGCCCAGCCTTCCTTTCCTGTTTACTGACGCCTAACAGGGCCTTCTTTCTGTTTTCCAGAACCTTCTCTGGGCACACAAACACACGCAAGCATCCCGCCCCCAAAATCTCCTGGGTTGTTTCTCCAGCAACCAGCAAAAGCAGGAAAAGTCCAGGACTTCCTCCAATTGTCCAGAGGTTGCCATTTTGCGCAGCAGGAGGAAGCAGGAAACGGCCGGAGGGGCCGAAAGAGAGCGGCCCTCCTGCGCTCGTGATGATGCAAGGGGCCTCTTTCCAAAAGGGGAGGCCAAGGGGCGAAGTTTGCAAAAACAGAAAAAGGGGACCCCTTGCACGAAAGGGGCCACTCAGGGGCAGGAGATAAATAACAGAATAATTGGAAGGGACCTTATGGGGTCATCTAGTCCAACCCCCAACCTCCGTCCAGATGTTTGCAAGAGGGAAAATCTGAGGTGGGGCGACCGAGAAGGGTGTGGATGAAAACCTAGGGAAAGAAGCAAATCCCATCCCGTCACTTTCCATCCTCACTTTCGGAGGCTCCTCTTGAACTTTTCCGATCGCGCCTCCTTATCGGGGAAGAAGGGAGGGTGGGGATCAGATATTGGGGGTCCTCGACTTACGACCACAATCGAACCCAAAATTTCTCCCCCTATGCAATATATTTGTTAAGTGAGTTCTGTCCCATTGTACGACCTTCCTTGCCAGCGTTGTTAAGCGAATCCCTGCAATTGTTAAGTTAATAACACGGTTGTTCAGCAAATCTGGCCTCCCCCCACATTGATTTTGCTTTTCAGAAGGTTGCAAAAGGGGACCGTGTGACCCCGGAATACTATGACCGTCATAAATATGAGTCAGCTGCCAAGCATTTTGGATTTCGATCACGTGACCCTGCGGATGCTGCAACGGTCATAAGTGTGAAAAATGGTCATAAATCAGGGGTCCCCAACACCAGGACCAGAGTGGGCCAGCACACACACACACACACATGCGTGCAGAGCTCAACTCTGGCTGTTCACCGCCCTGAGTCCTTCGGGAGAAGGGCGGTATACAAATATAATAAAAACTAAAACTAAACTTGTGCAAGTTGAGTTGCATGCCAGCCGGCCTTTTGCATGAATTGAGCTGTGCACGCACACACATGTGTGCCGCCTCAATGCTCATGCGGCCCAGTTCCCTTCTCTCCCCCACCCCAGGCCGCCAAACCGCAAAGTCTAGGGACCGCTGACGTAAGTCCCTGTTTTCAGTGCTGTTATAACTTTAAACAGTCACTAACAACCTGTGGTAAGTCAAGGGCTACCTGTACTTGGGAAAGGCAATTCAGCAGCTGCCCTGAACGTTTTAGGGCTCCTCAGGGAAGTGGATGAATCCCCCTCCGCTTCTCTTCCGCCAGAGACCCCTCAGCTGCAGTGGGCTGCTTTGGGTCAACGAGGGACGATGTTTGGTGGCCAGAAGCTCCATGGTTGGAAGGAGAGACCGAGCAGGGACGGTGAGGAAGCCAGCTGGCATGAAGGCCGGGGTGGGATTCAAAAATTTTAGCAACTGCTCAGTTGCTGGGTGGGCATGGCCTACTCGGCCTCTGGCACCATGGCAGGAGAGGGCGTTTTCATCCTCCCCAAGCTTTCTGTGAGCCTCCAGGAGGGCGAAAACGGCCTTCCCCCAGACTCCCAAGGCCCTCTGGAGCCCGGAAACTTCCGGGAGGCCCATTTTTTGCCCTCCCAGAGCCTCCACGTGAGCTTACCTGGCATCCAAAACGGGCCACGTGGCGACTCCTGGGAGGGGTGGGGTGGGCGGGGCCAGCCAGTCCTTGCAACTACCGGTTCAGCGAACCAGATGTAAAATTCAGTCCAAACCGGCTGAATTCCCCCCCCCCCCTGCATGGAGGTCAATTCCCTTCACGGCACAGAAACGTCAGAGAAAGCAGAAGTGCCTGAGGTTTGTTCTTCTGCTCCCACCCCAAGCCATTCTGGGACACCCTCCTGGCCACAATTTTTCTCTGACCGAAGGCCCCCATCCAAGAGTTGGTCCTCTCACCTGTATAGGGTGGAAGGCAGTTGCACTGGTAGCGAGCAACGTCATCAATGCAGGTTCCCTGGTTCAGGCAAGGGTTGGAGGCACATTCGTTGATGTTGATCTGGCAGTTGGTTCCTGGGGGAAAGAAGGAGATCTGGAGGGTCCCACCTATATCTGGGGGGGCCCAAAAGCCACCAAGGCATCCTTTCCCAACCTGGAACAGCAGCAGGCTAGCCCCATGTCGGAAAGGGGCTTTTTCAGGAGGCAACTGGACTTTCTTGTTTTTTTCTAAGACATTTCACTTCTCATCCAAGAAGCTTCTTCAGTTCTGACGGGATAGTGGGGAATGGAGCCCCTGTCAGAGCTGAAGAAGCTTCTTGGATGAGAAGCAAAACGTCTTCAAAAGAAAAAAACAAGAAAGTCCAGTTGCCTCCTGAAAAAGCACCTTTGGGTCAAACATGACCTGGATGACCGAGAATCTCTACAGACTTTTAGGCTAGACAGATGTTTCTCAACCTCTGTGACTTTAAGGACTTCTACTCCCAAAATTCCCCAACCAATTTGAGAGATGAATTCCACAGGTCTTAAATTTATCAAGGTTGACCTTCTGATCGTTTCCTCAAAAAGCTGGAGAGGTCAGATTGAGGTCAACTTCTCTGGTGGCCTACCTTCCCAAATTGTCTACCCAAGCCAACCCTTTCTTGGACAGATATCTAACTAAGCCCTTCCACTTTAGTCAAGGGTTTATATAGTATTTATTTATATCTCAATCTTTTATGTATTGATTAGCCCTTGGGCCATATCAAAGTGCAGAGTTCCAGAAACAAATTATTGCTAAAATTTGATAAAAGCAATTTAAAATGGAATTGGAATAAAATACAATTTAAAATGAAATTGGAATAAAATATGATTTAAAATGAAATTGGAATAAAATATGATTTAAATAAAATCATAAATATGATTTAAAATGAAATTATAAATAAAATGAAATAGGGACAGAATACAATAATTTAAGATATAGAGAGAATATGATAAAATTATATTTAGGTGTGTCACCCCTGCAATCTACCCCAATCAGTCCCACATATGCAGATCTCAACTGAATCATTTTGCTTAATTACTGTGTATGTTATTTTATTTATTTATTTAACATTAATTACTGTCATGTTATTTTCAGATTCTGGCTGCACAGAAGGTGCCAAGTTGTTCTGATATGGGGATCCCAATGGGTCCTTCGTTTGGTATAAAGACCGAGGTGCCACTTTAGTCAAGGGTTTATAATATATTTATAGCAGTTTGGCTTCCTTTTCTAAGCTGAAGATCCATGTGTAAAAGAAAAGGAATTTGCCATGACTTTCAGAGGGGTGAAACTGTGGGCGAAGTCCAGGCTCTTACCACTGAATCCCTCCTGGCAGGTGCAAATGTAGCTGCTCGTCATATCCTTGCAGGTTCCACCATTCATACAAGGGCTCGACTCACATTCGTTGTTGTTGATGTCACAGTTCGTCCCACTCCAGCCCGCGTCACAATCGCACTTGTAGCTGTGATTCCAGGAGAGAGAAATTACAAAGCATAAAGTGATTGGGATTTGGCTGGTTTTCTTTTTAAAAATAGTCCTCATTTTTTTGATGCCACTCAAACACCTCTTACAGTGCAGTGAACAAACCACCTTAAAAATAACAACATCTGTAGGATGGTGACTAGTGCCAGGAAAAAAACCCCCACTGTGTTATCTCCTGCAGCCAAATTAGACTTAGTGAATCTAAAATAGGTTCTGGAAGAATAAAAATAGGTCTTGAAAGGGCCAATCCATAACATTATTGGCGCCCTCTAGAGATGGGCATAGAAGTGGGATTCAGCCGGTTCTCACAGGTTCAAGCGAACCGATAGTGGCGATCGTGGGTGGGCCTGCCCCCCCCCCAAGTTGTGCTATTTAGGCCCAGTGCATGCACGGAAGGCACACGAGTGAGCATCCCATCCCATTCTATTCTAATTTATTATTCTATTCTATTCTATTCTATTCTATTCTATTCTATTCTATTCTATTCTATTCTATTCTATTCTATTCTATTCTATTCTATCCTATCCTATCCTATCCTATCCTATCCTATCCTATCCTATCCTTATGTTCTTATTTTATTCTACAGAAGATCTTTTGGGTTTCCCAACCTTGGGGATTTTAAGACACACGGACTTCAACTCCCAAATCTGAATTCACTTTAACTGACGTCCACGTGCCGAGGTTCGGCAATCCTGCCCCAGAGGCACCCCAAAGGCTGCTAATGATATTGAGCAGAAGCTGGTTCGCCCCTCCACCCAACCCTAGAAGGTTTGAAAGCTGCTTCAATCAGGAGCAAATCTTTTGATCAAAGCTCAGCGTTGCACAGAACGGTTGACTGATGGTGCTTCTCTAGCGTATGTCTCCTCCGGGGGCTTCACAGGCCTGGAGAGAGAGGCTGGAGGCAGAATTTGGGACTTTCTGCATGCCCAGCAAATCAGGATCTTGGCCACCCGCATCCCGCAGCCTGTCCTCCTCAAAACTCTGCCTTTTCTTCCCAGCAAGATTCAGCTCTGAGATTCAAAGAACAACACAATATGGGTGTGTTCCATGCCTTTATTTCTTTATTCTTTTAAAGTGAGTAATTTTGCATTTTTATAGCGAGCACTTGTACATTTTTAGAGGGAGTGCATTCTATAAAAGTGGACACGAATTGAGTTCAGTCATACTTTTGCTCCCAAGGCTTCGTCTCACTTTTCCAATTCTACCTGCACAACCATCCTGTGAGGTAGGTTGAGCTAAGAGACCATGATGGGGGTGAGCTTCTGTGTTTGAGCATCCGAAGGCCTGAAACTGCCTTTCCTTGCCTCTGATCAAAGCATCCCAATCCATCCTTGGTCTCCCCCAGGGCGGCTTGTGGCTCAGAGTCAAAAACGCTGCTCCCAGCAGCCCTTTGGCTCCCCACCCTGACTGTCAATTAAAAATTTTAACACATGAGAATCTGCTCCGTAGCTATCCCCTCCCACCTTGTCTGATTTCCTGAAAGGCTTCTGGGCCCAGCAGCCTCCTTAGAAAAGACAAATTTAAATTTATCGACAAAGATATAAAGGGAGACTAGTATAGATCTATTTCAAGCTGTTTAGCTCTCCTCAGCTAGTCAATACCCTTCTGGGATTCGAACCCGGGCCGCTTGCATATTAGTTAGATGTATTAACCTCTAGGCCACAGGCTCTCCTTGCTTGTCGGCTATACCAGGGGTGAGGTTGCCCTGATAGACCAGTCTCACCGGAAAAACCCTTAGAAAGGACAAAGAGAGATGCCACCCAGTAATTCCCACCAAAGCCTCCACCACAAACTGTCTTGTTTCCCAGAGTGCCCCTCCTGCCTGGCACAGCCTTGCCCGCCGCTCACCCATTCAGCCCATCGTGGCATCTCCCGTGGACGCAAGGGTTGCTGCTGCACTCGTTCACTTCCGAGAGGCACATGGAGTCATGGAAACCTTCCGGGCAGACACACGTGAATCCGTTGATGCCATCTTTGCAGGTGCCCCCATTGTGGCAAGGGTTGCTTTCACACTCATCCACGTTGATGCTGCACATCCTCCCTGCAGAGAGGCAAGGAAGCAGTGAGGACCCTGACTCAGGGGCCACGAAGCCCACAGGGGGAGCCTCCCCCTCCCCCCTCCCGTGTTTGCGGCTCTCCCTCCCATTCTCCCTCACCTGTGTATCCTGGCTCACAGGCGCATTCGTAGCCGTTGATCTTGTCCACGCATTTGCCATAATCACAAGGGTTGCTGGCACATTCGTCCAGGTTGATCTCACAATTGGGCCCTTCGGAAAAGAATAGAGCGTGGATGAGATATGATGAGAATAACTATTTTCAATGTTACTATTGTACTATCATTAGAAGATATTAAGAAGAAAATGAAAAGTTTTATAATGTTCAACTTCAATGTTCAAAAGTTTTATAATGTTAAAAGAGCCGAGGTGGCGCAATGGTTAGAGTGCTGTACTGCAGCTACTTCAGCTGACTGCTAGTTCAGCAGATCAGCAGATCAAATCTCACCGGCTCAAGGTTGACTCAGCCTTCCATCCTTCCGAGGTGGGTAAAATGAGGACCCAGATTGTTGGGGGCAATATACTGTCTTTGGTGTAAGCCGACCAGAGTCCCCGGAGAGTGGGCAGCATAGAAATATAATTAATAAAAATAAAAATAATAAAACTGTTTAATGTATTGTAATTTTAAATTTAAAGGTAAAGGTAAAGCTTCCCCTCGCACATACGTGCTAGTCGTTCCTGACTCTAGGGGGCGGTGCTCATCTCCGTTTCAAAGCCGAAGAGCCAGCACTGTCCGAAGAGGTCTCCGTGGTCATGTGGCCGGCATGACTCAACGACAAAGGCGCACGGAATGCTGTTCCTTTCCCACCAAAGGTGGCCCTATTTTTTCTACTTGCACTTTTGACATGCTTTCGAACTGCTAGGTTGGCAGAAGCTGGGACAAGTAACGGGAGCTCACCCCGTTACGCGGCACTCGGGATTCGAACCACTGAACTGCCGGCCTTTCAATCGACAAGCTCAGCGTCTTAGCCACTGAGCCACCACGCTCCTTAAATTTTAAGTTTAGAGGAGCAATATTAATGTGAATGTGAATGATGTTGCAAATGTTGAAGGATGTGGCACAGAGATAGTTGTACCCAGACTACGCATTGCTTAAGGAAAGATGGAATGTATGTATTTTAAAAATTGAAAAATAAAAGAACTTAAAGAAAGAAAAAGAACAGAGCGGTTAGGAAAACGGTGCGGAGGTGAAGCCAAAGGCATTTGTGAGGCTTCCTGGGGGCTCCGATCTCAGTGTCACCCCCGAAACCATAACACCCCGTTTCTTCCCAGAGACTGATGTTCTGTTGCCCAGGGAGTGGGGCTCTGAAAAAATCTCAGGGTTGTTTTAAGAAATTTTGTTCTGGTTGAGATCCAGGGATGGAGGTGTGCATGCTGAAACCTTTTAAAGTCGAAAGAAAACTCACTGCCACAGGATAGGCAAGGGGGAAACAAATTGGGAAGCAAGCTTTTGCTGCATGTAGCAATGGGACTTCTTTTCCTGCTGCTCCTGATGACCAGCGGAACCATCATCCACAAGATGTTGCAGAATTAAAATATTACACAATGACCGGCAATTGGGAGAAGCCCCAGAATTTGCCTTGCCAGGTGAAGGTTTATTTGGGGTGCTCCCCAGAGTCCTGCCAGTGATAAAGGGAACCACTTCTTTGCAAAACTGGGTTCAATTCTGGAGGCCGATACATGAAAGTTACATCAGCAAAGGAATTCACAGAAAGGCTGTTAGAAGGGAAACCAGGAAGTCTCTGCTCTGGGGCTGAAACTCATTACTCCCTTCTTCCCACTCATCTCAATAAATCTGGTTAAAGGGAACTTTAGAAAGAACCCTGCTTGCAAAACAGTTGTTCCTGCTTTAGCTAGCTGCTAAAGTGCCAGATAGGTTTGTAGAGCTTCTCAGTCAGCCAGGTCCTGGTTGCCCCAAAGGTGCTTTTTTCAGGAGGCAACTGGACTTCCTTGTTTTTTCTTTTGAAGACGTTTCGCTTCTCATCCAAGAAGCCTCTTCAGCTCTGACAAGATAGTGGGGAATGGAAGGATTTATACTCCTTGCAGACAGCTGGTCATTTGCATCCTTTTAGAGGGTGGTTGAAGCACTTGGAGGTTTATCTGTGTCCTCAGGGTCTCCTGAGTGGTGCAAATGGTTCAATTTTTCCCCCTGGAAATCCATTCCTACTCCCACACCATTCCAAGGGTGTTGATCCCAAACTGTATAGCTAAAAGTCTGAAGAGATTCTCAGTCATCCAGGTCACAGTTGTCTCAAAAGTGCTTTTTGCCTGAAGTCAGCTTGCCTTAAGTGCTTTCCAAGCAGAAAGAGGAGGCTGGCAATTTTATCCCCAATATACAGGTAGTCCTTGCTTTACGACCCTAAGGGAGTCTGCCAATTACAGTTGTAAGTTGTGAACCAAGTCATCATGTGACCAACCTGATTTTAGGGAGATCATTAAGGGAGATCATTAAGGGAACATGGCAATCAGTAAGCAAACACGAAAAATTTCTCCTTATTTCCAGGTTGAATCTCTCCTTGTTCAGTTTCCATCCATTGTTCCTTGTCTGGCCTTCACGTGGTTTGGAGAATAGCTTGACCTCCTCCTCTCTGTGGCAGCCCCTCAAGTATTGGAAGATGCTATCCTGTCTCCCCTGGTCCTTCTCTTCACTAGACTAGCCAGGCCCAGTTCCTGCAACCGTTCATTGTAAGTTTGAGCCTCCAGTCCCCTAATCACCTTGGTTGCTCTTCTCTGCACTTTTTTTAAGAGTCTCAACATCTGTTTTATAGTGCGGTGACCAAAACTGGATGCAGGATTCTAGGTGTCTCCAAAAAGAAAAAAGTTTCAAAGCAACCGGTTGTAAATCAAGGACTACCAGAGGCCGGAACATCTCCAGGGCTTCTTTCCTTAACCTGAAATATATGGGGCACCCCAGATCGTTTACCAAGACGCCTCTGCTCCATCCTTTTGTGGGAAGGCCGGAAGGAAGACCCCACCCTTTTCTTACCTGTAGTGCCTCGGAGACAGAAGCAGGTGTAGGCGTTGTTCCTGTCCTGGCAGGTGCCTCCATTCTTACAGGGTTGGCTTTGGCACTCGTTGATGTTGGTGTCACAGAGGCGCCCGGTGTACCCAGGCTGGCAGAGGCAGCTATAGGTGGCAATGCGATCCCGGCACGTGCCGTAGTGGCAGGGGTCAGGGTCACATTCATTGATGTCCGTCTCGCAGTGAGTGCCCGAAAAGCCTGGGGGACAGAGAGGAGGAAAAGGGCACAAACCTTCAAAAGAGTTGCAACATGGCACCACAAAGCAGCCGTCACCTCTCTTCCAGGTGGCAGCCAAGACAGAAACCGGGGCATCCTTCGTCCCTCGACCAGGTGCTGGGAAGAGTGGCTTATGTATTCTAGAGCTCAGCCAGCCTGCAGGTGCTTCCAAGGATGCTCCCCAACCAGATTGTCCTTAACTCTGGCTGGAAACCCAGCAGATAGAAATGAGCTTGCCTACCAAAGGCTGTCCTTTCTTACCCCACGGTTGGACTCCACCTCCCAAGGTTCCCAGCCAGAAGGATGGGAGTCCGTGAGAAAGCAAAGGAGTAGGCTGAGCGGGCAGTTGGAGAAGGGTCAAGTCCTCCTTCACTGGAGGAGAGCGAGGTGGCCTCCCATGTCATCCCCACCCCAACGTCTTGCTAGGAGCCTGCCAGACCCCTGACCTCCATCCCACGTTGGAAAGCTCAATTCTTTGCCTTCAAAAGAATATTAATCAAGGGGGAAAGCTTGTGTGCGACAGAAGAGGGAGGGGCATTCTTATTTCTGCCTCTCCGCTTCGGGACATTCAGAAAGCATGAATGGGAGTGGGGGTGGGGGAGTGGCTGGCAACGAAACCAGGGTACCCAAAGCAAGAAACGGTGGCCATGGTGGAGTGGCCAAACTCATCTGTTTCAGATAAACGGGCGCGTTTGCAACCGAGCGTTTTGCAGCTTCGGGAGGGGACGGACACCCAGAGCGAACTCCCTTCCTTCCAAGCAAACTTGCCAACTGTGGCTTCTGCTCGGGCTTTTTGGGGTGCCTTTCGGGTTCAGGGCAGGCCTGCCCCCCCTCCCCGTAGCCCCAGAGATGCTGCAGGCAGGAGACAGGCCGGGTGGCAGGGAGGCTGCCAGGCCAGGGCACAGGACCCAGCTGGGGATCCATGCTGGGGAGGGGGAGCTCCGTCCTCTGGCAAACACAAAGGCTTTTCTTCTGGCCTGGGCTCTCCTCCCTGCCTGTCTGGATCCGGCTTGGGGGGGTGGGGGGAAAGGGGGGAGCGCAGCAAATTCAAAAGAGGACAACAGCAGCTCCTTTCTCTCGCCCGCCTCCTCCCGCCAGCGGACAAAAGCAGGAGGGCGGCGGGCGGGGAGGGAGGGAGCCAAACGGGCAGACAAAGTGGGCCTTTGACTGCCCCCGCCCCTCCCGCCAGGGAAGCCCACACTGCGGCTTTTCATCGCCACTGCCGCCCAACCAAGACGCTCATTAGAGAAGAGCCACTGGCAGCCGGCCGGCCCCACAAAAGTCCCTCTGTTTGCCGAGGGGGCTCCGGGCTGGGTTTTGTCCGAGGGTGCCTCGCGTTTCCCTCACCCGGCACCCCCGGCCCTGCGCTCACCCTTTCTCCTGCCCGGAGACGAGGGGCCAGAAAAGAGGGGGACGGTGCCCAGACAGGACTCCCTGACTAGCCCAAAATGGCAGTTTGTTTTTAAGCCGGGATGGAGAAAGTCTGGACAGAGCCAGGAGGCAGGACATGCCCCCCACTCTTCCTCCTCAGTTCAGAGCTTCCCTCACAGACCCAGTGAATTGTGGTTCCCCCCCCCCTTTTTTTTTTCCTGTTCCTTTCTTCCTCGGGGCCAGGCCTGCAATGTGGAAGAATTTGGGGACACCTGGAAAAACAAAGCAGGTTGCAACAGCTTCTCCTTTAGGCCTGGTTTTCTTTCAGGGCTACCACTTAAGGATGGTAAAGGTAAAGGTTCCCCTCGCACTAGTCGTTCCTGACTCTAGGGGGCGGTGCTCATCTCCGTTTCAAAGCCGAAGAGCCAGCGCTGTCCGAAGATGTCTCCGTGGTCATGTGGCCGGCAAGACTCAACGCCAAATGCTCACAGAACGCTGTTCCCTTCCCACCAAACATGGTCCCTATTTTTTCTACTTGCATTTTTTACCTGCTTTCGAACTGCTAGGTTGGCAGAAGCTGGGACAAGCAACAGGAGCTCACCCCATTACGCGGCATTAGGGATTCAAACCATTGAACTGCCGACCTTTCGATCGAGAAGCTCAGCGTCTTAGCCACTGAACCCCTTTAAAGGATGGTACTGAACTTTAAATTGAATTCGGGACGGCCTCAGCCCCATCGGGCAGAAAATGGGAGCAGCAACACAAGACATGTTTGTAGAAGAGTTTGAGAGAACCAGACAATCTGCCTGGGGCCAAAGCAGAGAATCGCTCGGGCCGGGACAGGAGTTACGCTCATCATCATTTCGGTCAGCATGTGGCCATCATGCTGGTGCTGTTCCCGACCCACGTGGCCAGAAGCTGCCTTCTGTAAACAGCCGTTGCCCGGGGCCTACCCACGAGACAAGGGAGCCTGGGCGTGTGTGTGTGTGTGTGAGAGAGAGAGATTCCCCCAAGATTTGGCAAGCTTTAAACCCCCCCACAGGCTTCATCGGTCGCCAAACAAGACCTCCCTCTGTTTAGGGCTTTTGAAAGGAGAAATTTGGAAGCATCACAACCCTTCATCCTTCCTCTTTAGGGATATATTTGCAAAATTCTCCACAGCAACAACAGATACGCATTTCTTTCCCATATCATATCAGCAAGGAGCATCCTGCCCGTTAAACCGAGACTGAGTTAGAAAGAAAATCAAAGGGAGCAGCCGCACCCAACCCTGAGAAATGCCCCCAAGTCAGTTACCCAGACCGTAACCCCCTTTCCCCCACCTCTGCAGGAAAGCTCAGAATCGAGGTAGGAATCTGGGTTTCTTGCCGTGAGTCTGGCACTCTTCCTCTGCCCACATAGCCCCATGAGGATCACGGTTAGAAAATGTGTTTTGTGAATGAAAAGTAGCTTAAAATCCCATCATACTTTTTTTTCCAATGGTTTTTTATTAGGGAAGGGTGCTTCTCAAACTCTTCTACAAACATGTGTTGTGTTGCTGTCCCTGACAGGACTGGTTAAAAACACCAGGCCAGCTGCCACCCTACTGGGCTTCCTCTGGTCTGCCCCCACCCCCCCACCCCCAAAGCTTACCTTCTGTGCATTCACACACGTAAGCATTTGGTGCGTCCACACATTTGGCTCCGTTCTTGCAGGGCGTGCTGGCACATTCGTCAATGTCATGTTGACACAGGTGACCATTAAATCCTGGGAGAAGAAGAAACAGGAATAGCTTGATCAGGAAGTCTTGGCTCCTGCTTGTTCCCCCCCACCCCCTCCTTGGAATCACGGTGGGGAACTTTTTCAGCCCGTCACAGAGGGGCAGATTTTTCAGTGATGTCTTCCCTAAACAGACAGGGATTCAAAATGATAGACGGAAGGATTTAATGCAAGTGGTTGGGGAGGGAGGGGCAGAAGGCGTCCTCCCCCTCTTTTAAACCACGAAAGGAAAGGCATGTAACTAGACAAGCAGAAAATAACTGCGACTCGAAGGATTTCCAGGAGTCCGTTCACACAGTATCCTCTGCTTTTTCTATCAACATTTTTCTATCAGCTGACGCCCAAAATTATGTTTTAATCATGATGGACGGTTCCTGCAGATAACCTGGAAAACCCAAAAGAACCCCCTTCCCATCTTGCCCCAAAAAGAGAAATCTGAGAAGTGAAATCAAAGTCAAAGGATGGCATGGCACTGGGGCTGCCCACATTCCCACGTCCTCTTGCCTTCCCAGCAATAATTAAACTTCCACTCTGGGCTGTAATAACGGCAACCCCGTGTTTCCACCGGCCTCCTCAGCCATAATTTTGGCCTTCCCAGCCCAGGGACTTTCTTTCACGACAGGACTAAAATTGTGGCCACTGACCCAAATGAAATCCCCAGAGCACTGCAGGGCTGACAATTGCCTAATTTTTGCTAATTGCCATCCATTTTCTCAGGGAGATTGAAATCCAGATGTTTGGGATCCTAATAATACTGGGTTACCAAGATGCCCCAAAATGTGGATTCCGTTGCCAAAAGCTTTCCCAGTTACCCCTTTGCAAACAACTTCACGGTCTAAAGCAAAGTCAGAAAACAAGCATTTGCAAAATAGAATAAGAGGATAGCAGAGTTGGAAGGGACCTTGGAGGTCTTCTAGTCCAACCCCCTGCTCAGGCAGGAAACCTTGTACCATTTCAGACAAATGGCTGTCCAATCTCTTCTTAAAAACATCCAGTGTTGGAGCATTCATAACTTCTGGTGGCAGGTTGTTCCACTGATTAATTGTTCTAACTGTCAGGAAATTTCTCCTTAGTTCTAAGTTGCTTCTCTCCTGGATTAGTTTCCACCCGTTGCTTCTTGTCCTGCCCTCAGGTGCTTTGGAGAAAAGCTTGACTCCCCCACCCCCACCTCCTCTGTGGCAACCCCTTAGATATTGGAACACAAGTAAATCACTGACTTACCTGCCCATTTGAGCCTAGTTTTGCACTAATCTTTTTAATGCTCTTCTCACCCAATCGACTGTGCTACTCTCATAGCCAGACGAAAGATAAAAATGATGCTGTAATAATGACTTTTTCCTATAAACACACACACATCCTACTTGCAATGGCTGCATTTCCCTTGCAAGGGTGGGACAGGCAGCAGGCAGACAGCCCCGTATTTCAAGGTCTCTTTTCCAATTCATTGGCATTCAATCCCCAGAGGTTTTTTTTTTTAACTCCTCAGCTCGCCCCTATAGTTATTCGGCTGCCTGCGCAGCAGTGCTGAAGATTCCTGATTTACATCTCTAAAGCCTCCGCTTCAAAGCCCGTTTTATGAATTAGCTGCCCCCACCCCCCACCCCCGTCCTCTTGCTCTACCCCACAGCATCAACGTTCCCCTATCTGGCTATTCCCAAACGGAAGGGGGCTCCCTCCCAAATCCTTCCTTTTTAATTCTCTGCAGAGAAGAATTCTCTCTCTCTCTCTCTGCATCAGCTGCAATCTGTGTGGCTGCAACGGACGTGGCCCCACAAATCAAGATCTGCGTGGCCTCCTTTCCTTCATGGAGGTCACTTTCAAATCAGGGACGCCCAAGAAGGAGGGCAGCAGACCCACGTCAACCCCACGGATAACCCAGGTGCTTTCAAACACAGGCAGACACTAAAGCCAGAGGTACGTGAGAGAACCTCTAGCTAAGATTCTGTGCAGTTTGGAGAACCCCCAAACCCCACTCCTGGCTGGCCCCGTCCATCCCTCCCCTCCCAGGAGTCCCCACGCGGCCCATTTTGGATGCAGGTAAGTGCAGGGCGCGCATGGAGCCTCAGGGAGGGTGAAAAACGGGTCTCCTGAAAGTTCAGGAAGGCCGGAAATGGGCTCGTTTCCAGGCTCCAGAGGGCCTCTGGAGCCTGGGGAGGCCGTTTTTGTCCTCCTGGAGGCTCAAGAAAAACCTTCGGAGCCCAGGGAGGGCAAAAACGCCCCCTCCACTGTGGTGCAGGAGGCTGACTAGGCCTTGCCCACCATGGCCCTGCCCACCCAGCAACCGGGAAGAGAACCCCTTGCTAAAATTTTTGAAGCCCGTTCCTGCTTGTACCACTAAACCATTAACCTTGTACCACTAAACCACAGCTACCGTTTCCTAGCGCACATTAGGCATAAGCATAATTCGGAAGAAGTGGCAGGGAATCCTCAAGTTATGGCCACAATTGAGAGCCGAATTTCCATTGCTTAAGCAAGGAAGTGGTTAAGTAGGACCTTTTTGGGGGGGCAATAATTAAGTCACTGCACTTGTTAAATGAATCCCATGGCTGCAGGAGGGAGAGAGGATTTAAGAGTCTGGACAGCGCAGGGCTTATAATGTTGGCCTGGACTGAGAAGACTTAGGGGTGACTCTCCTCTTAGCCCACCCTACTTCAAGGGGATCAACCTAAAGCAGACCCTCGTTCGAATTCCAAGGAAAAGGTGGGCTCTGTGCACAGTAAATAAAATCCAGGGTTGGGATAAAGCACAATGCGCCAGGAATTCACAGAAAAACAACTTCTTTCTAACTATTCATTGGCTCTGTTCACTCACTTTGCTTTCCACCTCCATTCTGAGCCCCCCCCCAATTTAATCTGAGCTAAGGAGGCACCAAAGGGGCAAAAATCCAATGAAACCCCTTTGCCTTTTCTGGATTTTATTATAGATTTTAGTTGCTATTTATTATTTTGTACTATAATTTTTAATTGTATATTTACTGAGCATTTTTATTTGTTCTGGTCTCTGGTCTAAGACTGTAATAAATTGATTGGTTGATTTCTCTTTTCTTTCCTGTCCACAAAACACTACGGAGGGCAGCCCCATCCCAGGCTTCCTCTACACAGGACACCCAAGACCCCCAAAATGAAAATATCCCCCCCCCCCAAAAAAACAAAGAGACCACTGAAGAGGCTGTAACAATGTCCTTGCAATTCTTTGTGTGTGCAGGTGTCTGTCCACCCCGCAAAGAGAGACACTTTCCACCTGCTGAGCTTCTGAGAAGTGCGTTAAAAAGTAACACACATTCCCCCCCACAAACGGTCAACCCTTGTGCCTCTCCCCGCCCATCAGATGGGGATCCAGGGATAGACAGCTGCTGGACATGGAGGCTTTCTCTCCCAATTATGGATTGCAGTGGTGATAGTTGAAGGAGGGTGGGGCCACACTTCAGAACTTTTGAGAGCCCCTCCCCAACATAACTCCCTTCTCCTCCGAATTGCCCAAAGCAAAATGACATCCCCCCCCCACCGCCACCACTGCCGCTGCCTCAGCCATTTCCCCAACTGCCCACTTCGGCAGGGCAGCCTCCGCATGGCCTCTGGGCCAGGGATTAATTCCAGCCCCTGGTCTCCACTACAAAGAGCTTTGTGCTATAGGCAAAAATCAATCATCTTCTCCAAGGCCCTCCCACTTCTCCCCCCACCCCACCCCACCGAACGTACCCACGGGACACACGCAGGCAAATTCGTTGATCTTGTCCACGCAGTTCCCATTGTGCAGGCAGGGGCTGCTGGCACACTCGTCCGTGTTGATTTCACAGTAGACCCCCTCGTAACCTGCAGGGAGGGAAAAAGCAGCAGTGAACGGGAGGGGAAACCCGGGGTCTCTTCTCTCCTTGGAAAAACAGTTGCTGTTGTTGCAATTGTGAGCCAGCCACGGTTGCTTAAGATGGGCAGCTGTAAAAATCTTATACATGAAGGAACAGATAATTCGTTAATCAACAAGGTCAAGACAAGGGGGCAGGGTAGGTCCCGACTGGATTCGACAATCTCAGGGGCTGCCCCAAAGAAGAGGGAGTCAAGCTATTCTCCAAAGCCCCTGAGGGCAGGAGAAGAAGCAATGGGTGGAAACTCATCAAGGAGAGAAGCAACTTAGAACTAAGGAGGAATTCCCTGACAGTCAAAACAATGAATCAGTGGAACAACCTGCCTCCAGAAGTTGTAAATGCTCCAACACTGAAAGTTTTTAAGAAGAGATTGGATAACCATTTGTCTGAAGTGGTTTTCCTGCGTAAGCAGGGGGTTGGACTAGAAGACCTCCAAGGTCCCTTTCAACTCTGTGATTCTATTCTATTCTATTCTATTCTATTCTATTCTATTCTATTCTATTCTATTCTAATGTGTCCCCATTCACTCTGCAGCTTTATGAAAACAGCCCCTACTGGGGTTAAACTCATCTCACACCCAGGAGTGCCAAGACAAAATCTTGCAGTGTGCCCTCGCTCTTAGCCAGCCCACTGTTTTCAGCTATAGGGCGAAACAGCCCGATGCCAATCTTAGGGCACCGCAGCAACTAACCCCTCCAATTTCTCCCAGGCTCTCCTACTGAAGTTTTAAGTCCTCCGAGCTGGGGTTAGCTTTGCCAACTCAGCCGCTTAATTTCCAATGCTCTTGCCAAAGAATCAATTCGGGCCTTTGTAAAGCAGGCTCTGGTGGGGGGGGGGGGGGGGGGGGGGGGGGGGTAAATCACTCTAGAGACTTGGACAGCCTGCCCAACATAATCCCTGTCCTCCAATCGGAATTTCCGACCAGTTCAAATGAAACATCGATCCCCCCCCACCCACCAGCTACTGCCTCAACCTTGGATCCCATCTTCGCAACCAGCATCTTCTTCGCCATCGTCTCGTGCTCCAACGCATTTCATGCACCTGGCACTCATGTCCGGCCAGTCAGCTGATTAATTCGTCAGCCTGAGGTTCATCCACACAGAAACTCGTACCAGCTTATAGGCCTACCTAATCCAACACAATGACCTCTAATGCCTTGGCTCCCGCCCCAGATTAACCAGCACCTTTCCACCCAAAATCCGTCATCATCATCCTCCAGGCCCTCACACCTCTCCCCACCCTACCCCCCACCCCACCCCACAACGTACCCACGGGACACACGCAGGCAAATTCGTTGATCTTGTCCACGCAGTTCCCATTGTGCAGGCAGGGGCTGCTGGCACACTCGTCCGTGTTGATTTCACAGTAGACCCCCCTCGTAACCTGCAGGGAGGGAAAAAGCAGCAGTGAACGGGAGGGAAACCCGGGTCTCTTCTCTCCTTGGAAAAACAGTTGCTGTTGTTGCAATTGTGAGCCAGCCACGGTTGCTTAAGATGGGCAGCTGTAAAAATCTTATACATGAAGGAACAGATAATTCGTTAATCAACAAGGTCAAGACAAGGGGCAGGTAGGTCCCGACTGGATTCGACAATCTCAGGGGCTGCCCAAAGAAGAGGGAGTCAAGCTATTCTCCAAAGCCCCTGAGGGCAGGAGAAGAAGCAATGGGTGGAAACTCATCAAGGAGAGAAGCAACTTAGAACTAAGGAGGAATTCCCTGACAGTCAAAACAATGATCAGTGAACAGCTGCCTCCAGAAGTTGTAAATGCTCCAACACTGAAAGTTTTTAAGAAGAGATTGGATAACCATTTGTCTGAAGTGGTTTTCTCTGCGTAAGCAGGGGGTTGGACTAGAAGACCTCCAAGGTCCCTTTCAACTCTGTGATTCTATTCTATTCTATTCTATTCTATTCTATTCTATTCTATTCTATTCTTTCTATTCTATTCTATTCTATTCTATTCTATTCTATTCTATTCTAATGTGTCCCCATTCACTCTGCAGCTTTATGAAAACAGCCCCTACTGGGGTTAAACTCATCTCACACCCAGGAGTGCCAAGACAAAATCTTGCAGTGTGCCCTCGCTCTTAGCCAGCCCACTGTTTTCAGCTATAGGGCGAAACAGCCCGATGCCAATCTTAGGGCACCGCAGCAACTAACCCCTCCAATTTCTCCCAGGCTCTCCTACTGAAGTTTTAAGTCCTCCGAGCTGGGGTTAGCTTTGCCAACTCAGCCGCTTAATTTCCAATGCTCTTGCCAAAGAATCAATTCGGGCCTTTGTAAAGCAGGCTCTGGTGGGGGGGGGGGGGGGGGGGGGGGGGGGGGAAGAAGGGAGAAAGGAGGAAGAAGTTGGAAAAACAGGGCGCAGCACGAGATTCTCAGCTCCCTCTCCCCCCTCCCCCCCCAGCCAACTTCATCTGGGACGCTTCATCATGCCAGTTAAAGACGTATTCAGAGCAGATTCAGTGCTAAAATAGGTTTGTTTGTTTTTTTAAATAAAATCTGGCTTAGCGTTTTTATGGCTGTTCTGCAAACCCAGTTTATTGGGTCCGTTTATTCGGCTGCGTTGTGGGCAAAGTCAGCTACCGCCTTCCTTGGAACTCAACCCAGCCGCTGTCTTATGTGGTTGCATGAAGCAACCTATGAAAGCATCATCTGGTTCATTTAATTGGCCTTGGCGTGGGGCACAAACGCAGCAATTCCATCTGGTTAATGCAGGCTTTTAAGCCGGGGATGACTCCGAGTTCCGATGGCCCTGGCTCACCCCAGCACTGCTCCAGCCACTACCCAGGCTTGTGTGGAGCAGGGCTGCCCCCCCTTGCAAGGGGTCTGAATTGGAGGGCACCCCGAAAGACAGCAATAGCCCTTAGACTTATATAACGCTTCACAGTGCTTTTACAGCCCTCTCTAAGCGGTTTACAGAGTCAGCCTCTTGCCCCCAACAATCTGGGTCCTCCTTTTACCCACCTCGGAAGGACGGAAGGCTGAGTCAACATTGAGCTGGTGAGAATCGAACTGGTAGTCAGCAGAATTAGCCTGCTATATTGCATACTAATCATTGCACCACTACAGCTGATAGGTAGATAGGTAGATGGATGGATGGATGATAGATAGACAGACATAGATAGATAGATAGCAATAGCACTTAGACTTATATACTGCTTCACAACCCTCTCTAAGCGGTTTACAGAGTCAGCCTCTTGCCCCCAACAATCCAGGTCCTCCTTTTACCCATCTCGGAAGGACGGAAGGCTGAGTCAACCTTAAGCCTGGTGAGATTTGGACTGCCAAATTGCAGGCAGCCGGCAGTCAGCAGAAGGAGCCTGCAGTACTGCACTCTGACCACTGCGCCACCGTGGCTCATGGATGGAGCGGTTACAAAAACTAAGCCAAACACCAAAGGATTTGAAGATCACACCTCTTCCTCCTCCATCACTGCTCCACCCAGGGCACCCCAAAGGTCCAGAGAGCCGCCCATCAGAGGGGCCCGGAAGGACAGGGGAGCCGGCAGGGTTACCTGGCATGCAAATGCACTGGAAGACCCCAATCTGGTCCAAGCAGGTGGCATCGTTCTGGCAGGGGTTGGAGGAGCACTCGTTGACGTCTATCTCGCAGCGGGGACCCGAATAGCCCGTCTGGCATTGGCACTGAAAGGAGCCCTCCGTGTTGAGGCATTTCCCGGCATGCTCGCAGGGGTTGGCACCTGGCAGGAGGGAAAAGGAGGATTAGGCGGGGAGGTGCATGTGTGAATGGCCAAGGGGGCTACAAGGGGTCCTTCTCTTTCTCTTGTCCTTGGTTCGCCCCCTCCCCAATTCCAAAGCACTCCTTCTGTTCAGCTCCTTGTCCAACCAGCACTGCAGCAAACAAGGCAAATGCTATTTCCTCCCCCCCCCCTCTGTAGACCCCTCCCCCAGGACTTTTGAAAGCCGAAGACACTTGTGGAGGCTACAGGGTAGTCCTCGTCTTACAACCGCAACTGAGCCCAACATTTCTGTGGCCGTGTGAGACATTGGCTCAGCGAATTTTGGGCCATTTTACGACCGCAGCTATTAAGTGCGTCACACAGCGCTGATCAGTGAATCTGGCTCCCCCACCCCACCCCCACTGTCCTTTGCTTGTCCGAAGGTCGCAAAAGGGGATTGTGTGACCCCGGGACTCTGCGACCGTCGTTAAGTGTGAGTCAGTTCTGGCAAGCGTCTGAATTTTGATCATTTGTCCCTGGGGATGCTTGCAACGGTCTTAAAGTGTGAACACCAGTCGTAAGTCCCTTTTCTCAGTGCCGCTGTAACTTTGAATGGTCACTAAACAAGCTGTTGTAAATCGAGGATTGCCTGTGTTATGGGGGACACTGGATACAGGGGCCTAAGCAAAAACCCCATTTTTTCCAACTGCAACCCTTTTCTCCTCCTTCCACTTGTAAATACTGTAGCCTCCCCTCCACATCCTGACCAACCAAGGGGCAGAGAGCCACTCGTGGCATGTTGGATTTGGCCATCTAAATCGGGGTCCCCCAAAGGAGCCAATATTGACCCACAAGCTTCAATGGAGGCATATCCAAGGAATAGATAGTAATATTATCCATACTGACATTAGTTAAAGTAAAAGGTAAAGGTTCCCCTCGCACATACGTGCTAGTCGTTCCCGACTCTAGGGGGCGGTGCTCATCTCCGTTTCAGAGCCGAAGAGCCAGCGCTGTCTGAAGACGTCTCCGTGGTCATGTGGCCGGCATGACTCAACGCCAAAGGCGCACAGATCGCTGTTCCCTTCCCACCAAGGTGGTCCCTATTTTTCTACTTGCATTTGTTTTAAGTGCTTTCAAACTGCTAGGTTGGCAGAAGCTGGGACAAGTCACAGGGATTCGAACCGCTGAACTGCCGACCTTTCGATCGACAAGCTCAGCATCTTAGCCACTGAGCTATCTTTATATTATAAAATGTTTGGGGGTGGAGAATCAAGGAAACCCCACGAAGGACTTGATGAGCCAATGAACTTGGAGCCAAATTGACCCTGTCTTGTTTCAGAGTCTCCTCCAACCGCCAAGATGGGTGGCAAAGGAATTTAATCATCCTCATTTAACAACCCCATAATCCCTTGCAGGGTGGAGTCTGGGCAACTGAACGGAGCTGAGTGTTTAAATTGGTTCAAAACTATTTCGTTGAATACGTGATGTACAATGACAATAAAGGCTTTGACTTTACTGGCCGGATGCCCTTCCTGTCACCAATGAGGAGTTTTGTTCAGCAGATATATTCTCATGGTGCCCAGAGAGAGAAATATCTGCTTCTCTACCTAGGATCGAACTCACAGCCTCCTGATTGTGAGGCAAGAGCTCTACCTCTAGGCCACGGCACCATTCTGGCAAATGAATTTAATAATATAAAAATAATTCGCAGGTCGGCTTTTCCAGGCCCCGAACCTCCCCGAGTTTCATTCCAAGGGTTGGCCTGTCTCCTAGGGTCGGTTTTCTGTACCGATTCCCTCCCCAGACTTTTCTTCAACCCCAGCCAGCTCCACGGGTCTCACTCCCACCCAGCGCCCCCCGGCTCCGATGCCCCCTTACCCAGCAAGCATTCGTCCACGTCCTTGTTGCAGGCTGGCCCCATGTACCCCGAGGGGCAGGTGCAAATGGCCCTCCCAGTCACGGGGTTCGTGTCGCAGTTGGAGCCTTCGTTGCAAGGGTTGCTTATGCAGGCATCTTCCAGGTGGCACAGCAAGCCTGCAGAGGGCAGAGGGGGGATTCAGAAAGACACGCAGACACTTGCAAAGATGCTCCCCCATCCATCGGCAACACAGGCAGTCAATGGCCCCACTGCCACAATGGAGGCAACCTGGTTATTGAATTGCTCGCTTGCATGCTATATACTGAACCGTATCCTAGCCAAAGCGTCCGAGCTTAATTTATTGGCAAAGCTAGGAAAATAATACGTAGCAAGCTAGGGCTAACTGAATGCCAGTTTGGTATTGTGGTTAAGCCACCAGGCTAGAAAACAGGAGATGGTGAGTTCTAGTCCTGCCTTGGGTCACAAATCCATCTGGATTGCCTTGGGCCAGTCGTGCTCACTCAGCCCCTAGGAAGGAAGCAATGGTAAATCACTTCTGGAAAAAAAAAACACCTTCTCGAGAAAACTATAGGGAGTCTAGGCAGCCTCCAAAAATTGGACAGACTGAACAGAAATTTTGAAAAGGGTGCTAATTAGTATGGCAGTGAATGGCAGTCGCTCAGGTCTTAAACAGACCTGGTTTAAGGGAGTTGGGAGACACGGCCACAGAGTGCCTGGCCTGTGCAGCTCCGAGAAGGCCTCGCCGATCCATCAGAGTAAACTGGTGCATTCTCAGCAGCTGGAATTGGGCTGTGGATCAACATCTGGAGACCTCTGAGAAGGCAGGGACTAGTCATCCTCTTGTTCTTACTTTTTTTCTTTTTTTCTTTTTACGATCCTGTAACCCCTTTCTTATCAGGATGGAGTCGGGGCGACTGAATAGAGCTGAGCGTTTACTGGCTGGATGCCCTCCCCGACACCTACGCAGGGTTCACAGCAAATATTTTCTCTTTGCATTCTGATAGAGAAACGTCTATCGCTGCCTAGGATTGAATTCTCAGCCTCCCGAGTGTGACGCGAGCATCTTCACCTCTAAGGCCACCACACCGCTCCCTCTTGTTCTTCCATAACCTCTGCAAATGTATTGGGACTACAACTCCCAGAATTCCTAGCAGTTTTCCTGTAATCTTAGCACCTACAGAGGGAAGCAGCACCCCCTCCTCTTTGTGTCAGCCCCTCAAATATTGAAACACTGCTCTCATGCCCCCCCCCAGTCCTTCTTTTCTCCAGAATGACCGTACCCCAGTTCCTGCAACCCTTCTTCCTTTCTCTCCCTTGGATACCCACCTGTGCGCCCATGCGGGCACTCGCAGTAGAAAGAGGCCACACGGTCGTGGCAAGTGGCCCCTGGGGAGCAAGCCGCACTGGCACAGTCGTCAATGTTCTCGCTGCAGTCCTCCCCCGTCCAACCATTCACACAGACACAGTTGTAGTCCCCGTGTGTGTTGTGGCAGGTGCCGCCATTCTGGCAAGCGTTGGGAATTAACTGACATTCGTCCACATCTTCGGCACAATACTGGCCTAGAAGAGAAAGAAGGGGGCTGATCCAAATCTTCACGGGGGTGGGGAGAGACCCCCAAAGTGGTCCAGATTAAAGTCTCTATGTCAGGTTTCGAGGTCGTCTCAAATAAATTGCATTTCAAACAAAGTCTTTGAAGAAAAACTCCTATTTATTAAGCACAACATTCTAGATTTGACTCCATAGAAGCCAACACTGACTTCCAGACCCAAAACCCTCCCTTTCTGTTCCCCACTACCCTGCACTCATTGGCCATCTTCCAAGTCATTCTACCCCTAATCTACTGTTCCAACTCAAAGGAATTTCCCCCTCCCATCCCATCTCCTAGGGATATTATCTCCAGGGAAAATAAGTAGGTGAAAAGTCAAACGTCCCTTTCCAGACGCCTCCCTTCTCCTTCTTATGTCAGCACTAGAGTAAATGCAGCTTGAAGTGCTGACACTCTATTGCACTCCCAATAGGAGAAGAGCAGGAAGGGCTAGACACATAGTCCTCAATTTAAAACAGTTCGTTTAGTGGGCTGTTCAAAGTTACAATGGCACGGGAAAAAGTGCCATTGTAACTTTGTAACATTCACACTTAACGACTTAATCTCAACTTTCCAGACCGGTCTCTCTGAATTGCCTGAGCATTTTCTGGAAATATTACAGGACAAGAAAGAAAATTATGGATGGGGAAGGACGAAGGAATCAGGAGGAAGAGCTGTCTTGCTTTCGGGTCCTAATTTTAGAAACAACAAAATATGTTTTAAAACAGGGGTGTCAAACTCGATTTCATTGAGGAGTGCATCAAGGTCGTGTTTGACCTCAGAGGGCCGGGGATGGGGGTGGGGGGACGTGTCTGGGAGTGGTGGGCGTTTGATATAGGTTCAAGAAGCATTTTTCCCCTTCTCTTCTTTCTTTCCACAGTTCTTTATGATAACCATTTTCCTATCTCTTCTACCAGATATTACGGGCAAACATTTATTACTTATACTCAGTGGTGGGATTCAGCCGGTTCGCACCACTTCGGGAGAACCGGTTGTTAACTTTCTGAGCAGTTTGGCAAAGTGGTTGTTGGAAGAAATCATTAGGGCAGAGGACCGGTTGTTAAATTACTTGAATCCCACCACTGCTTATACTTCATACTCCACTAAACTTTTTATTTCTAAATTTATACCCCATTGTTTAATAGTAAATTGTTTTTCCAGGCAGAAAAGCTATTTATATTATTGTATTTTTATTATTTAACTAATAATAAAAAATACAATAGCATAAATAACATGATAATACAAAATCTAACAGCAGAGGTAAATTTCCAGGATAGTAAATACAAATGGCTGTCTGTTATAGATTGCGGATTGTAGATTAAGTGGACCGACAGTATGTAAAATCTGGCATTCAACTGTAGCATTAACATAGGATGTTGCTTGTTTTCGATCCAGAGCAGGCACTTACTTGAGGCCACATAATTGTAATCCAGTCCAATCCAGTCCTCCTGCAGCACTCTGCCGGCCGAAAACGGGCCACATGGAGGCCCCACGTGGCCCGTTCCTGGCCTCCCTAGCCTCCTGCAGCATTTTTGGCTGACAGAGTGCTGCTGGAGGCCGTGGAAGCCAAAAAGGGGCCACCCCGTGGTCTGTTTTGGCCGTTAGAGGCACCATGGGCCGGTCTTTTGGCCTATTTCCAAGCCGGCCCCGCGGGCCAGATTTTAGCACCCTGCAGGTCAGTTCTGGCCCACGAGCCTTTAGTTTGATACCCGTTTTAAACAACACATGCAAAAGACAAACAGAGGTAGATGCAAGCATTTCTACCTCTGTTCATCTTTTGGCTGTATTGTTTAAATTATTAAAAGGGATTAATTGTTTTAAAATTTGTTGTTGTTTTTTTAAAGAAAGCTGGTGGTTGGATTTCAAATTCAGTTACAATCTGGAACGAGCTCCCCCCAGAGATACGGAGGATCCCGGATCTGCGCACCTTCCGTCGCGCGCTCAAGACTTTCTTAGTTCATCAAGCTGGCCTGGCCTAAATCTTTTCCCCTTCTAAATGTAAATTTTAATTTGTTTTTAAATTATTGGGTATTTTAAATTTGTCTCAGCCAAATTATTTAATTCGTTTTTATTCTATTTTAAATTTTTGTATTTATGTGTTTTATTCTGTGGCTGTTCACTGCCCTGAGTCCTTCAGGAGTAGGGCGGTATATAAATCCGATAAAATCAAATCAAAATCAAATCAAAAGAGAGAAAAGTTCAAGCGATGTTCACCTGACCTTCCTCCCTTTGGGGCTCCCCGATTTCCCCCACCTCCCATCGGTGCATCCTCACCTGTCCATTCAGGTGGGCACTGGCAGTTGTAGGTGTTCACCCCATCCACACAGGTGCCTCCGTTCTTGCAGTTGTTTCCGGGACAGTCGTCAAGATTCTCTTCGCAGTTCTGGCCCGCGAAACCTGCCGGTGGAGGAGGAGCAAAAGGACAGGTGAGACCCATTCTCAGCCCCGCTAAGAACGGAAAACCCCAGGGGCCACAAACCCAGTTTTCTTTGCAGGAGAACCAAGGCTTAATTTCCAGCCTCCCCAGGCAGGGCAGTAAGAAGCTCTTCTCCAGAAGCTGCTGCCAGCCAGGGCAGACAAACTGGAGCTAAATTGAGAGCTTGACTCAATAAAAAGAAATCAATTGTATGTTTAATTTAGTGGAGTTTTCTTAGCAACGGTATGGAAGAGACCTGCCACTATGTTCAGAACCAGAATCAGAATAGAGCTGGAAGGGACTTTGGAGGTCTTCTAGTCCAGCCCCCTGCTTAAGCAGGAGAACCTATTACATTAACATCCTTCAGTCTCAAGAGACTCTGGTATCGTGCTCTGGAAAGAGGTCCTAAAACAGCATCTGGTGTGACTAAAAAGGCCAATTGGAGAGTGGCCATCAATCCCTTCCACACAGAGGGCAGATCCATTCTGTCCCCTGCCCACCCCAAAGATTTTGCTGGTTCCGGGATTGCCTCTTTGCCTCAGCCCACCGAACAAGGGTCTCTTCGAATTGGAGAAGGCCAAGCTGCGTCTTTAGCCTCCAAGCTGAACGATCGGAGGTCAAGGTTTCCCCGTTGTTAATATCCATTCCCAGGGCCTTTAGGTCCCTCTTGCAGATATCCTTGTATCGCAGCTGTGGTCTCCCTCTGAGGTGCTTTCCCTGCACTAATTCTCCATACAGGAGATCTTTCGGAATGCGACCATCGGCCATTCTCACGACATGCCCCAGCCAGCGTAGACGTCGCTCTTTCAATAGTGTATACATGCTAGAAATTCCAACACGTTCCAAGACCTGTCCTGACAGGTGATGCCAAGAATTCGTCGGAGACGAGCGCATATGAAAGGTGTTCAACTTTCTCTCCTGCCGTGGTAGAGGGTCCAAGACTCACTGCAGTACAAGAGTGTGCTCAGGATGCAGGCTCTATAGACCTGGATCTTTGTATGTTCCGTCAGCTTCTTATTAAGCCCTACTCTCTTTGTAAGTCTGGAAAATGTGGTGGCCCCTTTATCAATACATTTATTCAGCTCAGCATCTAAAGAGAGAACCTATACCATTTCAGAGAAGTGGCCGTCTAGTCTCTTCTTAAAGACCTCCAGGGATGGAGGGCCCCACAACTTCTGGAGGCAAGTTGTTCCACTTGTTCTCACAGCATATGAGCCAAGGTGGTGCAGTGGTTAGGGTGCAGTACTGCAGCTACTTCAGCTGACTGCTAGTTCAGCAGATCAGCGGATCAAATCTCACCGGCTCAAGGTTGACTCAGCCTTCCATCCTTCCGAGGTGGATAAAATGAGGACCCAGATTGTTGGGGGCCAAGAGGCTGACTCTGTAAACCGCTTAGAGACGGCTGTAAAGCACTGTGAAGCAGTATATAAGTTTAAATGCTATTGTTCTTCCTTCCTTCCTTCCTTCCTTCCTTCCTTCCTTCCTTCCTTCCTTCCTTCCCTCCCTCCCTCCCTCCCTCCCTCCCTCCCTCCCTCCTTCCTTCCTTCCTTCCTTCCTTCCTTCCTTCCTTCCTGGCACAGTGGTTACAATGCAGTATTGCAGGCTGACTCTGCCCATTGCCAGGAGTTCGATTCTGTATGGCTCAAGGTTGACTCAGCCTTCCATCCTTCCGAGGTGGGTAAAATTGAGGACCCAGATTGTTGGGGGCAAGAGGCTGACTCTGTAAACCGTTTAGAGAGGGCTGCAAAGCACTGTGAAGCAGTATATAAGTTTAAATGCTATTGTTCTTTCTTCCTTCCTTCCTTCTTCCTTCCCTCCTCCCTCCCTCCCTCCCTCCCTCCCTCCTCCCTCCCTCCCTCCTTCCTTCCTTCCTTCCTTCCTTCCTTCCTTCCTTCCTTCCTGGCACAGTGGTTACAATGCAGTATTGCAAACTAACTCTGCCCATTGCCAGGAGTTCGATTCTGTATGGCTCAAGGTTGACTCAGCCTTCCATCCTTCCGAGGTGGGTAAAATGAGGACCCAGATTGTTGGGGGCAAGAGGCTGACTCTGTAAACCGTTTAGAGAGGGCTGCAAAGCACTGTGAAGCAGTATATATAAGTTTAAATGCTATTGTTCTTTCTTCCTTCCTTCCTTCCCTCCCTCCTCCCTCCCTCCCTCCCTCCCTCCTTCCTTCCTTCCTTCCTTCCTTCCTTCCTTCCTTCCTTCCTTCCTTCCTTCCTGGCACAGTGGTTACAATGCAGTATTGCAAACTAACTCTGCCCATTGCCAGGAGTTCGATTCTGTATGGCTCAAGGTTGACTCAGCCTTCCATCCTTCCGAGGTGGGTAAAATGAGGACCCAGATTTTGGGGGCAAGAGGCTGACTCTGTAAACCGTTTAGAGAGGGCTGCAAAGCACTGTGAAGCAGTATATAAGTTTAAATGCTATTGTTCTTTCTTCCTTCCTTCCTTCCTTCCTTCCCTCCCCCCTCCCTCCCTCCCTCCCTCCCTCCCTCCCTCCTCCCTCCTCCCTCCTCCTTCCTTCCTTCCTTCCTTCCTTCCTTCCTTCCTTCCTTCCTTCCTGGCACAGTGGTTACAATGCAGTATTGCAAACTAACTCTGCCCATTGCCAGGAGTTCGATTCTGTATGGCTCAAGGTTGACTCAGCCTTCCATCCTTCCGAGGTGGGTAAAATGAGGACCCAGATTGTTGGGGAGGCAATATGCTATTTAGTATACTGTCTTTGGTGTAAGCCGCCCAGAGTCCTCAGAGAGTGGGTGGCATAGAAAAATGATGAATAATAAAATAAATAAATAAATAATGTTGACTGGGGAATTCTGGAAGTTGAAGTCTACACCTTTTAGCTTCCCAGGTTGCAAAACGCTGGTTTAGGTACTACGAAAGGAAAAGCTGGCAACCGCCTGATCCGTTCTATTGCAAAGTACCTCCCGAGAAACAGATTACGGATGGCCGGGGGCCTTTTTGGATTCATGGGTTCTAGATTCTACTTGGTTCATGTGAATGTGATTGTGGTTGTCACTATTACCCAGTTGCACTAATCACGGTCATGGCTAATGCTGGCTGGCTTACTTCTTCATATATTTAATACCTATCCATCGTCATTGTCATGTCTCCCAGCAAGGGATAAAGTTTCTCTGCACCAGAAAGTGAAGTTCTGTCCAGGGTGGTCCAGCCAACTCTCCCCTTCCCCCGCCCCCCCGCCCCCACCCCTGCCCGAGCTGGATGCCAGGAACTAGTTTCATTCCCTTATATGGCTCTTCCATAGATCCCAACTTTCTCAAGGAAAAAGCTACGGGGCAGAACCAGCCTAAAGGGGCCCGTGAACTGCATACGTGTCTCGTTTGCTAATGGTTGTTTAAAGTATCCCAGCATTCTGCAGAAGACCGATGGCAGAGGAGCCAGGAATGCAAATGGGGGCATTGTAAGAAAAAGGGGAGGGGGGGTGAAACAACATGAAGTGAAGAAATCGGGGTTGGGTCAGGCTGCTATGTGAAGGCAATGGGTACTCAAAATAAAAGAAGCTGGCAGGAAACTTGTGAGGCTGCCAAATCTCTCACAAGAGCGCTGGAATCACGCCAGCTGATTCCAACCATGTTCGTTACACGTGGCTTCCAAAGATGCCCTCTGTATCGCTCCTGGGTCAGGCAGGAGCTTCATCCCTGGAAGCTTTCAAGGAGAGACTGGGCTGCCATCTGTCAGAAATGGTGTAGGGTCTCCTGCTTGGCTGGGGGGGGGGAGGCTGGACTAGATGACCTCCAAGGTCCCTTCCAACTCTGTTCATCTGTAAGTTAAGGTTTCAGAGAAAGAGAGAGAGAGCCAAGGCACCCCAGCCTACCTGCAAGGCAGGTGCACTCGTAGGCCACGTCTCCGGTCTGCTGGCACGTGCCCCCGTTCTGGCAAGGCGAGGGGTTGCAGGGCACGTAGAGGTGTTCGCAATTGATGCCGGTGAAGGCCTGCCGGCAGTGGCACTGGTAGGAGCCGATCTCGTTGACGCAGGTGCCCCCGTTCTTGCAGATGGGGGGCGTCCGGCTGCACTCGTTCAAGTCTTCTTTGCAAGTGGCCCCGTGGAAGCCCTGCGGACACCTGCACACGTAGCTGGACTCAAAGGGCACACACTGCCCACCGTTGGCACAGGGATTGGAGGCACAGGGGTCGGCCTGCTGACACGTCTTGCCTGCAGGGCAAAGAGAGGAGAGATAGCCTGCTTCAGCCAAAAATTCAGGATAAAGAACCCAGCCACGGCACAAATAAGACCTGAAAACCTTCCATTTTTCAGTCCTAATCTTTTAAATGTTTTTATAAAGCGTTGCAAACACTTGTGTTCCATTTACATCGGCTTCTTTAAAAATACACATTTTTTTGCTGCCTGGTTCTATTTCTTCTACTTTAGAGTTTCTTTGTATGTGTAAACTACAGGGATACCTTGGTTCAAGAATTAAACCACTTGGTTTTAAACCAGGACAGTGTCTAGTCTCTGTGCTGGAAACCTGCTTTAAGGTGCCTGCATCCTTCTCTTCCACCTTCCCCACTCCCCTCCAATGGTGGGCAGAACCAGCTAGATCAAGTGTTTCTTAAACTTGGCAACTTTGAAGACGTGGGGACTTCAATTCCCAGAATTCCCCAGCCACCCTTGCTGGGTGAAAAGAGTTCTGGGTTTAAGAAACACCGATCAAGAGTACAAAAGATGGAGAGAAACTTTTGAAAAATGGAAAAGAGATGGTGTTGGCACCCCCTGCCTGGTTCTGTCTGTCACGGGGAAGACCGAAAAAAATTAAACCTCTTCCTTGCATTGTTGAAGTCCGACAATCCCAACAAGGACAAATCAAAACACACAAGGCCAGGCTCGGTTCTGCAGCTGAGAATTGGGGTTCTACCAGGTGTTGTGGTCCGCCGGCAGCCTGTGGAGCTGGCAGCAGTCGTACAGTGAGGAGGCTGGGGAGGAACATGGGCCAGTCCTGGAGTCTGGGGAAGGCTCTGCGTCGGAGGCAGAGATAGGGCCAGGGCCATCTGGGAGTTATTGTGCTGAGTCCGGAGCCTCCAGAGTCTGACGTCAGCAAGGCAGAGGAACAGGGGGAGATTGTTCCCAGTGCGCGCGTGCGCAGAGCTGCCAGAAGGTAAGAACAGTTAAGACAAAAGGGATGACTCGGGAGTAAGGCTTGGAGATGATTGGCCCCTCCCATAAGACATAAAGGTGGAGCAAAGGGACATGAGCCTTTGCAGGAAGCAACTTTGTTCGTCCTGATCAGTTTAAATTCTGAAGCTCCGTTTTGACTCTGTGCTCCGTGTGGCCTTGCAAAGCTAATTGCCAATGAGGTCTTTGGCAGCGTGTCAAGGGAGATAAAGGTGGGTGTTTATCAGCCTTATCCCGAAGGACTGTGGTAGACTTCTGTCAGACTCTTTACAAGCTATTTGTGACTCTTCGCAGGCTGTGAATCAACAGAATTCACAGCCATTGAAATAAAAAGAGGGTTTTTGGGACTAATTGTGTGCTTTTTACTGTCTCAGGAAGCCCAAGTCAGAACACCAGGCATGGAGCTGCAGGCATCTCAAAGGGGGCCCTCCCTTGGGGATGTGTGCCAGTTGCTCTCTCTCTCACCTGACCAGCCTGGAGGGCAGCGGCATTTGTATTCGGTCAAGGTGACCAGATCGCAGCTCCCTCCGTTGCGACAGGGGCCGCTCAGGCAGGCATTCTCCTCAATGGTCAAGCACAGCTTATCGATGTAGCCCAGCCGGCAGGAACAGATGTAATCGGGTGCGTTGCCCTCAACCACGGGGTGGCAGGTGCCACCATTGTTACAGGGGGAGCTGAGGCACAAATTCGGGAACTGGCAGCGCTGGCCAATAAAGTCCTTGGAGCATCTAAGAAAAGGAGGAGGAGGAAGAGGATGAATAAGAGACCTGCAGGAGCAAGCAACAGCTATTCGGCGTTCTTTGGCGGGTTTGCAATGCCACCCAAACTTTCTCCCGTCTCTCCTGCTGCAGGCTGGCAGGGCATCGGACGGACAGGGAAATCACGAAAGAGCAGGATTCGAATGAACGACAGCCTTTGGATACAGTCTCTAAGGCTCGTTTTGCAGCCCTTATGCAGGGTTTCCTCCCCCCCACCCTTAATGTGACTCTTAGGAAAGAAATTCTTGAAAAGAATAAAAAGAATGCAAATGCTGAAAAAGTAAAGTAACGTGAAAAAAGCACAAAAAAAAAGGAAGAATTAGGAAAAAGTGACACTGTAAAGAAGCAACTGCCAATCCTCTTAACCGCAGTTACGTTTATATTTTGCCATCTCTTAAGGTTACAACATAATTTAATTCTTTTCATCGTCTACCGTTTCTAATCATCAAACCCATAAAATCACAAGTTCGGTTCCCCCCCCCCCAGCAAAAAGTCCATCAAGGGTATTCCAGGCACATGGCAGTTATTGTCCTTTCCTTAAACAGGGAGGTTGATTGTGTTACCTCTGCTAATCCCGCATCTTCATTGTGGGTATTTCAGAGTCTTCCCATTTTTACGCGTATAAAAATCTCACAGCCATATAGAAAACCCACTTTCCAGAACTGTTTTCTAATTGTCACACAGGGAAAGCTCTGGTTTTAATTGAATATTTATCTTTAAAATACTTTGGGTCACAGGCATGTATTGGAAATCAGGATTTTCTGGCATTTTTGCAAATCCACCAGGCATGATAAACCAACTTTTTTCCTTTCCACATTTCCAACTTAAAAGTACCTGTCCATGTTCTAGATCATTTTTCGAGCCCTATGAGAGGTTTTTAAAGAATTTTTTTTTTTAAATCTCTGAGAACACTTTGCCCAATAAATATGCAGGTTACTGGAAGCTAAGAGAAGATTATTTGCTGGTTCTTTAAAATCCCCATCTATCAAAAAGCCCACTCAAAAAGGCTTAAGATTTTCAAACCTCTTTATTTAGGAGGGAGGGATTTACAACCAATTCCAACTTCGGTATTTCCTCAACTTTGGGCCAAAATTGTGGAAACCTTTTGGGAAAAGTGTATTTTTGAGGTTTAACAACTAATAACACCACTTTTTTTTTTTTTTTTTTTGAGTTTCAAGTTAATCCTATTCCACTGCTGTAATGAATAGCCTGGGAATAGCCCCAGACCTTCACCCAATGGAAAATCTATGGATTTTCTGACTAAAGAAACTTGTTAGCCAGAAGCCACCCAGCAATAAAACCCAGTTAATAGAAGCCATCGTTCAATCTTGGTTTCCCATTATAACAGCTGCAGAACTAAAAGACTTGGTTCACTCCATGGGAAGACATTGTAAAGACGTAATTCATGCTAAAGGTTACCCAACTAAGTATTAACTGACATGGTGATCCTTTTTGTATATCTCGTTTCTTCTATGGTATATAATTTTTGTATCTCTCGTTTTTTCTACGTGTTTCACTTTTCTTCTTTATACTGTAACTGCTCTTCTAATAGCAAATCCTTCATAAAAGTGATTGCATTACATCCTTGATTAAATTATATTTCCACTGATGTATAATTTTATGGTGCTTCTCCAAAAAAAAAAAGTGGTGTTATTAGTTAGTTTTAGAAAATACACTTTCCCCAAAAGGTTTCCACAATTTTGGCCACTACTGTATCTTAAACTGGCCAAGGTTGTGAAATGCCGATTTAAAGAATTTGAGATTCTGGGGAAAAGACGGGAGTTCTACTTAAGCCACTTAGAAGGGAAACAGTTTGCAAAGTTTGATCAGGTGACCTTGGAGAATCTATAATGGGAAGTCCCGTTTTTTCAGCCCTGTCATTCTTTCCAACGGTCACTAAACAAGTGGTTGTAAATCAAAGGCTACCTGCAGTTTTCATCATGAAACTAGGAGAATTAAACTAGGTTTAATTCCCATTCGCCTCTACATTTCAAAAGCGAGTGGCTCTTTTTTGTGTGTGTGCGCTGAGGTGTCTAAAGCCCATTTTAGTCCCTTACAAGCTTAATTCTCCGCACAAGAGTCTCATCCTTCCTGAAAAACTGAAGCTTCTTCCATGGCCATCCAAAGGCCCATCAGCCAGAGCCTTATGGCAGCAGGAGGGGGCGGGGGTTATTTGTATTTTCCTTCCTTTATGTTTTGGGAAAGGTAATGGCCTTGCAACGGCCATCATCCACTGGTTGCTGGCCATCTGTTGCGCATCGCCAAAAGGAACTGGAGCCAAGTGGCTCATCAAAGCACCCCTCTCCGTTTGGCCCTTCGGAAGGGAGATGGACATCCCTGGGGGGGGGGGGGAAACTGGCAACGTGACCAAGCTGAGCTCCAAGCTGGCTGAACACAGGAAAGGCCCCCTTGTGAGGGGCCCTGGGTGCTCCCTGAGCTTGGTAGTTATCTTGCAGACGTTTCATTACCTAACTAGGTAACATCATCAGTGAGAGGAGGAGGAGGAGGAGGACTGTGAGGTCCTTGGTGCTCTCTGAGCTTGGTGGTTTTCATGCAGGCGTTTCATTGCCCAACTAGATAATATCCTCAGTGCAACAGAGAGTCCCTGTTGGGGATCTCTGCCGGGGTACAAAGGAACCCCAAATTCCTTTGTTTTGATGCTGCCAACCCTGACTTCCTTGCCAGCTACTTCATTCTCTCTGCAACTCACTCCATCATTTGCTTGGAAAGCCTCCAAGAGAGAGGAGAGATGAAAGGGGAGAGGGGAGGGGAGAGGGGAGGGGAGGAGAGGAGAGAGGGAGGGGAAGGGGGAGGGGAAGGGAAAGGAGAGGGGAGGGGAGAAGACTGATGTCTTGGTGCCAGCTTCTCTCTCTTCCCTCCTCTGGATTTTCCCTTTCACTTTTGGTCCAAAGGGGAGGAAGAAAAGGGAAAGTGCCTTGAAACAAGCAGAGTTTTCAAAAGGGGAAGTTGTGAACATAGCCAGCACACTTTGTCAGCCAGGGAGCCGAATTGTGTGGACCGACCTTCTCCTGGCTTGAGCAGATGCCATATTTATGCTTCGCATCCATTTTCCAGGTGCCAAACGGCGCAAACCGAGGTTGTGTAGGAGGGACACAACTCACTGCACCCCAAGGGGGGCCCTGCTTCTCAATCACGGCTCCTGTGCTCTTGGGGCACCAAGCAGCCTGCGGCCTGCAAAGGCTCCTGAGTGAGCAGGGGGTTGGACTAGAAGACCTCCAAGGTCCCTTCCAACTCTGTTAGTCCGTATCCTGTTTCTGCAAGGGCTTATTGGCCTATTTTTGATGGAGCTGCTCCTAATTTGCGATTTGAACCATTTCTACCAAAGAATTCCCACTTTTTCTCCTCACATTCTTCTTCTAGGCCTCCTTTGCTCTCCTGCTGAAACCCTCCCGGGATTGCCAAAGGCTCAGTGGGGAGGGGTCTGGGCCCAGAAGTTTCAAGGTCTCCCAGGAAGAGGGCATTTTGTGTGCCAAAGAACTCAGTCACGGCAGAAAACAAATACTAAATGGAAATTGGCAAGGGGTGGGGGGGGGTGAGGGGGCAAAGCTGTAGTTGGCAGATTGGCAGATACATTAAGTTTCACATTCTGTCCTTAAATGGAGAGGGAGGGAGGGAGGGAGGGAGGGAGGGAGGGAAGAAAGAAAGAAAGAAAGAAAGAAAGAAAGAAAGAAAGAAAGAAAGAAAGAAAGAAAGAAAGAAGGGAGGGAGGGAGGAAGGAAAAGAGGGAGGGAGGGAGGAAAGAAGGAAGAAGGAAAGAAAGAAAGAAAAGAGGGAGGGGGAGGGAGGAAGGAAGGAAAGAAAGAGGGAGGGAGGGAAGGAAGGAAGAAAGAAAGGAAGAAAGGAAGAAAGAAAAGAGGGAGGGAGGGAGGAAGGAAGGAAGGAAGGAAGGAAGGAAGGAAGGAAGGAAGGAAGGAAGAAAGAAGAAAAAAAGAAAGAAAGAAAGAAAGAAAGAAAGAAAGAAAGAAAGAAAAAGAGAAAGAAAGAAAGAAAAAGAGAAAGAAAGAAAGAAAGGAGGGAAGGAGGGAGGGAGGGAAGGAGGGAGGGAGGGAAGGAGTCAGTTTTAGTCTCTCTCTCCCACCCTCTTTTTCTAGCGTCCATTTTCAATCCTCTTGTTGAAACCTTATGTGAGAATCCCCTGAAGTTTGGGGACGCTTTGAGTTAATGAGATGGGCAGAATCCAGGCCAAACTGAAAGAAAAGCGGGCACAGTAGCAGCACCCGCGGCATCTGCTGGGAGCAGGTGTGCATTTTAATGAGGGGGCAGCAGCTGCTACCACACTCCCCTCCCCCACCCCCGCTGCTGCCCAAAACACCGCCTTGGCAGGCCAACGCTCCACAGGCCGGGGGGGGGGGCTTTGTGCTGCTGGGGAATTTAGCCGGATGCTTGGGCTGTGCAACAGGGTGCAGGGAAACTCCCCCCCCCCAAAAAAAAGACAGGCCCAGAGCCACAGCGGAGACACCGTGGTCAGAGAAGAGGCTGCAATTTGCCATTTCCTTCCTCCCCTCCACTTGTGCTGCAGCCCCCGGTTGCTTCTGAGAGACCCAGCAAAGCATTGTGGCATTGCAGAGCAAGAGATTTTCAGAAGAAAGAGAGAAAGAGAGAGAAAGGGAAAGGGAAAGAGAGAGTAGAAAAGAGAGAGGAGGAGAGAAAGAGAGGGAAAGAGAGAGCAAAGGAGAGAGAGGGAGGGAGGGAAAGAGAGAAAAAGAGGAGTGGGAGAGAGAGAGAAAGAAGAGGATGAAGTGAAAGAGGGAGAGAGAAAGGGAAAGAGAAAGAGAGGAGGTGGGAAAGAGAAGGGGGAAGATAGAGGAAAAGAGAGAAAAGAGAGGGGAGGGAGGGAAAGAAAGAGCAGGAGAGGGGAAGAGGAAGGAAAGAAAGAGAGAAAAAGAGGAGTGGGAGAGAGAGAAAGAAAGGGAGAGAAAGGGAAAGAGAAAGAGACAGGAAAAGAGAGA